TTGGTTTCCTTAGAATGGAAGTCACTGGAGAAGGCAGCGTCTTTGTGATTATGTGGTTTTATTTACACACAAATATATAAGCCGAGCATAAGATGGAAGGGCTCACAGCACATCAACCAGATCTTGCTCCCCCACCCCTTAGGTTTTGGGAGTGAGATGGTCCCAAAGTCATAGTCTTGGAATCGGCATGGAGAGCAAGTCAAGTTGTTCTCCAGCCAGGTGAGAGGAGGGAAGACCTGCTCCCTTTGGAAAGCATCACTAGCTAGTCATTCCTATGGCAACACATATGTACTCGGCCAACTCTTTAGTCATGCAAATGGGACTTGGTTAGGGCCATTAAGAAAACAGACTGGTGTGACCATTTCAGCAGGTTTCTCCTTCTGCTGGCTTGAAGTGGCCCCAATGATGACACCCAAACTAGTCCTCCCAGCCTGTAACGATGTCCAATCCCCAAGTTCAGAGGCACAAACTGAAGAGCAGGCTGTAGATTATAGGCCCGGCTTGTGTGCTTGCCAGAGGCATCTGACTGGTTACTGATGGAAAGGCGATGCTACTAGCTGGACCATTGGGACAATCCATTCAGCAGGGTCCATCTAATAGCCTTGGCATAACTCTCTTTTTTTAAAAATAATTTTTATTAACAGGCCAATCACATCACATTGTTCAAATCACATTGGTTCCAAATTATACAGCCAAATTTTAAATTTTGGGGGGGTACCCATATATCAAGCTCCGCACGAGTCCAAAATTCCGGATAAGTCCAGACATCACTTATTTTACTGCATTAATTAATCAGTTCTATCCAGTTCACTCCGGATAGTCCTTTATTATTTTTCTTCATCTTGTTGTTGTCGAGCCTTGGCATAACTCAGTAGCATGGCATCTGTCTTGCATGGAGAAGATCCCAGGTTCAATCCCTGGGCATCTCTCTTCAGGCAGAGCTGGGCAAGACCCTGGATAGCGGCTGCCAGTCAGTGTAGAAAGTATTGAGCTAAAATAGATCCGATGGTTTGACTCAGTGTAAGGCAAATTAATTCCTATGTTTATATGATGGTTTTTGGTTATTGATTGCGCATTGTGATTAAGTTGATTGTGTCAGCTTTTATGTAGTAGGAAGAGTTAGAGGTGCGCTTTTTTTTGTATTTATAGATAATATTTTTGCTGTTTTTATTTTAAATTTTGTATATTTTATGTATCTTTTTTTGTAAGCTGTCTTGAGTCTTCTTTTTTTGAGATGGTGCCTGCAAAAGATATTCCCAGGGTAGAATTTCCCCCGTGAAACCCTCCTGACCCCTTCTTTGGAGGCATTTTGGGTGAATAGTTTTTCGCAAAGCCCTTGGACAATGCTGCAGTTCATCACAGTCTCTTACATTTTCTGGTCCTTTAGCTATGAATTTCAGGAGGTGGGAACAGGGTGATTTGGTGAAACCTGGGGAGAGTAAATGTGGAATTTGCTTATTTAATTAAGGACTTCCCTAATTCCCACCCTCTTAATAATCTAAACAGTGGAATGCTAGGCTGGTTAATGTATTTATCCAGGCTAAGGTAGTTGAAATTAACTCCCACTTATATACATGAGATAAGCTAAACATCTCTAGGGATGAGGAAGAAATTCAATTCAGTTTGCATTTAAAGGTGAACCTACCAAATTCTGACGTTCTGAAACAATGTATGGTCAGAGTAATGTATAAGAAAATGCACATTGAGGGGGTAAAGTGTGCATAAGAATACATATATTAGTAAACAAAGAAAATACACAAGTGCAATACACTGTGGAAATAGCATTGCAAAAATGTGCATAAAAGGCAACATTGCATTAAAAATTTGTTAATTGGGAGAAATTTGCAGTAAAACGTCAATGAATTTTCATGAGCGTTAAAAACCTTGTGTGTTTGCGAATGTGCGAATTGATGCAAAGTGCGGGGAACTGAATTTAAGACTGGAAAAATGGGAAACTGGGTGAACTAGAATTGACAGTGCCTTCTTTAGTCATGATTAACTTGGAACTAATTTCTAAATGAACGACTCAGATGCGTTTTAAGTCTGAATACACAGCCCCAGATTGAAAGGTGGAGTAAAATTGTTGAAGACTGCCAACTTGAAGAAAACTTAGTTGACTTATTATATGGTTTTTAGTTGATTGATCAGATGATGGGTGAAACTAGGCTTTCTTTCACCTCAAAGACCCAGTTTGGCAAAAAGAAAAAAAAACCAAACCCATAGGAGTGGGAAAATACCAAGGAAGTTGGCTAGGGTTTTCTTTGTTTTTGGATCATGTGTCAACCCTGTTGCAATGTGACACCATTTTAGAAGAGGCATCCTGCTGTGTGTGTGTGTGTGTGTGTGTGTGTGTGTGTGTGAATGAGAGAGAGAAAACGACTCTCCTAAGAAGGTGCCTGCTACTCACATTTTTGTCAGTTCTTGAATAAAAATCATAAACAAAAACGGTGTTACAATTACAGTGAGCTCAGCAGCAGAACGGTGGAGCTTTGCATGCAGAAAGTCCTAGATTTCATTTCAGGCATCTCCAATTAGGGCTGGGAGAGACTGACTTCCTGAGACCTTGGTGATCCTTTGCCAGTTAGTTGACAATATTGAGCTAGATGGACCAGCAGCCAGACTCAACATAAGGCAGCTTCCTATGATCCTAACAGGGGAGAAGAGCCCTGCTGCATCAGACCATCTATGTATGCCTATCTAGTCCAGCATTCTGATTGGAGCACAATAGCTCTCTTGACACCCCCCCCCAGGAACTGGTATTTTACCTCTCCTACAAGGTGATAGCCTTGTCCTCCATGAATTTATCTGACCGCCCTTTAAAGTTGTCTGTCCTGAATTCCCCAGCCTTCAACTCGATCAGATGACCATGAGTTCTTGTATTAAGGAGAGAGACAGATCTGATAAATAGTTCAACCCTAGTTATAAACAAAGCAGTCTTGTCATTTTTTTAAAAAGGCCTTCAGTGGTGTTTGAACACCCTTGTTGTGGCTAAGAAGAACAGTACATGCAGGGTTTAAGCTGTGCTGAGGTGGCTGTGGTTGGCTGCCGAAGGCCAAATCTTAAAGTCTTCTGGGTGAAGTGGCAACGGGAGATGTTGCTATCAAAAGGCAGCCAAGGTAAAAGTGAGTTTTGCGGCAACCCTTTTCTGGCAATGGCCTTGTAAAGCTCAGTACTCCTGCGCTGCCCTAACCTGTGGTGAAGGGTGCTCTGACAGGTAATCTCAGTTTCATGTGTCTAGCTGGGATGTTCATCAAAGAGTCAAACGCCCATGACTATATGCATACAGTCGTACCTTGGTTTTCGAACAGCTTAGTTCTCGAACGTTTTGGCTCCCAAACGCCGCAAACCCAGAAGTGCGTGTTCCAGTTTGCGAATGTATTTTGGAAGCTGAATGTCCGACACGGCTTCCGATTGAGTACAGGAAGTTCCTGCAGCCAATCGGAAGCCACGTCTTGGTTTTCTAATGTTTTCGGAAGTCGAATGGACTTCCAGAACAGATTCCGTTTGAGAACAAAGGTAAGACTGTACCATGTTTAAAGCACATGACATCCGTCCTCCACAAGATTCCTGAGAACTGTAGTTTCTGAAGCATGCTGGGAGTTGTAGCTGGGTGGGAGAGTTTTGCTTGCAGTTCATGGCTAGCTAGAGAGAAGCACTCTGTACATGCTCAGATGAACTTCCTGTTGCTTTGAATACTGGAGAGTGGACCCCTGGCATTTAAACAGATATCTAGGTGAGTAAGTTCCAGTACTGAATCCTGACCTAGATGTACTCTTCATGATCCCCTGCAAAGTGGATGAACTTTTTCACATAAATCGGCTGTGACTTGCCCAGCCTGGCTTAGCACGGGAAACAGAACTCTGTTGCAAATGTGCTGTTAGGAAGATTAACAGACATGCTTAGCATAGCGAATCAGTCCCAGCCAGCATGCTCAGTAGTCAGGGATGATGGCAGCTGTAGTCCAAAAACATCTGGATGGCCGCAGGTTTCCCACCCCTGCTTTAAACTAAAGATGAGCTGGAATGAAGGGAGGGCATCTGGTTTGCATGCTGCTGCCAGTCAGTGTAGACAATACTGCGCTAGATGGACTAACTTTGTCTTGGAATAAGGCAGATTCTTATGTTCCTATCCCAACTTTTTACTGGCTCCCTTGGCCAGTAAAGCGAGATGAGCGCCACAACCCCAGAGTCTGTCACGACTGGACCTAATGGTCAGAGGTCCCTTTACCTTTACCTTAGGCCTCGATACAGGCCCATCTAGAGAGCCAGTGTGGTGTAGTGGTTAGTGTGTTAGACTAGGACCTGGGGGACCAGGGTTCAAATCCTAACTGAGCCATGGAGCCATGGAGCTTGTCGAGTTACCTTGGGTCAGTTCCAGTCTGTCTGCCTAACCTACCTCAAGCATTGCCACAAAGGATGGAACGGGGAAAGGCAGAGAACGATCTTCACCACCTTGAGCTCTTTGGAGGAAAGATGGGATACAGAAAAATAAAATACAGAGTGATTCCCAGGTATCCATGCTGGGCCTCTTCTAGTAGGCTTTCAAACTTCCATTCCAGCCTCTTTGATCCTATATCACCTGCCGTCACCTCAGCCCACCTGCCTCTTGCTGCGGCTGCAGATTACGGCTGCCTGAATCATCGCTCACCTTTTAAAGGAAAGAGAGGCAATTTGGGGAGAACCCAGTCTCCAAAATGCCCTGTGGAAGAGGTCTGGGCTTGCCCGGGCCCTTGGAGGCCTGGTATGGTCAGCATCGCCGCCAGTGGCCAAGAGGCCTTTGGGATGTTCTCTCATTCTGAAAGAATTCCCCCCACTTGGTGGGTCTCGGTGGTGTCTGTCTCTCGGTTTTGGAAGGCTCTGCAGCTCCCTCTCTCTCTCTTCTCCCCCCACCCCCCTTTGATCTCCTCCGAGTGTTTGCCCAGTCGATCAACCCAGACAGGGTTAGCGTCTGAGGTCAGTCGCTTTTCCATTCCAAACTCCCAGCCCATCGGTGAGAGGGGAGGAGATTCCGGTTACACCCCCCTCCTCGCCTCTCTTTTTCTGCTCACCCCAGACACACACCCGGGAGAGCTGCTTTATAACTCTGTTCCTCCCTGACCCAGGAACTTAATTTCCCTGTTGATGTGCTTGCTCGCTCTTTCTCTCTCCCAAGGTTGTTCACCAAGCCATCTTCCTTTCCTAGAGAACCTTCTTCCCCTTAGCCTCTGGCCTGCTGGCTCCAAAAGATCCAGCACCTTTCCATTTGCCCCTGGGCCTGCCTGGATTTTATTATTTTTATTTAGAAAAAGAAACTGGAAGAGAACGCATTGAGTAAAGAGAAGAGGAGCAGGAGGGCGAACCCCACAACTGGATGAAGTTCGAGGGAAGAGACTGGGAGCCCCATTTGCTGGTGAAACATGGACCTTTCCCTCTCGATGGCTGCGCTTTAAGTGATGCTGCTTTTTGGAAGGCCTCGTGTCTGGCTGCTGGTGGGAGAAGGCAGAATGGACACTGGCGCGTCCAGGACAGGCGATAAAATGAGGAGTGTGTGCTGGGGGGTGTGAGAGCGGAGGGGAGGGAAAAAAGAAGAGCTTTCTTTGGTTTCTTGTTATTTCCCCCTCCTCCTCCCTTCCCTTCACCTTCCTCTCCCCACTCTCTCTTTCTCTCCCCCCCCCCCCCGCAGCCTCCTTGCAAATGTGATTGTTTTGTCTATCACACAAGGCAAAAGTGGAAGACTCTTCCTGGGTTTTGGGGGTGGGGGAACACACACAAAAAAAGGAAGGAGGCGCAGCAGTGGCTGGCAGGAGCTTGGTGGCGCGGCTGGATGCCTTTTTGGACTTTCCTCGGGAAGGGCTCGAAGCGAGAGGGCGGCCAGCGACGGCTCGGAGGGGAGCAGCACCTTCGCGACCCCATGCTGCCTTCACTCATCCTGTCTCTGCTGTCTCTCCTGGCAGAAGGGGCCAGCCTGCAGCCAATCAGGATGAGCCACCTAGGGGTGTGCCCCAACCAGCTGAACCCCAACCTGTGGGTGGATGCGCAGAGCACCTGCGAGAGGGAGTGCCAGGCCGATCAGGTGAGTCGGGGACGCTGTAGGTGAGCTCGCTCGCTCGCTCGCCCACCCGCTTTGCGAGAGCTTCGGCGCGCAGTTCCGGGCCTAGCCAGCAGGGGGTGGTGCTGTGCTCCCCTCGGGTGAAATGCCCTTCTATGGCAAAAGAGTAATAGCTCAGCCCGGGAGGTCGCATCGCTCGAGGGTTTGTCACCGAGGGAGGCTTAGGAAGGTGCCTCATCTGAAAAGCGCAGGAGTGGCTCCCTTGCATTCAGGATTTTTCGGGATTCAACCTGGGACCACCTGCATGTAAAGCAGATAGATGCTCTGCCCTTGAGCCACAGCCCTTCCCTGGTTTGTAGGCAGAAGGTCTGAGGATCGGCCCCTGGCGATTCCAGTTAAAACAGTCCCCGATAGGCATCGTTCATTCCCAACTCTGCTGAGACCACTGCCAGTCAGAGTGGACAGTGCTGTCCTAGACAGACCAATGATCTGACACAGCATCAGGCAGCTTTATATGCTCAATAAACTTTATGGTGCAGCTGGGAATCTGGCTTCCCTCGAGTTTTTTCGTTTTTGTTTTCTAAGACCTTCTGTTAAGAGGTCTGGAAAGAACCCTATCTGAGATACAGGAGGGTCTTGACAGACCCAGTGGTCTGACTCAGAATTCAGCAGCTTCCTATGTTCCTTCTCTCTGCCAGCAAGGGCAAAGGGACGGTGCCTGCATTTACTCAGCACTCTGTACATGCTCAGAGGATCTATTTTATTTGCTTCTCTGGATGCTTCAGAGATACTGCAGATTGTTAGGCTAATAAGCCTACATCATTTTAGGATTATTTTTCTATTTCTTTTCGGAAGCTACACACCTTCCCTCTTTTGCATAAAACTCAAAACATCAATGTGCCTGGGTATAAAAGTTGCAGCTGTAATCAATTCTCCCTCCATCTGGTTTTTTTTTTGTGGTTTTTTTGCGCACCTTCTCTCACGCGCAATTCCCAGATGCAGGATGTCCTTTAGTCTAGATGGGTCACAGAAATAGGGGTGTCTAATCAAGTCATTGGGGCAAGTAGTACCCCTTCTTCACCTAACGATATGTTGTGCCCCTGGAGCAGTACGGGGGACTGACTCCCGAAGTGGTGACAGGTTTTTGGGTGCCAGTAAGGATGGCAGAATGGGAGAGAGAAACACTTCTGACCCGTGGGGCACAATCAACCACGGAACTCTTATGTGCAAAGAAACTCTTAGGAGCTTCGGATGAGCGCAAATGATATTTGCACAAGAGAACTCCCCAGTGCTAATCTGTCATGGCTCAGTGACAGGGCACATATTTGCACACCAAAGAACTCTGGTTCAGTTCTCCCAACATCTTCAAGTTGGGCTGGGAAATTATCCAGTATGGGAGCCCATTTTAGATAAAGCTGAGCTAGATGGTCTGAGTACGGCAGCTTTTGGTGTACCTCCAAGAAGGAGATCATATCTTGGGTCATCCTTGAGCAAATGCTGCAATTCCAAGGGGGTGGGCAGTGGAGGAACCAATGCTCATGAATGTGGGCATGAATACATTCCAGTTTGGGAAACTGTAACATTTTGCTCAGCCTTAGGACTAAGCTGATAGGCTGGTTCACATTGTCCCTTTTCCTCCTCCATGTGAACAGCCAGGGTCATTGGAACTTCTGCACCTTATCTGTATGCAGCCTGCAGTGTACATGGGTGCCTGCGTGCATGATAGTAGGTATATGCATAGCTCAGAATGAGCCAGGCGACTCAAGGAGAAAAGGAAGTTGCTTTGTAAACCACACAGTCCAAGGGCAGTATCTAACAGTACTCCATCAAGTGTGGAAGTTGCTACAGTGTGCCTCATTCCCACACTCCTGAGACATGTGGAAGAAGCCAACATTGTGGCTCTTTCTCACACTTGCATTGCCCCAGGACAGGTGGTGCTGGCATGGCAAGTAGACATATCACTGGTGTTGTTAGTACAGCACAGGTGGGCATAGTGCCAATGCCCCTTGGGACTAGTGGGGTGGAGAGCAGAGAGGCGAATGGTAGGTGGCGTGCGAGCCAATGACAGGCAGTGCCAAATAATTCCTGGCCCATCCTCTCCTCTGCTGAGTTTTACAAGGGGGTTGGACTAGATGACCCTCGGGGTCCCTTCCAACTCTACAATTATCTGATTCAAAGAAGGCAGGCAAGTTGGGTGGGCAGACATAGGTTGGTGAGGCAGTTCCCTGTTCACCCTAATGGAGCAGTACCCATTCATGCTAATGGTGCAGTCGCCACTGACAGATGGGAATGGTAATTGCTGCTGAGGGAATGGAAGCCCCTACATCACTTCCATGTGGAGAATTCCATGCATTGTCATCATTTTCATTATTACATTTGAAACCATTAAGGAGCTCAAGGCAGCACATATGCTTTCTTGCTCCTTCCTCCCTTTATCCTCACAACAATCCTGTGAGGGAGGCTAGACTGAGAGAGAGAGAGAGAGAGAGAGAGAGAGAGAGAGAGAGGGAGACTCAAGGGTCACCCAGTCAGCTGAGTGAGGATTTGAACCCGCATCTCCCCACTCCTAATATGACACAGTATAAACCATCACATAGGAAACAACACACAATATGTTTCCATGTAGGAAAGTCTTTCTTGTGTGAAGTGGTCCTTCCTTCCTTGGGAGGTGCAAGCGGTTGCTAGGAAACCAGAATAGGATCCTCCATGACTCTGGCTTTAACACCCACCCTCAAATACTTGGTTAAGCCCCATCCTCTGCTTTTGCCATCCATCTCTCTTATCAGTCCCCCACATAACTGGAAATTTATATATTTGCATATGTGATGGCAACTGGAGGAGGAGAAAGAGAGGACAGAGGATGTGAGCGGAGGTGGGGACCTTCTTCCCAAACTTTGGACCTCCTGGGAAACTCGGCAAACCTACTGTACCTGGAACTGGGTGTGGAGAGTACAGTTGAATGGGACACAGTTGTGGGTAGCCAGAGAAGGTGTCATCCACCTGCCTATAGAAAGCAAGTCTAGAGTGAGAGACTAGGGTGATGTCTGCTGTTTCCAGGAACTCTTCTCCCTGTAATACTTTCCTGGATGATCTGAGAGTTTATTTGGACCCTGGGTGAGAACCTGGAGGCTGAGAGGGAGGGTGTGTCAGAAGGAAAATGAACTGATGCTGATTTTTAAAATATATTAGTAACTTTCTATTAATTTTTATATGCAGTTGTTTATTTTTGTAATATTTTGATTAAGTTGTCTGTTGTTGCTTCAGTTTTCTATAAACCACTTAGAAATATTTTTTAACATATTAAGCGGTATAGAAATCAATCAATCAATCAGCTTTGTCAAATTGTGGCTGTGCTACTTAGTTTTTGTCTGGGAAGGGAGTTGAAAGATTCTTTGCAATTAATCCCTCCCTTCCTCTCATTCCCTTGTGTGAGAGACCGTCCAAAAACATCTTTTTTGCTCAAAGTGGTAAACTGGTTCCTCCATCCCCACCCCAGTCAGGGTCAATTTTAGTCAAGCAACTTCTTATGTGATAAGGAAGCAGCAATGCCACCCCTCCCCCCCCCCCGGTGAGAGCACAAGTACCTCAGAGGTAAAATTGTACCCCACAGCTTAGAGCATGGTTGGGGCTTGTGGTCCTCCAAACATTGTTGAACGACGCCTCCCATCAGCCCAGCATGACCAACGTGGCCAATGGTCTGGGATGATGGGAGATGGATTCTGACAACACCTGGAGGGCCACAGGTTCCCCAGGCCAAAGCCAGATCTAGGGGAGTGCGACTGGTTCAGTTGCACTGGGTGCAGAGCTTCTGGGGCAGGTGCCACAACAATGAAAAGCAACAGGAGGCAAAGGGGCAGATTTTGGCATTGCACAAAGCACCACTGAAATTTGAGATTCCAAGGTCCTCCACTGCCGAGGCCTGGTTAAGGGAACTGAAGGGTCAATGGAGCCAGAGCCAACTGAATTAAACTGCAAGCAGAGCCACTAATTCTGGTTTTGTCCCCATCTTCCTCCTCCTCCCTGTTTAGTTCTACAGTGACAACACTGAGACTCAGGAAGGAAGAAGAAGATGACAGGCAGGACAGCTCCCAGGACTGGTTGCAATAAGAATGCAGGCAGGTGGCTGCAGGCAAGCTCAGGTTGATGGGCCACATTCACCCTTATGGACCAGCCTGCACTGTAGATGTGTGTATTAGAGGCAGGTTGCTTGACAGCGGCATATATAAGCATATAGGAAGACTTGGGGATGCTGTTTCTGCTAGGTCACAACCATAGCTGTCAACGTTTCCCTTTTTTTAAGGGAAATTCCCTTATTCCAAATAGGATTCCTCACAAGAAAAGGGAATAGTTAACAGCTATGGTCACAACCCAGAGGAGGCCCGTAGGCCCCATCTGCACTATGTGCTTAAATCAGTATCACTGATTTTTAAACATGACTTTTAAACAGTCATGGCTGTTTAAGGTGGTTATGCTGCTGCTGTAATTGCACAGAGGAGATGGGGCCTTACACAGGCAGCTATGTATTTAGACACAGGGGCAGAGCACAGGTGAAGTGGCCTACTACCGGGGCATCCATTTTGTTCTTCCTCACACATGAGCTGATTCATGAGGTTAAAAAAAGAAAAAGGCCCTTTCCAGAAAAGCTGGGAGTTCGCCAGGAGATGCTTCTCCTGTCTGAGCCTCTCCTGAGCTCTCTCTGCCTCCCTTTTTTGCTTCAATGGGATGCCAGAGGGAGGTGCTGACAGCCCTAGACAAGCCATGCTGCCTCATCCGGAGATGGGTGGCATTCTCTGGACCACAGACTTCCCTCCCTTCGAGCCAAATAATTCATCCCTGAACCTGCTCTAGGTCTCACTGAGGTGTTAAAAGGTTGGTGGGGGGGGAACCGAAGGGGCCTCCATATTCAAATTTTTTTAATCCCCCTTGTGTGCGGAGGATTACTCCATCAAGGCCCTTTCCTTCCTTGCTTGTTTCAAGGGGTTTGTGGTTTAGGCCACAATCCTAAAGCAAGATGAATGTCAGCTGAGGGGCCAATAGATGCTGCTTAACTGCTGCTCTGCCAACAGAAGGAGGTTCCCCTGCAGAATGGCACTTAACATCACTGGCACACCCACAGAAAACCCTCAGAAGCTGCCTTATACTGAATCAGGCCCATTGGTCCATTTAGCTTGGTAATTTCTACATTGGCTGGCCGAGGCTCTTCAGCCTTTCAGGCAAGGATCTCCCCCAGCAGCACTTGGGAGAGGCCAGAATTTGAACCTGGGACCTTCCGCATGCAAAGCAGATGTTGAGCTATGACTGACCTACTATGGTTTTCCCGCAAAAGCAAAATAAGCTGTTTTATATTGAATCCATCCAGCTCAGTTCTGTTGACACTGACTGGCAGCCGCTCTCCAGGGGTTCCAGGCAGGGGACATTCCCAGTCCTAACCTGGAGGTGCTGGGGATTAAACCTGGGACCTTCCACAGGGGTGGATGTATCCGTGGTAGTGTGTGGAAACAGGGCACTTTGGGGGCAAATGAGAATCAGCAAGACCTCTTTGTTGACCTTCATTCTCCCACAAAGGGGCCCTCAAGTATGCCAGTCCTGCCGCTGGTGTAACTAATTCCCTCCCATTCACCACAACTTGTATGGGAGAAGCGGACTGTGGGGGTTAAGAAAAATCATGGCCACAGTTTAGAGAAGGAAAAGGCACCGCAACACCACTCTGGCTGCAGTGAGCCAGCAAGGTTTTGGAAACCACCACAGAAGTGTCCCCTCAGCACCAGCATAGAATTAATTTATTTGCCCAGGTTTCTCCTGACCCATGAAATTGGGCCCTGGTTTATGTGTATGAAGCCCCTGAATCTGTTTTATTTGCTTTTTATGTTTGTTTTATTGATTTTAAGCTGTACAGTACATTAACAAAAAACTACAATTAGGCTGTTTTAATGGGAGCTGATTTCATTTTGCACTTAGTGTGCACTCACTGCTTCCTATAGATAGATAGATATAGATAGATATAGATAGATGATAGATAGATAGATAGATAGATAGATAGATAGATAGATAGATAGATGATAGATAGATAGATAGATAGATGATAGATAGATGATAGATAGATAGATAGATAGATAGATAGATAGATAGATAGATAGATGATAGATAGGTTTAGAATAAAGGCTTCCAGAATAAAAGTAAGATACAAAACCACACATAACTGATTAATAATAAGCCAGCCAAACCACCACCCAGCCCCCAAATACAAAAATCCAGATAACTCACCATCTGTCCAATAAAACAACAGGATTACTCTGCCAAATAGTAGCAGGGTTTTTTGTTGTTAAACTTCTGGTTGTGAGCTATTTTTTAATGTGATTTAATTGTTATAGGAGATGCCATTTCTTGCATATTTTGTTATTTCCATGGAGTGGGAACTGCCTGGAGAATGGCTGCAGTTCCGTAATAGAGCATCTGCTTTGCATGCAGAAGGTCTCAGATTCAATCCCTGGCGGGGCTGGGATAGTTCCTTGTCTGAAATCCTTGTCTGAACTAGTTGGGCTGAAGTTGGACTCCAGTATAAGGCAGCTTCCTATATGCATAATTATTTATTGAATTTGAATTCATACCCCACCTTCCTCCCTAAGGAGCCCTGGGTGGCAAACAGTTACACAACTTAAAAACAAAGCAGAAACATTCTTAAAATGTTAAAACTTACAATTGAAAACATTCTAAAAGCAATAGCAGTTAAAAGCATACTTCCATCCAGCTATCATATTATTGTAAAGTTGGAAGGGATCACGAGGATCTAGTCCAACCCCCTGCAATGCAGGAATCTTTTGCCCAACGTGGGGCTCAAACCCACGACCCTGAGATTAGAGTCTCGTGCTCTGCCAATTTAGCTATTTTATCTCAGGATTACCAGGAACAGTATTCTTCAGCTACCAGATATGCTTGTGTGAACAGGTGTGTTTTAAAATTCTTCCCAAAAGTTAATGGGTGGAGACAGGCTCACCTCACAACAGAGGGCATTCCACAACTGGGGAACCACCACCAAAAAGGCCCTGTCACACCTAGTTTGGTGGAAAAAACGATGCCGATTCACTCAAATCTAAAAGTTCTGCTCCTCCTCCTCCTCTGCAGGACTGCGAAGGCTTTGAGAAATGCTGCACCAACGTCTGTGGCCTGCGGAGCTGTGTGGCAGCCCGCTACGCGGACGGAAGCCTCTCCTCGCTGGAGCTGGTGCAAGAAGCCACATGCGAGAGCTTTGTGTGCACGCAACAGGGCTCGGACTGTGACATCTGGGACGGGCAGCCCGTCTGCAAGTGCAAGGACAGGTGCGAGAAGGAACCCAACTTCACCTGCGCCTCCGACGGACTCACCTACTACAACAAGTGCTACATGGACGCCGAGGCCTGCATCCGGGGCATCAGCCTGGCCGTGGTGCCGTGCAAGTACATTTTCACCTGGCCCAACACCAGCCCGGTGCCGATGGAGACCACGGCTCACCCGACGCCCGGCGCAGGCACTGAGCTGCCCATACCGCCGGCCCTCTACAACAACCCCTTCCACCAGTTGGTCTACGTGGGGGGCACAGTCAGCTTTCACTGCGATGTGAGTGGGCGGCCGCGCCCCGACATCACGTGGGAGAAGCAGAGCGACCACCAGGAAAACTTCATCATGCGGCCCGACCAGATGTATGGCAACGTGGTCGTGACCAACATCGGCCAGCTGGTCATCTACAACGCCCAGCCGGAGGACGCCGGGATCTACACTTGCACGGCCAGGAACTCCGCCGGCCTCCTGCGGGCGGACTTCCCGCTGTCTGTTGTCAAGAGAGAGCACTCCAGAGGGGAGCCGAAGGCATCCAGCCCTCCTCAGCTCCCGCCCGGCGAGTGCCTGAAGGAACCTGACAAGCAGGAATGCGAGGCCTACCAAGTCCGCTGGCATTTTGACTCCAAGAGAGGCTTGTGCACCACTTTCCGCTATGGCGGTTGTGGGGCTAACCAGAACCACTTCGACACCTACGAAGAGTGCCAACTGGCCTGTGTCAATAACGCCGTCAACCTCTGCACTCTCCCCATCGTGCAGGGCCCCTGTAAGAACTGGGAGCCCCGCTGGGCCTACAACCACCTGATGAAGCAATGCCACTCCTTCATCTATGGCGGCTGCGAGGGCAACGAGAACAACTTCGACGGCAAGGAGAGCTGCGAGGACGTCTGCCCTTTCCCCAAGACGCTGCAGTGCAAAGCCTGCCGTCTGAAGAGCAAGATGGTGCCCAGCCTCTGCCGCAGCGACTTCGCCATCGTGGGACGGCTGATGGAGATCATCGAGGACCAGGATTCTGGCATTGCCCGCTTTGCCCTGGATGACATCCTCAAGGACGAGAAGATGGGCCTCAAATTCTTCAACATCAAGTACCTGGAGGTGACCTTGACAGATATGGACTGGAACTGCCCCTGCCCCAACATGACCACTGAGGACGGCCCCCTCATCATCATGGGCGAGGTGCAGGAAGGCATGGCGGTCCTCGACCCCAACAGCTACATCCGGGCCGCCAACGATAAGCGGGTCAAGAAGATCCACGAACTGCTGGAGAAGAAGACGTGCGAACTTCTCAACCGGTTCCAGGACTAGCATGGGCGGCAGTGACAGCTGCTGCTTGTCTGTGGCAGAGAAGGGAAGGCAGACAAAGGCTGACGTCCCTTTCCCCAAGAGACTCTGCTCTCCTTTTCTTGTGCTGTGCTGCAGCTATGCAAGGACTGGGTTGGAGACTGGCAGGACAAATCTGGCGCTCCTGGAAAGCCCATGAGCCTCCAAGTGGGTCCAGAGTGCAGAGGGGCGAATCCTTATTCCATGCCACCTTCACGGACCTGCCTCTCATTTTTAGATGTTTTCAGTTATTATCACTACTGTTTCAATGAGCTCCATTATTGCTTGTAACTACCTATTGTCTGTTTTTGTGTGTGAGAGAGAGCTGTAATTTATCTGCGCCTGTGACATCCCTCCAGCCCAGCCTATGTGGAATTAATAATAATAATAACGAAAAGGAAATCCTGTGTTCCTTCTACACTGGAGGCTGTTCTCTACCAGCCCCTTTCTTTCCTGTTGTAAAAGCAAATTCTAGCTAAAAAGGTCATGAGGACTAGCCTCCCATCAAATAATGGCAAAGGGAACGGGGAGAAACAGGCTTACTGTAGCCGGATGCGGGTGGGGAGCAGAGTTTGCAAAATGTGAGAGGGACCTTCCTAAGGAAGGAAGAACAATTGCTAAGGGAGAAACAGAAAGTGACAACCACCTGTCCCATATGTGGCTGGATGAGGAAATTAGATCCTTTTTGGCATTGATTTGCAGTGCTCATGTGGCTATTCCACTTTTGGACTTGTTCTTAAGGCAGGGATGGGGAAATTGCCTGCCGCATGGCCCAGGATGTTGTAGTTCAGCAACATCAAGGACTGTCTTAAAGCAATATTGTGGGCCTACAGCAGTGCTGGCCAAAGCAGAATCGCCTCCCCATCACAAGCAATCCTATGCAGAGCCACACTTATTTGGACAATCAGTTTGGGGTTATTTTGCTGTGTGCAGCAATGGACGGAAAAACAACCACTTAAAGCCTGCATGAACCCTTTCTTGTTCTAGTGTGGGAGGGAAAATGCTTCTGATGACTGCCTGATGCTGGAAGCTCAGGAGTGGAGCGTGCTCTTGCTCTCAGGTCCTGTTTGAGTCTCCCTGCCTGTCAGAACAGGATACTGGACTAGGTGGGTCATTTGCTTGATCCAGTAGGCTCTTATATTCAGAGATGGATTCTGGATCAAATTTTATCTTCTCAGGTTACATATTGCAAGGTTTACTCCTTTGTTATGGAAGCTGCTTTGAACATTATTATAACAGAAAAGTGGAGGTACAAATATTTAATCTAAACTTCGGCTTTGCTTGTCATCAACCTAGACTACGTAGGAGAGTAAAGCTCTGGTACTTCAATCGAGTACAGTAAATGAATACATTTCTCACATAGCAATACCCAAGCAATATATTTATTTGCACTCAAATGCAGCAGAGTCCACACAGTATTACATCCACACAGATCTCCCCGGCAAAGTTATTCCTCCTTGCTATTCCCATAAGCTCAGCCCTTAGCTATACATTGTTGCTGTTCTAGTGGCTGATCACCACTAGAGGGAACTATTACTTCATACAGATTTTTTAAAAGATGTGCTGGAGTGATTTGCTACCTCTTTTCAGGAACACTTGGAACAGGCAAAGAGGGGGGGGAAATTACTCAGTTGAAGACATATTAAAGCTGCTAGACTGTAAGCTAACCTACAGATGCAGGTGGGTATGATGTTACTGGGGTGGTAGTGTTTCAGAATACAGGCATGGAATTACATTATTGAATACCCAGTATTTTAACAACTTTGTTAAAACTCTCTTGAATTCAGAAAACAAAACGCTTGGGGGAAAGGCTAGCATAGTGCCATTTCCCTTCACATCCTAGTTTTCCCTGGGCAGGGATATTTTGATGGTGGGGGGGGGATTCAATTGTGCAACCCACATCTGCAGTCCCAAATGGTACAGGCCCAGCAATCTCATAGCATGCCGTTTATCTGGATGTGTCTGGTGTTGTATTGCCAGAATTCATGTGGTGTAAAATCCTAATCATGAGTGCAGGGGAGGAATCTGCAGGCCTCCATATTGCCAAAAAAAATAAAGTCCCCCCCTACAGCCACTCCTTCATAAGCAGAGTAATGAGGCTGATGAGATTGAGGGTTTGCACCTCTTTTGCTCAGGGAGATGGCTAACCTGTGGCCCTCCAGATGATGTTGGACTACAACTCCCATCACCCCTGGCCATGTAGGCTGGGGCTGGTGGGAGTTGGAGTCCAACAACCACTGAAAGGCCAAAGAGTTCCCATTCTCCTTTACTGGGTGGGTTGTTGGCACATTGTGGCATCGACTTTTGCTCTAAGGAGCATGGGAAGAAAAGGAACACAGCAGAATTTGGAGGCTGGGGTGGGAAGAAGGAGGAAAGGAAAACAGTCCCAGCCTCTTCCAATGGGAGGACTGTAAAGAGTACTAGTCATCAAATCCATCTTTCCCATATAGCTCTGCACGATAGCCTTCGGTTACTTGGGGAAGTGTCATTCTGAGCTTTCCTTCCTCCCATATTCCGTAATATTTTCTACTCCGAAATCCCCTCTTAACCCAAAAGTCACAGTTGCAGGGTCAAAAGACATTGAGGTCTCCATCAAAGAAGGCCTGAAAACAAAGCCTTCACTGAAGCAGGCAAAAGGTAATAATCATGCACAAGAGACAAAGGTGGTTTGAGATGGGTACATGGATGCCCATGTCTAACCCACAATGTCGAAACCAGCAGCGAATACCAAAATCGAAGCATGAATGGGCTAGCTGGGGGACCCGCAGGCCCTCCAGATGTGCCTGGGCTCACAGTTCCCTCCATCCCTGCCTCCGCCCCTGGCCATGCTGCCTGGGGGCTGATGGGAATTGGGAGTCCAAGCACATCTGGGAGGACTGCAGCTCCTCCATCCCTGTGCTAGCTCAACACTGGCCAGAAACCTTTGGGCAAAGCTCCATTCTCTGTAAAGGCTTTTCTCTCCTGATGCAGATCTTCACACAGGACATCATTCCCATCTCACCAAGAGCTATTTTCACCCAGGAGCCGAAGAAGCTACTAGAAACCTGGTGGGCTTGAGCACAACAGACACAGAGCAAATTTGGCGATGGCAGGCGACACTTTGACCGTCCTTGGTGGTCCCTTCTCCTTGGCAGAGAAAGTGGATGGGCTGGCTTAGTGTTTGCGGAAAACAAGACACTTGTTGTTTGCAGGCATGTCGACCTGGAAGCAGAAAATCTTGAGGTTACTTGAGATACTTGGCAGCCACATTATATGGACGCAGGCACACAGTTCAACTCTTTAGGTGTCTCCCCCTCCAAGCCAGATTCTCATTGCAGGGGGTGGGGAGAGTGAGGGGCACATTCCCTAGACCCTCTCCCTCCCTTGTACGACTTTCTCCTCTCCTGCAGCTCCCCACATGTTGGGGGCTGAACTTCTGCACTGGCAAACCTGCCCTGCTCCTGTAGGCAATGACAATAATTCGGTGGTAGGGCATCTACCTGGCATGCAGAAGGTCCCACACTCAGTCCCTAGCATCTCTGGGCAGCCCTGGCACAGAACCCTTTCTGACATTCTGGAGAACCACTCAAGTGCAGGCAACACAGAATGGGATGTACTAATGGTCTGACTCAATATAAGGCAGTTTCTTAGGCTCTCCATGCAACTCAGAACCCTGGAGGGTCAGGAACCTAAATTGCTTGGAGAGCCCAGCATGTGTGGGAAACCTCTGGAAGAGGCGGTTGTAGGGTGGTGGAACCGGTGCAGTGATACTGGGTGCCACACTGCAGGGGCGCCACAACAATGCTGAAGAATGGAAGGTGGGGACGTTGAATTTTAGTGCTGCTGTGGAATTGAAGAGCCCAAAGACTGCAACCCCCTTTAGCCATCCAGCTGTTGACGAACTATACAACTCCCACCGCCCCTGGCCGTTGGCCATGCTTGCTGGAGCTGATGGGAGTTGTAGTTCAGTAACATGCAGAGGGCCAAAGGTTCCTCACACCTGACCCACAAGAATGTCTAACACACTCTGCTTCAGAACAAGACAAGAAGAGCCCTGCTGGATCAGACCAAAGGCCCATCCAGCCCTGCATTCTCACCATGGCAAACCAGAAGACTGCCAGGAGAACCTCAGCTACACACTCCCTCCAGCTGCTGTTCCCAGCAACTGATCCCCAGTGGATGAAGGACACAGCCACGGTGTTCTCATAGTGAAGGCACTTGCCAAGAGACAAATTTGCTCCTCCCAAATCTATTTGCAACACGTATTTCCCCCTCCCTCACCCACAGACATCCTGCTGCCATTCGTGGAGGTATGCTACTCTACACCTGGCCATCAAGACTTCAGTGGTGGGAGAAACCAGCTGGGGAACCCCAAAGGAACTCCCAGGGGAAGAAGGCTCAGAGCCAAGGGGTTGGTGGTGGGATGACAAATAGTCGTCAGAGGCAGAAGAAGGAGCAAACTGGGAGGAGGTGTCGGAAGATGAAGGGGAAACAGGGTTTGGGGAGCAGGAAGAGGCTTTGGCAGAGAGCAGTCCAGAAGAGGAGACTGGAGAGGAGAGGGACCAAGAAGCAGAGATGAGTCAGGCTGGTGTCAGGGTGTCACCCGCTTCTGCTGCAACCAGATCCCTACCCCACTGGTCTCCCAGAACCAGAATAGGGAGGAGCTTGGGAAGGACCCAGGGGAGGAGGAGATTTAGAGAGCTGTGGAAGGCAGGGACCTTCAGTTATCGCAACTGCCTCATTAGGGCAAGATCTACTGGGAAGGGATGCTGTGATTATTACACCTAGCCACCTAAGCAGAACTTGCTTCCTTGAATAAAGAATTAACTTTACTGATGTCGTGTGACTTATGCTCCTGACACCCATCCCTGACAGGTGCCCATCTTCCCAGACCCTTGGGCCATGCTAGTAAAGGTAAAGGGACCCCTGACCATTAGGTCCAGTCGTGACCGACTCTGGGGTTGTGGCGCTCATCTCGCTTTATTGGCCGAGGGAGCCAGCATACAGCTTCCAGGTCATGTGGCCAGCATGACTAAGCCACTTCTGGCAAACCAGAGTAGCGTACAGAAATGCCATTTACCTTCCCGCCGGAGTATTTATCTACTTGCACTTTGACGTGCTTTCAAACTGCTAGGTTGGCAGGAGCAGGGACCGAGCAACGGGAGCTCACCCCGTCGCAGGGATTCGAACCGCCGACCTTCTGATTGGCAAGTCCTAGGCTCTGTGGTTTAACCCACAGCACCACCCGCGTCCCTTAGCCATGCTAGCCGGAGCTAAGAAGAGCCAAACAATAATTGTGGGGCGACACACTCCCCCTCCCCCAAAACCCATTCTTTAGGTTCCTATGACCACCTACCATCCTCTCCAACCACATCCTATTGATCTCAGCAAGCTGCTGCAGCAAAGCCGTGTCCCGGAGGCCCCAGGCTGGGTTTCTGTGGTTGGGAGTGGAGGGGAGAAGAAAGAGAGAGAATGAAGTCAATCACTGTATTCAAGAGGTGCTTACATACAGAGAGCAACACTGCTGCCTCCACATGAGGGTTTCCTACCCACCCATGTCAGAAACCTGCTTGAGTGATATCTACAATGGCTTAACAATCACTCCCTCTTCCCAGGGAACTCTGGGAGTTGTAGCTCTTCGTGTGTGGCTAACGATGGCCTGAATTGGGCCATATCTGTGCTTTACATGCCAAGCAGTGTTATACCGCTTTAGCAGTCATGACTTCCCCAAGTGTGGCCAGGAGACCCCGACTTCCCTCACAGAGCTACAGTTGTCAAGAGTGGTGTAACTGTCAATCCCTCTTCGCAGGGAACTCTGGGAACTGTAGTTCTGTGAGGGGAATGGGGGCCTCCTAACAATGCTCAATGAACTACAATCTTGAGGATGCATAGTGGTAAGTCATGACTGTTTAAAGTGGTATAAGAGTGCTTTGAATGGATGGTGCAGATGTCAACCAAGTAAAACTCAGGAGTAGAGCCACACTACTCTTCCTTATTTTATATACTGTTCAATCAAAAATAAATAAATCTCTAAGCCATTTGCATAAAATGGTATAAAATAAACATTTAAAAATAGCAAAGGTAACCCCAGAACCCAGAGACTTGAGAAACAGTAGACATAAATAAAACCATCCAAATATACATAAAAAACCAACAGATCTTTGAGCCTGATAAAATTACATGTCTGGCTAGACTTGCTGAAACAAAAACAACAACAAAAAAGGGGTTTTTTTACCAAGCACTGGCCATAGTGCTTAATATCAGTAGGCAGGGAGTTCCTAATGGTACCTACTGCCATGCTGAAAGTGAAGATTCCTTGCAGTTGCAGAATGAACATTATGCAGGACTTTTGAAAATGCCTTTTCTGCAGATGGAAACGGCTGAGAGGGCACAGTAAACTAGTTCCAAAGCTGCTGAGGGCTTTATATGCTATGAGTAACTCCTTCGATTTGGCCTAGCTCCTCCTTACCTCTGCCTCAAGTAGTAATCAAAGTCCACGTTGCTCTGTGGGTAGATGCAGCCATTCACAGCATAAGGCTTGGGGTGGAATCAGGCAGGGGGAAAACACACCAAACAGTTTAAGACAAAGTGGTATCAAACAATCAATTTTTTTTTTTAAGTGTTGTTGTTTTTATAAAAATCAAATAATGTGTGGGTTCTTTGTCCTGCCACCCCTTAACTCAGAACTGGGGGGAAAAATCTAAGAATTGAGACAGCCAAGTTCCTCTTAATGAAGCTTTCAGAAGTTATGGGGGGCTTAGATTACAGAAAGCTTAAAAAAACCCCAGCAACCATCAGCCCTGTTACCTCAAAGTTGGCAGTGTGAGAAAATGCACCTTGGATTTTCTGCAGAGCCAAGGGTTGCCACTAGGGGGGGACATGGCATACTGTTGGGAATGAATGCGACCAACTTCGGAAAAAACCAAAAAACCCGAGACCGAAGCAAAACATCACAAGAATCTCTATACACAGAATCACTAGGCTGTTGCAAAGGATAAACCTGCAGCCCTCAAAAGGTGGTTACTTCAGTTGCCCTCATTCTCAGCCAGAGTGACCAATGGCCAAGGATGTTGGGAGTTGTGGTCCAGTTACATCTGGATTGGCACAGGTTCTGCACCACCACCAGAGGCCCAAGAACATCAGCTTTGCGTTCTGGTTACTTTAGAGCAGCCTTCCCTGAGCTGTGCCGTCCAAATGTTTCAGCCTACAATTTATACTCCAAAACATCTGGAGGGCGCCATCTTGAGGGAAGGCTGTTCTAAGGAAACACAACATAAAGGAGTTCAGGGTCCTTGTATCATCACGCCCAGGGTCAAAACTACATGTGGCATTAAAAGCACCTTTGGGGGGGGGGAAATTCAAGGGTTTTTAAAAAGAAGTAAATATAATTTTCCCCGCTCCTTTTTAAGTCCTGAGAAAAATCCTTCCTCTGCTACTACTTGCAAATGGAAGGCAATTTCCCAGGGCATTATCTGTATGTAGCCAAATTCATACAACAGAGCAAATTGGGAGGAACTGCAAGTTTTGCACAATGTTTTTTGTTTTCTTTAACTGCTGGTTGGAGCTGATGGGAGTTGTAGTCCAAAATATCTAGAGGCCACTCACTTGGCAAAGGCTGCTTCAGGAACAGCAGCATCTAGATTACAAGGATCCTGACTGACAGCTTACCCCGTATGTGACCATCACCGCTTTAGGCTTTAACAGCTTTCCTGCTCCTCTGAACAAACCCTGTGGTTGGGGGCAGGGGGAGGCAGGGAATAATTAAACAAAATGCAAAGGAAATAGGTTAACAAGCACATTTGGAAAGAGTGGATTTCATGAGAATCACAAAGCGTTTGTAGGATATGTATAAAAATTAGCAAGAAAGTGGCAACTGATCTTTCCAGTAGGATCATTCCTGTGTATCTAAATTCTATTTCTTGCAGATTCCTTACGGAATAGTAAAAGAACACAATGTAAGTTTTGCAAAATTGTAGTTGGTTTCCAGAGCAAGAGGCACCTTAGACTACCTCCTCTCCATAGATGCAGTTGGTCAACAATGGGAAATGGACTCTATGTAGACTCAAGGGTGCTTCCTCTAAGCATGTGCAGAGTACATTTCTCTCACTGTTGCATCAATTTATTTGTAGGAATGCATGCAGGTCCCGCTTTCTGAACATTCAATGTGTTAAAAGTCACTTATCCAAACACAGTGAATTAGTACTCAAACCTTACTATACACACAACAGATTCAGATATCCAAACAAAACATTTCTTTTTTATTTCCTTGTTTGCCTTTTACTGGTTGGCTGAGGAACAGAGGGAAGAAGGGAGGGAAATCAGAGAACATTTTTTAATATTTTTTGCTTTCGGGGGTCAAAATTCAGTGTAAATTTTCCCCACAGGAATCAATGGAAATTATTAACTCATTATGCAAACACTCTCATAACTAATAATTTCTAGGAAACGCATTGTTTTCGGTAAGCGAGACCTGCGTGTACTTCTAACCTGCCAAATCATTGAAAAAGGTCTCATGGCAGTGTAATAATAAATTTGTTAAACCACCATAAAATTACAAAATCATAAGACACAGGAGATATGACCAACACTGAATCTAATTAATTCTCTAAAATCACTTGGGAAAACAGAAGCATTTTCTGCCGGCAGCAAAATATCAGAATTGTTAGTGTTGGTCTGATTTCAAAGGGAATGGCATTCCAAAGGCCTGGTGCCGCTATACTAAAAGCCTCAGCTGGCCATATGGTGCACCATTTGTAGGTGTATAAGCAACTGGGAGCAACACACTAGATTTCTGCTGTTGGTGATGCAGGTTCCCTAAATTAGCAAACAGCCCAGGAAAGGTTGTTAGCTAGAAGGACATTCAACCAAGAACCACAAGATGGCGCTTGCATTAGCTACACAGAGACCACTCAAGTCCAAAAGCAAGGAAAGTGTAACTGCCTTCATTGCAACTCACTGATGGGAAGCTGGAGAAGGCGCATCCAATCAGGGCAGCAGCAGAGACTAAGGGTTAAAGCCCCCAACTCAACCTTCTCCCAATCCAGCTCACTTTCCTCTCTTTGCAACGACTATTTCTTTTGAAAAATCTTGAATGCCATAGCTGATCATTTGGGCTGCAAAAAGTCCAGGAGTTGGTAGGAACTCTTGGGTTGAAGATTAAGCAGAAATACAAAAACAAAAGTGGGAACTGATAGGACTAATACCCTTAAACTCCACAGAACACATTCCCCGTTCCATTATTCCAATGAGCAAACTAAGGTTTGTCTCCTTCCTTCCAGTTTTTGTTTGGGCCCTTAACATGCAGCCTGCTGAAGAACCCAAACAAACCTGAAAGCTTGCTTTCTCTCACAGACCATTTGATATAAAGGGATTACTCTACTGTAATTTTGGCTTTCATCCCCTCTCAAATGGATCAGTTGTGCATATTCTGAGAATTTTCGAATCGACCATCTAAATCAGGGGTGGTCAACCTTCTTATACCTACGGCCCACTAACGCATCTTTCTTGATGGTGAAATTTCCTTACCACCCACCAATGTTCGATGGAAGGAGGATTCAGCTTGTGCCATAGAACCCCCTACTGCCCACCTAGAATCCTGAAACACCCACTAGTGGGCGGTAGGGACCAGGTTGACAACCCTTGGTCTAAATGGATGTTACTTCATTTAAAAGCAGATTCTTAAAATCTTATCTGGGGTGGGGGGGAATTAAGTGCCACGGTTCTTGGCACTGTCTATGATTATATGAACAAGGCTTAGTAACATAAGTAACTAGAGACTACAAGGTTCTGCTGCTAGCACACAGCTAAACATGCATCTACTACTACTTATTAGTGCAACACACACTTACTGACTTTAAAAGGAATTAAAAATCACTTTTTTCTTCCAGTTTAGAAGCATTTCCTGACTTAATGGCCTGTTGTTGCTTACCAGTAGAAACCAGCTAAGGAGCTACCTACGTATGATTTGGACCTACTGCCAGGAAGCTTCTAAGATGTCAAATCAAAACAGTTAGTGTTATCTTTCCCCAACCTGCAGAATTGGATTTAGGGTTGTGCAGGTGGTTCCCCTGCAGAGGGCATTGAGTCAAGGGGCCATAAAATTGAGAAGATCCATACCTGAGAAGATCGAATTGACCCCTGCCAACCTGATACCCGCTTCCAGATGTTGCTGGACCACAACTCCCACCACCCCTGACCAGTGGCAATGCTGGATGGGAGTTGGAGTTCAGCAGCTTTTGGAGCGCCAGTCTTGGGCCAGGTACTTGGTCCAGCAAGCATTTGGCTCAGGTGGTGCTTGGCAGTCTGATTCTACTGGTGGGCGGGGTCAAAAGCAAAGGTGGGTGGAGTCATTAATATAAATTTTACCTTTGTACAGCTGACTACTTTCTTCATTCACACCCCACTTTCTCTCTCTTGATCAGGCAGGCAAAAGGCATTATCCAAATTGCCCTAATAGAAATGTACAGAAAAAAGTTTCCCATTCCCACTATAAGCACTTACCTGGGAGTAAGAGGTAAAGACACTCCTTTTTACCTTCTGGCACCCTAGATGGATATTTTAGGGCCTTACCTTATTCCTGTGATTGCATTTTAAACTTTTTAAATAAATTGCTTTCTTTTGCCACATATAACATTACAAACTTAAAAGAGATACAGAAATGAACAATGGCTTGCCTGTTTGGTGCCATATGGTCCACAACTTTAAAAAGAAATTGATACAGTGTGGACAAATGGTTATTGCAGATACATAAATCCAACGCTACAAATAATATTATGATTCCATGGAAGCGCAATGGAGCGGTCCTTAATAAGTCCTGGGGTGCAATCAAATTCACATAAAATCATACTTTGCAAGAACTTCCTGTAGCACCGCATTTCAAACTGTTTTTAGCATGGTGTTTCTGTTGTCCTAACCCGCCCCGGCACCTTAGGGTGAAGGTTGGGTAAATAAATCAGAATAATATGAAGTCCCATTCAGCTCAGTGGGCTTGACTTCCCAGCAGACACAGTACAGGCTTTCACTGCCAAGCGGGCTGACAGGAGCGTGGCCTCACCTCCGTGCAGCTCATGTCCGAGATATGAATCATGTTGATGTTGACAATGAGGTCCAGAGAGTCCGGGCGCAAGCCGCCCCACGTCTCCCAGCTGCGCGATGCATCCAAGTAAATGGGTGGTTTGACATTCGGGAGGCGGTACGCCCTGATAAATTCAGAAATGCTAGAAAGAGAAGGAAGAGAGCCAGACTGCAGATGGGGCAAGGGTCAACGGTAGAGCCGGCACCAGCAGCTTGCTCTCAGTAGGGACAGGGGTGCCATCAGGGTAGGAGACTCTGGGTTACAAGTCCAGGGCCCTTCTCAGCAGGAGAGCCTCCAGGAAAAGCAGGGATGGATGATCTCATGTATGAGATGTCTATTGCCATTTACAGAGGAGGCCTTGCACAAGTCCATTAACTGCACAGTCTGAATGTGGGAAAATAGGAAGCAACGTTTGGTCCACCAAGCTCAGTAGTTTCTACAAAGGTTGGCAGCAGCTCTTTGGGGGTTTCATGCAGCCCTACCTGGAGATGCCGGAGACTGAACCTGGAGCCTTCTGCATGCAAGGCAGATAATCCTGCCACTGAGCTAAAGGCCCATTCCTAAAATGGCTTCATTGCACCACCGAACCAACCAGTTGAAAGCATAAAGCAAATCCAGCTGATAAATGAAGTGCAAAGGAGGTTTAATTAATCAATTAAACCTGCATAAGTTGTGCATAGGAGGGAAATGACCCACACCCTTCCTAAAAAAAGGAAAGAGCAGCCAACGTTGCCCTTAAAGAGCGGCTTCTCACAGACAGAACGCCTCTTCCCAGATCGCACTTGCCATCCACAACTTTTATAAACACTTTTAAAATGAAAAGTACTCAGGCCTCTACCAAGGGCCACTGTGGGGCTATCTCTCGCCCCCCCCCCAACTCTCCTGGAAAAGGGGAGGCTGACTGTCCTCATCCATTGGCCAATTAAGCATCAGCTGGCTTTCACCTCCTCTCCCTATCCTGTTTTCCTTTTATAGCATGTCTATTAGAGTGTTAGCTTAATATATGAATGTTCTTAGGACATTTTAGGTGCCAATGGAAACTTTGCTTTCAGTGGAAAAAGCAAGTTGTGGGGGTTTTTTTGGGGGGGGGCTGTTTCTGGATCAGAACTGCAGTGGGAATGAAGTAGTAAGGCTCCCATACCCATCAACCTATCCTGCCGGGAACCCAATCCAGATCCTGTGACTATGGTTTACTTTAATTAACAAAAAAAATTCCAACCACCAAAGCAATTGCTAATTACACAAGTGATGTAATATTAGTTTGGTACTAAATTCAAAGAATTATAGGCCTGACACTAAGCTATGGTCTGCGCTATTCCCTAAACTAGGGGCTCTGACTTCAGCCATGCGTGGTATACTTTCCTCCCCAGCCCCACCTGCCCCAAGGATATGTTTCAGATTTGCAAAACCAGAATGAATACTGAGATCTGTTGAAGAGTTAACGTGTAACAGAGCAGTGCTCAGTGATCCTTTGCTTAGAGGCATAGGAGGTGCTTTGCTGGACCTGGTCAAGGTCCACTTAGACCAGCCTTCGTAGCAAGAATCAGAGCAACTGTGAAGCTGGCCAATCATTATTGGACAAGCTCACTTGCAAGTACAATTTAAGGGACACTTTTAACTACGCTTACATTATTTTGCCCTCCCTCAACTGTCACCTAGGAACAGCCATTCCACTAAGCTTTTGGATCTGCTTCCATCCCTGCTGGTCATTTTTAGAACAGCAGATTCAAAAGCTGGAGCCTGAGTTTGCTTTTTTCCCTCCTCCTTCCCCACTCTTTTTTCATTGCATGTTATCTCTTTTTTAGTATCTGTTTTTTTGTTTTGAAAACCTGATGGGGGAAAAGAAAGAAACCTTCAAGATGCTCTTTCAGATCTTTACCAGTTAAAGATGCTTAGAAGAAGAAGAAAAAACAAGCAAACAAATACAATAACGCTCACTACAAGGTGTTGTCTTTAAAGGCAGCTCAAAAACACCATTTAGTACAGAAGACAGCTGCCCGGGTGCTAGTAGGAGCTAGAGACCAGACTTATTATGCCAATCCTGTATCGCTTACATTGGGTGCCAGGTTCAGTTTTAAGGCACCCTTAACTTAAATCCCTTTAAATAAATACAAATGAAATATTTTATACTGACCACAGCCCTAAAACCATTAATTTCCAGCATTAGTCTTACAGGCGGGCACAGGCTAATAAGACAAGTATTTCTTAACTATTGTCTGTAATGCAGAGAAGATTCTGTACGTCCATTCTGCGGGGTGGGGGAGCGACAGAGAAGGGGAGAGAACGGAAAGCCATCGTGCCATCCTCTTATGGATGCAATAACTTCCATCATGCAGACTGATCCCTTTCCCCCTAACCAAGCCCACCTGCTGCCAATCTGCTGGTGTCATTGGGTGACGTCAGCTCATGGGCGGGGTAGTGGTGGCGGTGGGGCTCAGTCCCGCTGGGCACGGCTGCTTCGCCAGTGTGTTTCCTGCACGGAACTCACTGGCAGAGCAGACTCCCGCCCCCGCGAGCCAGCTGTGAAAAGTGGGTGGGAGGAGCAACACCCACCACCTACCAGCCACATGGCATAGTCCGTGCATTCAATGTATATAGTGCACATGAGGCCTGAAGCGCGTCAAGAACACGTTTCAGACGACACCCAGGATGCAGGGAGGGGATCCTCCTCGTGTCCAGACTGGACCGGCGGGGAATCCCGTGCAAGTCCACTCCGGCGATCCATCCGAACAGCCTCCCAGGTCCGCCCCAGCAGCGAGGCTCCTACGCCTCGCCTTACCTCTCGATGCATTTCGGATCCACATCCGAGGGCTGCCAGAGCACGTTGGGCATCATTTGGGCAAAGTGGGCCGCGTGCTGCCCGGAGCCTGAAGCCACTTCCAGCACCTGGACTTGCGGCTGGCAGGGGTTCACGTAGTCCCGGAGGACCCCCAGGATAGGCTCCTTGTTCCTCTCCCCCGCCGCTGCTACGAACGCGGCACTCATCCTGCAAAAGAGGGGTGAGGGGGTCCTTGGAAGGGACTTGCCGCTTGCAGAGCAGAAGGAGAGCCGCAGGACGCCTTGCAACAGTTTGGCTGCAGGATCCGCTTGGGTGCCCCTTGCAAGCAGCCTGCAAGGACTTTCCTGCTCGTCCTCTAGGTCTACCTTTAAGGAGGCTCGCACCCCCGCACCCAAGGATTGCAGGCTGGGAATTTTGTCCTCAGAGCTGCTGGGAGGGAGGGAGGGAAGGAGATCGAGGAAGTTAAATGAATCCACAAAGCAAAAGACTACGATTCCCAGAATGCAGCGCGGGGGAAGCGTGGCTATTGGTTCCGCTTCTGCCCCTCCTCCTGGTATCGATGGTTTTGCAAGCGGGTGCTTGGAAAGTCCGGAAACCAGGTTTTTGGGGGGATCTTGATTTTCAAAGGATAGGAAGCGCGGGCTTCTTGAATGTGTGTTTGGGCTTAGCAAATAAACAATAGATTTACTCCCTAGTAAGTGTCTGCGCTGCTGTAGCTAATTCATGCCTTACAGGTTCCTTTGAAATTTTGGCTGCAAAAAAGAAACGGGATATTTCAAGGTGTTAGTCCGCAGGGCTCTTTATTCCTTTTTGCTGCAGTAGCCGGTGAACTGGTGTACTCCTCTGAGATGTTGTTAATAATAAAAACAATTTGTATTATTATTAAGTTTTATTGTGTTGAAAGACTTCATATTCATTGTCTAAATTATAATACAACAACCCTGTAAGTTAGGTTTGTATTATCCTTTACAAATACTCTACAGAACTAAATTGTATTGGAAAACAGGTTATTCTGGATGTAATGGATGGGGGTGAGCCCTGAATACAGTTAGCTTTTCCCCGTTCGTGTATACTCGAAAGTATATACTCGAAAGTAATGCCCTTCTTCAGGGTTTAAGTGGGGGTTCTTCCCAGCACGTAGAATTACAGCTTTAAAATCATGGAGCGGATATAGACGCAAAGTAGGCCCGTGACACAAAGGAGGAGAAGCGGGAAACTGTTATCACGAGTTTGCGCGTGCAAATATTACATACGTATAGTGTTTGCGAAGTAAAACGAAAAAAATCCTGCGCCGCCCGGGAATCGAACCCGGGTCGCAAGAATGGGAATCTTGCATGATACCACTACACCAGCGGCGCGGTTAGGAAATTGTTGCTCTGGGGGTTCCTATCAAGCCGTAAGAGGGAGCCACCTATAGGTACGCAATGGTAGGTATCCTGTAATTTTCCCATTAGTTTCGTGGGAAAATAACATGCTCCTGACTTTTCAGTGGTTTTTGTATTTTATACACCCCCCCCAAAAAAGGGAAATGACAAATGTAACATTTTTTCTGAGTTTGCAAACATTTAAAACTTACTTTGTTAATGCCAATGTAGATAAAGTCCATCATTATTAAACCCCATATTTTGCAGGGGGAAGGACTGTGGATGGAAGTATAAGTTATGTCAGACTTGTTGTTATACCCGTTTTGCTGAAGGGACCATCCTGGAATGTATTAGTATTATTATTAAAGATCTGTATCCCTTCCTTCCTCCCAAAGGAGCCCAGGGCAGCAAAACAATGCACCTTAAAATAATGCATACTTTAAACAATTCAAGCTCTCCTAAACTATTAAAAACTATTATGTTGTGGCTAATGTCATAGGCCAGTGGTTTTCAAACTTTCTTTTTCTGGGCCACAGTTTCGGAATAAAAAATTGCTTGCATCACACCAAATATTTTATTGGTAAGAAATACATTGGAAAATAAAAAGAAACAACTAGCAGCGCTTGAGAACACAGAGCACAACTATTTTATTATTTGATCATGGGGCATCCAGAAAGTATAAAACAATGCAGCTACATAAGAAATGAACTATTCCCAAAATATAGTTATAAACGAGCCTCTTACATATGTACCTTACAAACTAAGTGAAAGATGTGAGCTTGCTTTTTCCAGGTAACCTCATTTATATTGGGTCTGAATTGAGACAAACAAGCTCTCATATCATCAACACAAATAAGACTTTCTCTTTTCTGATCTTTAAAATTTGTCGGAGTTGAAAATCCCCGCTCACAACAATATGCTGTGGAGAACCATAGAAGAGTAGCCAATGGTCTTGAAGAGAGGCACAGATAATGTTTCTGATGGTATATCCAAAAAGATTTATTTTGAAACTATAGGATAGTACATTGAAATGTTTAAATGTTTCTTTGATTGTCCTTGAATCTTCCTGCCACACTTGCCATCCCCTCCTGCCACATCCTTTGAGAACCACTGTCCTATGCACTCGGCTTCAAACGCCAGCAGTGGGAGAGCACTGGAGCCAGAGTGAAAAGTAATGTGTGCACAGCCATAATCTCTCAACTGGACAACCCTGCGGCTTAGAAGATTGTCGCCTATAATGTAGGACACTTGTTTGTGTCCCCCTGCTCCCAGAAGGGTGGGACTCTTGGATTAATTTTGCATCCGTATGAATAGGGGGCCCGATACATAAGAAAGATGATCTGCCCACAACTTACGAAAGCTTCCGCATACCTTGGGATAATCTGTAAACTGTTTTCACCTATGGCCCAGACATTGGTAAATCCAGCTCTGAATCCACTTCATTCATGTAAACAAGCTCAGCTTCCAAGAGGACATGGACCTTGGAACCTTTCCAGCTACCGGTGCAATTATATAATTTTGCTCTCTGATGTGAATCCAGCAGACCCTCAAAAATCCATGCTGTAAGAATTGGTGTTTCATGAGAATTGGGGTGCTACTGCAAGCACACACACCCCCTCTTGTCATTATGAAATGTTGAAGGGTATGTACTAGGATTTCCCTTTCCCCCAGTTGCTCAAGGGCCAAACTAGACATCTTTGCATCAAAATGCAAGTTCCCATTCCCATTTACTCCACATCCAGCGGGCTCCCATGGCTAGATTTTGAAGCCACATTCATACAAACTTAGCCACGATCCATATTGATCCTGTAGATTCTTGACAAATACTGCTGTCTTTTTCTCAAACCAGCTTCAATCCGGTTAGAAAAGCAGATGCAGGGTAATATGAACATTTGAGACAGCTGCTTGGCACAATGCACGTTTAGCTGAATAGGTATGCAAAGATGACAGATTCGTGGGTAGATTGGGGGGGGAGCTGTAGGGGCAGGGAAACCAAAAAGGCCATCCTTCTCAGTAGAAGACCTCCTCAGCTGCTTTCTGATGAGATGAAACTTTGTGCAAATGTGGCTTGAAACACAGCTGCAAGAAGGGATGACAATGAGATAGCTCAGTCAGTAGAATATGAGATTCTAAATCTCTGGGTTGTGGGTTTACTAAAAATTGCTGCATTGTGTGTGTGTGGGGGGGTGTCCCTTCCAGCTCTACAATTCTATGGCTCTAGGACTTTGCTGTGTCTTAAGTCCAGGGCCGTCTTTAGCAGATGCGGCACCGGGGTGCAAATATCCGCCCAGCGCCCCCCAATTACCATGGATAGTGGGGGGAGGCCTGAAGCTGCACACTGCCAGCCATGGGTGGTTGCAGCTTCCATCCTAAGCCTCTGCAGGGATCACTCTCCTCCCGTGGAGGCTTGGGAGGCAAGCTGCATGCCCGCCAGCCATATGGTTGACGGGGCGCAGCTGGCGGGCATGCAGGGAAAGGGGAGGCCGCCGGCAAAGCCCACTCTCTCCCACTCGTTGTGAGGCCAGCGCCCTGGCACAAAGCACCACTAAGCCCTATGGGAAAGACGGCTCTGCTTAAGTCACTAATGTGGACATAACCTAACATGCAGCTTTTGTTATATTATTATTAGGATTGCAGCAGGAAGGGAGGTGAAACGTTTGCAGTTTCAAGGGGGAAACCACCCTTTTTTAAAAAAAACTGCCACTTGTTTTTGAGTGGGTGTGCAGGGGAGTCACTGCATCTCGGCCAAAGTGGGGAGGAGGGAGCACTTCTTCTCAATGCAAAATACTGTACCAGTTTCAGAAGAGTTTCCTCAGCACTGCAGAAGGAGAAGAAAGGCTTAAAATCCCACTACATATGGTCTTGTGAATTACCAGCCCTTCCCAGCTGTCGCAATCTACATTTTAAATACATATTATTTATTAATTAGTTAGTTAATTAAAAACTGCTTGTGAGGTGTAAAGAGGCATCCATCTAATTTAACTTCTTCTGTAGTTTGGCATCGAGTGCTCGTTAGGTAGGCTGGATTTGAATAGTAGTAGTCAATTGACTAGAGGGCATGTAATGTAATAGCGGGAGGAAAGCGGCACCTTTCACCTACAAACAGACAAAGTCACCCTTGCAACGTTGCCGACCTTTGGCTAGCTAGAGCAGGAATTCCCAAGGTCACCTCTGAACTTGGCTCACCTTGGAGCACATGGTGAAAGGTGAAGGCAAGGCAGAGCCCACTGGCTTTCCCATGAAGCACTTCTCTTAATATACATAGGAATATAAGAAGATGCATGATATTGGCTGAGTCATACTATTGGTCCATCAAGCTCAGTATTGTCCACACTGACTGGCAGCAGCTTTCTGGGACTTCAGGCAGGGTTCTCTCTCCCAGCCATACCCTGGAGATGCGGGGGCCTGAACCTGGGACCTTCTGCACAAAGAAGCAGCTGCTCCGACAGTGAGCACCTGCCATCCTTCTTGAAGGACCTCAGACTACAGGAAACAGCAGCACCAAAGTTTTATTTCCAGCTTTGGTGAGAGTAGAATCCTCTTCAGCAGAAGCACCTTTGGCAGAAAATGCAGGAGGGGGAGAATCATAATATTTTGATGAAGCATTGAATTTGATTATTTGTGTTTTTCCTTTCATTTATGAATTGCTTCCTACAAAACATCATGAAGCAGTTTTACAATAAAACTGCAAAACCATAAAGCAGTGTCATGTATCAACACAATGAAAATGATTTCACGTATTCACTGAGTGGGATAAAAAAATTCACTTCAAAGGCTTGCTGGAGAGGAAGGTATTCAACAGGCATCAGACAGCAGAGACTGCGCTTGTCTGCTATATAATGGGAGGGAATTCCGAAGATATGTTCTGCCGCACTAAAAGCTGATTCCTGTAAGGTATCTCCTAATGAGATGGTGTCTGCAGAATGCTCTCTCCTGTAGAGCACAGTGATAAGCTGGCTATATTTTGTTAAATTTATATGCTGCTTTTTGGCCCAAAGACTCCCCAAACAGTAAACTGGTGGTGTAGCAGGAGAGGATGGTGTGGCAAGAAGATTCAAGGACACTCAAAGAAACATGTAAACATTCCAGTGTAATATTGTATACTATACTATCAATTGCTTTTTTTTATTTGCAGAATATGGATAGAGATATTTTCAAAAAGAGAACAAGAACATCAAGTGATCACAACTAGGACTGCCATTTAAACAGAGTTTGAATACAGAATTGCCATTCAAACAGAGTGCTGGAAGAGACTGATTTATAATTATATTTTGGGAATGACTCTTCAAGAGCATCCTACAGTTCTCCATGACATATTGCTGTGAACAGGGATTTTCAACTGACAAATATGAAAGGTCAGAAAAGAGAAGGGCTTCTTTGTGTTGGTGAGGAGTTGAGAGATTGCTTGTTTCAATTTAGACATAATATAAATGAGATTACCCAACGAAAGCAAGCTCACAGCTATTCTTGAGTTTGTATACATACTTGGGGCACACATGTACATATTACAGAGTGTGAAATACTGTTGTTTTCCTGCTATTGTCATCATTATCACAAATAGGATGCAACAAAATATTGCATGTCCCGAATTCCAGCCCCTCCATTCCATTCTCCTCTCCCCAGTTTCTTTTATTCTCCCCTGAACACAATCAGGCAGCGTTCCATGGTCTCCAAACATGTTCAGCCCTCCCTGTCTGTTTTTGAGTCCCTCCTGTTCTACATTCCCCACGGTTGTTGTGTTTTGTGCTTCTGTGAATCATGGGATCATAGGAAGCTGCCTGCTACTGAGTCATACTGCTAATCTAGTTAGCTCAGTATTGTCTGCACTGACACGCAGCAGCTCTCCAGAGTTTCAGGCTGAGGATATTCCCAGCCCTACCTGGAGAAGCCAGGGATTGAACCTGGGACCTTCTGCATGCAAACCACTGAGTTCCTGCTCCCCCCAGAGCAGGCCAGCTGATGCCTCCCATTTTGTGTATGCGTTTATGTGTGGTTCCATATTTTGGCAACATAAGGAATGGCACTCACAGCCTGAACATCAGAAATAGAGCTATTTTTGTATTATTATCTTGTGTTAAGAATACACAAAAAGCAAGCTGGTCTATGGGACCGTATTGCTTGACCCAGCAGGCTAGTTCTTAAGATGTTTTCACTGCACACAGGAACATTAAGGATGGATCAGGAAATGGGAAGAAATGTCTGCTGATTGGCATATGCATAAACATCCCTTGATTTCTCTGCATTCAGTTCCTCTACTCCAGCCTGGCTAGTAGAGCCAGTTCACACATTTGGCCCTGAATCATCAAGTAGAATAATTGCTCTCTCTTCTCTAGGCATGGGGCAGAATAAGGGGGTAAAACGGAGCACAATGCTTAGGCACAGAATGAAATTTTTGAATCCTCCTTTCCATTAAAGATAAATTAAAAACATAGCCAACTGTGACACTTTAAAGACAAACACTTTTATTATGTGGCCCACAATCCACTTCATCAGATGTATGAAGTGTTATCCCTAGTTATCCCATCAGTGTATACCTGCAACTTAAGACAGTTGAGTTACCTGAATCTGCTAAAGTGGACCATAAGACCTGAGAGCATATGTCATGACAAATGTGTTAAGTCTTGTAAGGTACCACAAGACTCCTTGCGTTTTTTGCTGCAATAGTTCACACAAGAGGCTACTCTCCTTAAAAGTAAATACTGTATCTAGTACGTGTGGGTGTACTGGACTACAGCCCTGATGTGGTAGTTTTCTCCTTGCAGGGGATTATTTACATAATGAAATATCCCAGATATTATTCCTGGTCAGCTGCCATGAAGCGGTCCAGCCCACTTTTATGCAGCTCAGGATTGCTGTTGGGGTGCCGAGAATCCCAGAAACCTGCTGCACTCGCGTGCTCGTCTGAATCAAGCCCGAGAGCCAAGAGAGTAGCCTAGCGACGCACCTTCTCCCGCTGTTTCAAAGCCTGCTGTGCAATTGCGCAACGCATGAAAAGGGACCTCTGACTTCGAAAAGTTCTTGCACCGTCATCGGCGGACCTCCAGGCTGAGCCAAGCGCCGCGCTGCGCCTTTAAGAGGCGCGATGGGCGGGAGGGCGTGTTGCAGGCATGCCTCCTTCGCTCGCGCTCCCACTCGCCTAGTTAAAGGAGAACCGCGCCGCGTCCAGCTGCCGCCGCCGAGAAGTTAAAGTCAAAGGCAAGCCGGGAAGACTTTGCCATTGCAACAGGCGGCAGCAGCAGCAAAAACAACAACACTCGGGAAGGTTTGCGGGGGAACCACCATCAGCGCAACGTGGGGGAGAAAGGAGAGCGCACAGAGGCATCTTATTATGATTATGTATTATTGCTTTTGTTAAAAAAACACCTTGCCATGTAAAGTTGTGTGTGCAGGACACACACACTTTTTTTTTTATTTAAAAAAAAAAACCTAAACTATTCTAGTTGGGCGCGCGCGTGCGGCAGATCGGCCCCCCCTTTCCCTGCCTTGACCCACATTTCATTCATCTGGTGCTGCTTGGAGACGCAGATGATGTACACCATCACTAAGGGACCTAGCAAGTTAGCCACCCAACGGAGGACAGGTAAGGACGGGACAAGGAGGTGGGCGTTTATGTGTGGGGATGAATCTGCATGTGCGTAAGTGCCTCCTCTCTCGCCCTCCCAACCCCCCCCCCCCCCGCTGCCAACCCGGTTGTGCTTTGAGAGGGAGGGAGGAGGGAGTAGGACCCTCCGCAATCCTCCCCAGCCCGTGCCTCTGGGAAACTTCCTTCCTTCCTTTGCAAAATTGATCCGTGTGTGTGTGTGTGTTGGGGGGACGTAAGCTCCGATCATTCAGCTCTCCCTCCAGGCCTGATGGGGCTCCTCTGGGCGGGAGGTCGCGCCCCCCACCCCTTAAGGACGTTGCCTCGATTTCCCCCGCGCAGGTCCCACGCAGCAGGTGGAGAGCAAACTGGCCGACCTGAAATGCCGCCGGCGGCAGCAGCAACAGCAACAGTTCAGCGAGTGGCCTCTGTCAAGGTGAGCGAAGGCGGCCCTTGGGTTCCCCCTACCCACGCGCAGCCAGGGACGGGACCGCGGAACCCGGTCCCAATGGCCGCCTGGGCAGCGGTGGTGGAAATCCTGCCCGGGCGGCCGGAGAGGACGATCCGGAGCGGCGGTGACCTTGCGCGCCGCGTGCGAGGCGATCTCCTTAATGCGGCGCCTCCTCCTCCTGCTGCTGCTGCTGGGCCCTTCCAGTGACAGCCGCCCGGGGGAGGAGGAGGGGTGTGCGTAATCGCTGCGATCCCGCCTGGGCCGACTTGCTTGGGGAGGGGGCGTGAGTGGGGTGGGGGGCATCGCCGCGGCATGCAGCCCTCCGGTGTTTTGGGGGGGGGAGAGACGGGGGAGGGGGGTGACCTTGTGGAAAGGTTACCGGGTTGTCCTTGCCCCATGGCTCCCACGTGGAGGGCGGGCTGCTTTCGTAGGAAACGAGTAAGAGGCGGGGGGTCGGTGGGGGTGGGCCGGTGCGGGTGGGAGTGGGAGTGGGCGCAGGGCCCGCTGGGTGCAGCAGGGACGCCCAGTGGCACGTGCGTGCGCGTGTTGGGCTGCGAGGGGATCTCCTTCTCCACGCGGGGGTGTTTGGAGGCGACGTCATTGGAGCTGGAGAGGGAGGGGGCGCGCGCGTCTTTCCATATCGACTGCCAGCCCCTGCCCAGCGGGCGACCTTTCCCCTGGAAAGCGCCGAGGAAGCGGACACACCCCCTTGCAAGGGGCGGGGCCAAGGAGGGGGTCCCAAAGACGGAGCGGGGCCGAGCCCAGCGGGGCCCCCTTCGGACTTGGTGCCGGCGCAGGAATCTGGAGCGGAGGAGATCCTTGCCTCTTCCATCCTCGGAGGCTAAAGGCCCTAGGAAGCCGCGGAAGTGGTGCGCTCGCGAGGTTTTGTAGAACCGATCTTGTGAGCCCTTAATTTTAAAGCTAGTTCATATTCACTCTCTGTTTCTATTTATCCTGTTGGCTATTACATTTAGCTCACACACTTCCTGCAAGCAGTGGCGTAGCGTGGGGGGTGCAGGGGGGGCCGGCCGCACCAGGCGCAACATCTGGGGGGGGCGCTCGCACTCGCAGCTCTCTGCCCCTACCTGGCTCCACGGGTTAGGGGGCGCAAATTACTTGCCTTGCCCCGGGTGCTGACAACCCACGCTACGCCACTGCCTGCAAGGGGCTCAAGGTGGCAAATTTGTATTTTTATCCCCCCTCCCCCATCATAATTAAATTTGTTACTCACCCTCATGGGTGTAGCCAGGATGGGGGGGGGGGGGGCAGAACCAACGTGATTTGGTCAGTTAGTTAAGTATTTCTCTTGTCTTGCTTGATGGGGGGGCAGCTGCCCCCCTCCGCCCCCCAGCCCATGGCTATACCCATGCTCACCCTTCACTGGAAAGTTATCTCCACAGAAACCCTCTGAGCTTTATGAGGAGCAAGGATTTGAGGAATAGAGGGTGAGGCTCTGAAGTTGTGGTCTGGCACTCCAACCACTACAGAACTCTGCCTCTATTAGCCTGGAGGGTGGCGTCCTCTTTTACTGTTGAAATTTAACCCAGATGGAACTCCTCAGAACCGGAACTTTCCTGCTACACACACACACATGTGTCTTGGATCTGCTTAGAAAGTCCTGGAAATTTGATTTTTAAATGGATAGTGTAATTTGTGAGTTTTGATCCATCAGAAATTGGGTGAAGTCATGTCAAAGTCACATTTTGGTCTGCCATCTTGATTCAGAATGGCGCCTGGTGTCCAAATGTTGGCAAAGACACCACCCCCACATTGGGAATCCTCATGCCAAGTTTGGTAACAATATCTTGAGAGGCAGCCCGACCTATAGAAAACAAGCAGACAAACCGTTTCCCAAATATATAGTAGCCAGCAAGATGGATAGATGGATCAAGCTTGCATTACTCTGTCAAGGAACACTGATAGTGTATACAGGACTTCAGGCAGAGAATATCTCCCAGCCTTACCAGGCAATGCCCAGGATTGAACCCACAACCTTCTGCATGCCAAGCAGATGCTCTGCCACTGAGCTGGGGCCCTTTCTTCATTGCAGTTATCCTCCTTGTTGATTGCATTTCATAATGCAGGTAGCAGCAACATTAACAACTCGCAACAAAATAGGCTCTTATTTTTGTTTATTTTTAAAAGTAAAGGGATCTGTGTCATTTGGCCAACATGCCTGGTCCGATAGATCCATTTCACCGATAACCGTAGCTATTCAGAGTGTACAGCCTGTGAGCTGAGGAGAGAGACTGGCAGCTTTGAGCCTGGCATAATCCTGTACCATAGGAAATGGGGATGAAGGGGTGTGTCTTGGCAGCCCTGTTGCTTCCCCCAGCTCACCTGACATGGTCCACTTGGCTTGCACAAGTGTGTGCTTGTTAATTCTGGATTATTTTGATGATGCAAAATACACTAACATGGGGTTAGAATCCTTGCTCCATACCTAAACGTATGTTGAAATAGTAGGATGAGACGAGGGATAATCTTTACTCTTTCCCAATGGTGTGTTCACCCAGTTTTCCTGACACACGTTCATTCCACTGATCGCAAATGGAGCATGAGTCCAAATCTGTATTTGCCCTCAGTGAAGACTGGTCCATTAGGGCAAATGGGACCCTGCCCCCATCAAGATCAGTCTGCTTTTGGCCACCCCCACCTGCCTGCCTCCGTACTTACAACCAGTCCAGGGGGAGGTCCTGCCTGCCAGTTTCTTCCTCTTTAGTCTCAATGTTGCCCTTGTAGAACTTAGCGAGGAGGTGGAGAACGGGGACCAAACCAGAATGATTCATCTCTGCCTCTCATTGGCTCTTGCTCCCCCTACTGTTGGGCTCCCTGCCTTTTGCCCTAGGAGCCCCAGTGGGCACCAGCCTTCCCTGCTCCCCCTGCGCCTAACATTTGGGAGAGATAGTGAACTGGGCATGGAGGGAAAAGCAAGGAACGTGGCAGTTGCTCCATTTTGGGGGACTGCTGGATTTGGCCTGGGGACAATCAGGTCACGGTTGCGGTCTCCTGATCTAGAGAACTAATGGATTTGGAAGATGTTCAGCATTGCATCCTTGATACAGTACGTTCTTGAACACAAAGACAGCTCTTTCTTTTAAAAAATTAAATCAACGAGTTTCCTTGTATGACATTCTGGTTTTTTTGTATGAGTTGGGGGAAACTTGGGTGGCCTCCAGACTATTAGGATTTTGCAGCAGGGATTCAGTTGCAGATCATAAGTTTAAGGTTTGCTCAATTAAAGCACAGCAAAGTCCTGTTTTTATAAACAGGCTTTTTGCAGTCAGGAAAGTGATGGGGAAATGCATTGAAAAGTGTGGGGTGAACAAATGACTAATGGGAAGACCTAAACCACAAGCAAAGTGGGCTGAATGGTCGTTGCCATATAAAAGCAAAGCAAATGAGAATAGACAGTCAATAAAGACTGGATGTAGTTTGGCCACTGCATAAGCTTTGTGGAAGCAGATCAGGATGAAAGCATAATAAATGGGTTATGTGGAGGAGCCTGGCAAATTCCTTATTCCTTCACATTGTTAAGGTTCCCTTATCAAATCAACTGCAGTTTCAGGATACAATGGGCACCACATGGCTCTCCCCACTTCCCCTTCCATTCTCACAACAACTCTGTGAGGTAGGTCAGGCCAAGAGACTATTCCCAGCAAGGGGAGGTTTGAACCCTGGTCTGCCAGCTCCTAGTCCAGGATACAAGACACTACATGCCCTTGGCACACCTATTTGTTCCTTGTTTCAAATCTTCAATGCCCTGCTTTACATACACAATTTATCCCTGTAAAAATTGCAAGTAGCGATCTGTAGATCTTTGATTTATTCATGCTGGATGAGCAGATTGCACTATTTTTTCCTCAGTGGATAGTTGAGTATAATAGCTCATGACAGGAACCCCACCCCCACCCCAACCCAGCACCGCCTTGAGCCCAATGCCCAAGGCAATCACCAGGGTTCCCATAGAAATCTATTCTGCGGCTGATCTTTTTGAAGAATTTATAACTCACCCACCTCCGCCCATAGCTAAGATGCTTTGATTGCCCTCGAGCAAGTATTACGGTAGGTGCCAGGCCAGGTATTGCCTTGTAAGCCCAGCAGTTTACTGAACAATAAAAGCATTTTTATTGGGCACCTGAGATGAAGCGTTATAAACGTATTGTGCGTTGCCTTCCCTTCCCTCACCATGGGCAGGTTGCAGGGCTGCTGTTCTCAGCAACAGCCTTACAGGAGGTGTCAAATCCTTCTGTACAGCTGCTTTATTTGGGCAGTGGACAAAGATAGACATAATCTCTCCTAGCTGGGGAGAAAGAAAATACTGCAGAGCAGGGAAGCACCACAAGCAGGTTCCCCCTCCAAGGAAGGCACAGGGAGTGGCAACAAGCGACAAGGGCCGTTCTAGTTGTGGCTTCCCTTCTGTGGAATGCTCTCCCCAGCGAGGTCCACCTGGAACCTTCACTGACATCTTTTTAACACCTGGCCTTTTGACAGACTGAGATGATGTTGGTTTGTTATTAGCATCCTGCCAAGTTTCCTGTGGGGGTTGTTTGTTCTGCTTTTATTGCATTATGTGCTTAGATTTATGTCTTTAATGTGTCAGTCACTTGGAGACATAACAAGTCTAATAATAATAATAATAATAAAACAACGAATGTCGTATTTGAGGTGTGTCTGGTTTCCTCACTGTACATCTTTTGGCAAATGCTTTGAAGGGTTGAATAATAACAACAATGATGACTGTGGAAGAATAACACTCTCTGCCTCTGTTTTGGCAGCCCAGCTCCAAAGCTCGTGTTCAACAGGGTAAATGGCAAGAGACCCCCACTCATGACCCCCCCTACGTTGGCCACAGAGGAAAACTATACCGTGGCACATGAAGAAAATGTTCGGTTCGTGTATGAAGGTAGGTGAGCTGCTCTGTTGAGGTCAGGAACAAGGTTTTTAACCTGTGCTTGTTTTCCTTACAGCTTGGCTGGAGATGCTTCTGTCTAGGTGTGGGGTTTGGGATCGGCAATGGTTGGCTTAATTTCACAGGGCCCTCAGTCTCACCAGTCAATGCGGGCTGTCTGTTGCTCTCTGGATTCTTCCTTCTGGGAAACGGTTCCTCTTCCACTTTGCGGTTTTGCACATGCCAGAGAGAAACGCAATTCTACAAAACTGCCAGCTCTGCCCACCTCTGCCTCTGGCCACACCCAGACTCCATTTTCCTATTGGTCAGTGGCCCTGAATAGGTAAATGGCCCTCATCACCCACCTATGGCAGCCTGGCCTAAGGAGATCTGGTGTAAAGGAGTTCGGGGTCCTCACACCATCACGCCTACGGTCAAAACTATATGTGACGTTTAATGTGTGTCTGCAGATTTAAAAAAAAAATGTAAATAGATTTTTTTGAAAGGGAAAATTCAACAGGTGTTGCCTTCCTTTCTCCCCACCCACCCAGCAGGTCTAAGCCTTAGATTGTAAGGGTTCATCTACACTTCTTTTCCTGTGCCTAGAAAGCATGTGTCTGCCCCACCATGTTCCCTGGAAAAACCCACTCTTTACCACTGAATCAGAGCAAATGTTAATCCGCGGGAAACCTGATTGGCGTTTGCTCCGATTCAGCGGTAGAGAGCAGGTTTCCCCAGAGGAAAGTGGCAAGACAAGCAGAAGTCTGGACGACTCCTGGGATAAGAAAACGAGCCGGCAGATGTTAGTGAAGGTCAGTCCATTAGGTCAAGTGGGGCACTGCTCCCGCCAGCATCAGCCTGCTTTCAGCCAGCCTCTACCTCCTGTTTCCTTCTTTCCAATTGGTCCAGAGGGTGGCACTGGCTGTGAGTTTCCTCCTGCTTTGATTCAGTGTTGCCTTCATAAAACTCAGCGGGAAGGATGGGGACAAATCTAGAATTAGTTGGCTGTGCCTGCCTGTTATTAGCTCCATCTACTTTTGGGCTAATGGGACGCGGGTGGCGCTGTGGGTTAAACCACAGAGCCTAGGACTTGCTGATCAGAAGGGCGGCGGTTCGAATCCCCACAACGGGGTGAGCTCCCGTTGCTCAGTCCCTGCTCCTGCCAACCTAGCAGTTCGAAAGCATGTCAAAGTGCAAGTAGATAAATAGGTACCGCTCCAGCGGGAAAGTAAACGGTGTTTCCGTGTGCTGCTCTGGTTCACCAGAAGCAGCTTAGTCATGCTGGCCACATGACCCGGAAGCTGCACGCCGGCTCCCTCGGCCAGTAAAGCGAGATGAGCACCGCAACCCCAGAGTCCGTCACGACTGGACCTAATGGTCAGGGGTCCCTTTACCTTTACTTACTTTTCGGCTAATGCCCTCCCAGTCCCAATGGGTATTAGCCACCACTGTCTGACATCATGTGATTGACAGGTGAGCAGCCCCACCCACCTGTCAAACTTGATCTACAAGCAAAGAGTGATAAGGATCTGGCCCATAGGCTGGATCTGGTTCCCCATTGAAAGCTACATAGTCTTTGGCTTGCAAAGGGGCCAAAGCCTTCTTCAGGAAAGGCGTCAGCAGCTCGAGTTCTTGTCAGCCAGAAAATGGGGCCTCCATGAGGCTTGCTGCTTTGGAGTGTCCTTCTCTCCTCATGTGCCCTCCTCTCTCCCACCCTCCAGCCTGGCAACAGGTGCAGCAGCAGCTGGATGGCGTCCAGCAAGGGGACAGCAGATCTGGTCCAGTGCAATACACAGAAAAGACACCTGGCCCTGAACTGAAAGGTAAGTAAGTGCGTGTGGCCTGCCTTCAAGGTGTGGCATGGAATCAAGCGCTGTGGGATACACAAGAGATGTCAGCCAGATCCCCAGAACCAGAGGCAACCTTTACAAGCCCCTAGTTTCTTCCCCGGCTCAGATTAAAAAATCCAAGTCGGAAAATAATTCTCAGCTTTCTTCCTTTGCCCTCACCCTGTCCCCCATTCCATGATACTTAGAAGAGCCATTGTTTAGTGGTAAAATGCCAAATTTGCATCTATATTCTAGTGACTCCCTACTCAGTTCCTTAAGACATATTGCAAGGAGACCCCCCCTGGTCCCCTTCCAGAACCACAGTTCCCAGACTTTCCTGTGAAGAGGGATTGGTTGTTAAACAAACAACCCCTCTGGAAATGGTTACCAGGATTATTGCACCTCTTTACCCTGGTCTTTGCACTATTATTGTGATGAATACATGTTGCAGAATACACCCACAAAAATCTCTCCAGGCTGGAGAGGCCCTCGGTCTCCTGTTTCTAGCATAGTAATTGGGTTGATGGATGCAAAATAAGTGCCTTCTTTTTGTGGGCAGATTGTGTTCTACAGCATTTTTATGTATATACAGTCGTACCTTGGAAGTCAAACGGAATCCATTCCGGAAGTCCGTTCGAATTTCAAAACAAAATCGCAGCTTCTAATTGGCTGTAGGAAGCTCCTACAGCCAATCAGAAGCCGCGGAAGCCCTGTCGGACATTTGGGTTCCAAAAGAACGTTCACAAACCGTAACTGTCATTTCTGGGTTTGTGGCATTCGGGAGCCAAAACGTCCGAGTTCCAGGGCGTTTGACAACCAAGGTATGACTGAACTTTTACTTTACTTTATATTGGTTTTAATTTCTGTGGCCATTTTGAGTCTGACTCTTGTAAACAAAGGAAACGAAGTTATTTGAGAAGCTGAAGTTTTGATGTTTTCTTAGCCTAATCCTTCAGATTTTGCAGGCAGATTTTTGTTCTGCGCGTGTTCTTAAATGGACCCAATCTTCTCTCTTTTTTTTCAGATTTTGTGCCCATAGACCTTGAGGACTGGTGGGCCCAACAGTTCCTGGCAAAAATCGAGAACGGATCTTAACAAGGGGTTACGCAAAAGCTTAAAACAAAAAAAGTTTTAAATTTACCATAAGGAAAATATGCACCCGTCCAAGCAAAGAGAAAAGAGAGAGAAAATGGGGAACCCTTTGGCAGTCCCCCACCCTGGAGCCCACTTTTGGGGGCAGGAAGGAGAGCGACCGACAGCGAACTGCTTCCTTAGAAGCTCTGGATTTTTTTTCCACCGGAAGATTCAGACAGACTGAATGTCTGGAAGTGCCATGGCAACGTGGGTTTGGGGGGGGAGGCTTAGGGGAGGGTCTGGCAACCCTGTCCTACTCCCACTTGGAGCTGGCACCCTCTGGAAAGCCAGCGCTGCCCTGTAAAGCCAAGACTGCATTCTCAATAAAAGCACCAATGTGCCAGTGGAACAAGGCCATATTGCGTGGGGAGGAATTATGGCTGGGAGCAGGCCAAGGACGCCACTCCTGCAAAAAAGGAAACGATTACAAAAGCCTTTGCTGGTGGTGTTCTGCTGGCTGGCAGATCAAGGGCAGGGGGGGAGCTGGTGGCGCAGGGGAATTCAGGTTTGCTTTGCCTCAGCTGCTAAGTGTTGGGCTGCCGTTTGGTCAAGGCAGGGATGTAGAATCGTGTAGTCCAACCCCCCTGCAATGCAGGAATATGCAGCTGTCCCACACGGGGGGATTGAACCTGCAACCTTGGCGTTATCAGCACCATGTTCTAACCAACTGAGCTATCTCTTCTGACAGTATTGTTGCTTTTCACTCTGTACATCATCCAACACCACCCCCAATGCATGTTGGGAGGTAATACAAGTGCTTAGGCAGGAACAACACAGAGTGCAAAGTCCTGCTCTTGCTTCAAGTTTTAGCTCAGGAGAGGATAGCTTCTTATGTTCTTGGGTATTGTTCTACTTAAGAACATCAGGGTGTCCCAGCTGGATCAGGCCAATGGCCCATGTAGCCCACCACCCTGTTCTCAGTGGCCAACCAGTTGCCTCAAGCAGCATTTGACCACAAGAGAGCTCTCACCTTCTGTTGGTTTCCAATAACTGGTATTCAGAGGCATTCATGCCTCCCAACTGTGGCAGCAGAGCAGAGCTGTGATTCTCGCAGAGCAGCAGCTGACGCCATGTAGTTATGCCCAGCACATACACAGACACACACCTGCTAAGTATGTTACACTCTTTGGGATGTGGGTGTGTATGCATGTGCATGTGCACACAGATACATACCCCCCCATCTACCACGACAGGGAAAAATGCAGAGTCACTATTTTGAAAATCCAGTTTATTTTTTGAGATGGGGGAAAATGTCACCACTACAACTGACTGCAGTACATAAGAGCCATTGAAGAGCAGATGGACACACACTCACATGTCTGAGACATGGAATAACCCTGCACCCCTCCCTTTCAGAAGTCCCTGTATCCTCCTTAGTGTTTAAAAATGTATTTTCATAGGCAGGCGCGCACACACAAAACCCAACACAAATAAAAAGTGAAATATGGCGGGGGGGTGAATCAGAAAAGGGGCACATACATTGGGAGGACGCAATAGCTAATGGGTGGCTTTCGTGGTTTTGATTAGTGCTCAGTTTGCCACTGTCATCATGTGACCAAAAGCAGCAAGAGGCGATCTCCGCTGGTTCCGTTTGCCTTTGCAGCAAAAACATTTCAGTACATTGTGTTTGGGGGGTTGGTGCAATAACAGACCTGAGAAATTTCAGAGCACAAACTGGATCCATAAACACACACACATACAATTGTGCAAAAATGCAGTGACTTGTGCAAGACGAAGGGATTTGCTGTGTAAGTCAAACTGAAAACAACAAAACTGTGACTATTTTACACTTTCGAGACATCTAAAGCAGTGGTTGTCAAAACTCCCGATCCCCAGGGAACCAGTCTGCTTGCATGGAAGCCTCACCATTGCCCCTGTGAATTAACTGAGTGCATACCTGGGAACATAAGGGGGACACCCCCCACCCTCTGCTTTACTTATTTATTTCAGGGTTCTGCTGCCATTCACAGCAACTGCGATGTGCAGGGGCAGAACCAATGAAATAAAAAAGGGAGAAACTCAACACCTGAAAGCCCTCTGTGGTAGCACAGGGATATTGCTAATAGCAGGTTAGTCACCTTCCAAGGAAGCCTGTTTGCCATTCGTGATCTCACTGAGGAAGGCCTACTGAATAAGGTTCCTCAAGAAACCCTGGGAGGTTTAAAAAACCACAGATCTAGATCCCATGTGGATGGACAAGCGGGGGGAGGGGGGTCCCAGGGGAGGGGAACAGCTGCAGAGTTTAGTGTATGGTAAAGCAAAAGGTGGACCAATGAAAGGTGAACCTACCCCCTCCATAAAAGTACATTCCACATAACACTTGAAGACTTGCACCAGTGAGATGCACCACCTCCCTGGCAAATAGCCACTGTTTAGAGGACCTGGTGGGTGACTGCCACATGCTTATAAATAGTGGTGGTTGCAGCCCATTGGGGCTGGTAGGGCAGAAGGCAGGGAGCCCAACAGTAGGGGGAACCAGAGGCAAGGACAGGCATTCTAGTTTTGTCCCCATCCTCCTCCTTGCAAAGTTCTATAAGGGCCAACACTGAGACGGAGGAGGAGGCCCTTGCTGGGCTGGATGAAGTAAGAAGGCTGGCAGCTGGAGCTTGGCAGAAGTTGACAAGGCAGCGCCCAGTTTGCCCAAATGAAGCAGCCTCCGCTGTTGCCTAGAAAAGCCAGTGTTGAGTGCCTGTAAAAACCTGAAGCAGTTCTGAAAGTGGATCAGCCCTTATTAAGAGCAAAGGCTGTTCTCCAATCTGCTTGAAGCAGATCAGAGTTTCCCTTTGGCTTTGCAACTCTTTTGTTCGCCAGAAAGCACCTTGGGGGGGGGGTGCGAAAAAAGGCCCAGGGGCCCAGGAGGGAAGGAAGGCAACGGAGCAAAGAAGCACCTGCACAGTCCTCTACTGGCTCTCCCTGCAAAAAGGGGAGCTGCTTCTCCACCAATGAACCTTGCAAATTTCAGCTAAGGCCTGCACCAAGTAATGAGCAGCTGAACCTGGTGTTGGCCCTGCCTAGGTTAGGTGAGGTGGCTGCTGCTTCTGGTATATTTTTAATATACCAAGGACGGTGGAGTGGGGGATAAGACAGGTGGACTGAGCATCTCCATGTCAAGAGAGGCCACAACAACCCCATATAGTTAAAGAGCATGGCTTTCCCCAAAGGATCCGGGGAACAGCAGTTGCTGGGAATTGTAGCTCCATGAGGATTAAACTACAGCTCCCAGGATTCCTGGAGGGAAGCAATGCATTTTAAAACGTATGTTGTGTATGCGAGCCATGGCTTGTGCAGGAGAACCTCTTGGTGGACTGTGCCTGGGTTCACTAGGAGGAGTGGCACCTTAGGCCGGCCTCGGCCAAACTGGACGGAATGTGATTGAACAGGGAAAATAGAGACAAACCACTGGAAACGGACAAAAAAAGGACACCACTAATACACTCTTAAAAAGGAAGACAACAAGGAACATGCACCACCTGAAATAAGTAGTTTGAAGCGCCTTTCTTGAGTGGGTGGCTTTGTAAGCCAAAGGCAGGGGTGGTGATAGAAAGGACCAACTAGCTCCCCGCTCCACCCCATTTGCTCACAGACATGATAGGATTGGGTTTCTGCCACATAGAAGGGGCTAAGCAAATGATGCACACAATGCACAGAACTCTTGGATGCACCTAGGGCGGTTCGACTTGCGCCCGGGGGTGACCCAAAGGCACCCCTTGGAAAATGCATAGTTGGGTTATTCTGAAGAGCCCCAGTGGCCAGCCTGATGCAGGGAAGTGCTCTAACCACACCGTGATAATCTCACCCCTGTTTCTGCACCTTTCCAGTACTAGGATAGCCTTTTGTGGGACGCAGCAACCAGAACTCTTATTTAGATAATAACAGAATTATAAAATTGTACAGTTGGAAGGGACCCCAAGAGTAATCCAGTCCAACCCCCTGCAATGCAGGAAATCTCAACTAAAGCATCCATGACAGATGGCCATCCAACCATTGTGGCCACATGACATCACAGTTATTAAAAGGGCAATGAGGTGGCCATGAGAAGTTTTGAAAACAACAATCCACAATGCCACACACAAGGCTGTTGAGTGGCAAAATTAGCTCTCTGTCTTCCAACTCTTTAAGCAATCTGATACACTCCCAATCAGTGACGTTGGTCTGCAGATACACACTTTCTAGAGCACAGACTATCTTCATACTGGTCCTACAGTGCAACCCATTGACAAACAACTACAAGCACAAAGTAACCCCAGAATAGAGTACTGGCTCCTCCCTCTTTTCCACCTCCAGAAACCTGATCGCTTCCACTCCAGGGTCAGCTAACCAGTATGCAGATGGCCAGCTCCTCAAAGATTGGCAATACACACGTCCATATCAAGAGGGGTCCAATTCTCCTTGACCTGAAGAACCCATTCAGGCAGCTGTCAGTTTTTAAGCCAATTGAAGGCAAGTGCACAACTGCCTTAAGTAGTGTAGTTTGAAGGAGTACTTTTCTGGCACCAAACATGATTAGGAATCATGGCCATCCCCTCCATGGAATTCCCTGTATAAGAAGAAAGGGGGCAGATGGACCAAAAAATACTGTGTGCCTAAAAGACCCAGATTCTGCTCCAATGACAGCATAGCTAACACATCTAGATGTATTACATTAACGTGCCTACATTTGCTATTTCATTCCACTTCTGCTAAGCCATGTGCAGGGACGAATTATGAAGAGCACTACAACATCACCCCCTCAGAACTGGGGGGCCTGCATAGCCCGTCACACGTCTTCTGGTATTTCAACTGCATTTCCAAGCTTATTTCTGGAGCACTAAGGGATCAAAACGTTGTTTTATGGTAATGCAAATTAAGGATTCTGCAGATGTGGAATTCTTTTCCAGATATCAAATTTTACTCATATGCAGGTGCAAGGAAATGCATGAACCCAACAAGGACTAGCCAATGGCTAAGGGTTGGTGGCCAGGAATTATCTCCTTGCTAGAGGGCCTGGGAATGAAGAACTAGGCCACTTCCTGCCTGATCTGCTGACAATCTGAGTCTCATTAAAACCTTGAGCACTGCAACTGCCATCATTGCCTTTGCAAAAATAGGATGCATTAAAGGAGGGACAAAATGGAAGGGTTTGTTTTGTTTTTTTGCTGGGTTCCCCTCTGCTCAACTTGGAGCTGCAGATTTGGGTGGGTTTTGTTTTTTTGGTGATCTAGCAAGCAGCATACAGAGGGCTCAGTGCAGAGCAGATGCTTAGTTAGCAGGTGCTGTTCAAGTCTTGACAGGTGCATGCAGTTAGGCCCACATTTATCTAAGGCAGGATTTTTTAATTTTTTTGCCGGGATGGGCACTTGGGCTGCAACACACCTGGCCCTACAAAATGCTAGTCTCCAGAATTCCCCATTTGGACAAGCAGAATAACCCCTTGCTAGGACCCTTCACTCTGTTCCTTAATCTTTCCTCAATGCAATACAAAAGGCAGGTTTTAATATGGTAATTTCTATAAGGCGCCCCCATGTGGGGAAAGCAAGGGACAACCACAATAATGTCTGCTATGACATGGTGGGATTTCTCTCATTTTTTCCCCAAGGGGAATGTGCTAACTCACCCTAACAGAGGTGATAAGGCTGGCATGGGGAGCCTGTCTTCCTACTGTTGTTGGGCTGCAGCCCCCATCACCCCCTGCCTGCATGGCCAACGGTTTTGGGATGACGGGAACTGGGGTCAAAGAGGCATTTGGAGAGTCTCAGGATTCCCCTGCCCTGCATTGGGAACATCCTTCATTCTGGGGAACCAAGGGCTGAGCTGGCCCTAAGTGGGAACACATCCTGGTCATCTGCTGAGACAAAAGCAGCACTACAACAGAACATATCCTACAGTGCAAGTGAGCACCTTGGCAGGTGCAGGTGAGCACCTTGAAACTGGGCGTGAACTTCCTCCTCACTCCAACTTCTTGGAGGGATTCAAAAGCCCTGGTTCCAGCAGAGCACCTTAATATAAGTGGCCGCCTGTCACCAACACCTTCCCGGCCTATTCTTTCCAGATTTCAGAGGAGGAGGAGGACACGGAGATGCTTCCACCTGACAACAGACTCCGCTTCTGCAAGGCTGACTTGGCTGCTACAAACCCCAAAAGTGCAGAACAATGTCCCCACCTGGGTCCAGAATCAAGCCGTAACAGAGCACATGATTAGTTGGTCCTGGAGCATACACAGACAAAATGACAGGTTGCCAAGTGGCAGTTCCACTTCTTTGCAATTGGCTAGGATTTCATACAGCAGAGAACTCTCCCATGATCCGTGGCTGATGGAAGCTTTTGGCTAGTTCTCTAAATCAGTTCTCTTCAGCCTTTGGTCCCCAGATGGTGCTGGACTCTGCCTCCCACCATCCCCAACCAGCTTAACTAATGGTTAGGGATCATAGATTTGAAGAATTGTAGAGTTGGAAGGAACCCAAAGGGTCATCGAGTTACAACTCAATCATCCCTGACAAATGACCATCCAACCTCTGTTTAAAAACCTCCAGAGAAAGAGAGCCCAGCACCTTCTGAAGTAGCTGAATAAGCTCTTACTGCCAGAAAGTTCTTAGTCAGAATCTCTTTTTTTGTAATTTGGATCCACTGGTTCGGGTTCTACCCTCTGGAGCAGGAGAAAACAAGCCTGCTCCCTCTTCCACGTGGCAGCCCGTTAGATATTTGAAGGTGGCTGTCATATCTCCTCTCCCTTTCCTCTTATCCTGGCTAAACCTACCCACAACCTCTCACAACCGTTCCTCGTAAGGCTTGGTATCTTTATCATCTTGGCTGTCCTTCTCTACTCATCTTCCAGCTTGCTCATATCCCTGCAGGTGATAGGAAGCATAAGCAAACAACATCTGGGGATGACCAAAGGTTGAAGAACATTGCTCTAAACTACAGCAAAACCACCTCGAAGGAGATTCTCCATGAACATTTAAGGTTAGTGACATGGATGAAGGAATGTGCAAGGGTGGTGCCCGTGGGATTCCTACTATGCTAAACTCAGCCTCACAGTTGTCTGAAAAGCAAAATGCATTATCTCCCCCCCCCCCCGCATCTTGTGGAAAATAAATAAATAATCCCAGATCTGATGGGAACCCCAGAGTGAGGTGGGGACCGTGACCGGTTGCATGCTGCCCTCCTCGTCTCGCTCCACCTGAGGAAAGCGAGTGGCAAAAAGGAAGTCGGGCTGGACGGATACGCCACACGGGGGATGTTTTGTTTCCTCATACAGACATGGGCTGCAGACAGACAGACGTGTGCGTTGCCAGTGCCCCATTTGCAGAGGCACACTGGGCCAATAACATAGATGTTGACCCAGTGGAAGTCCTGGAGGAGACGATGCAAAAGACAGGGTCCACCAGTCATCCCAGCACCAGGAGTGCATTACCTGCGTGGTGGTGCAACACTGTCCTCTCTGGTTGGCTTAAAGGCGGAGGGAGAGCTAGTTAAGACCCACAGGCTGGCTGTGCTGCCTTGAGATGCAGCCCTTTGCTGCTCTTTCCCATGCCTCGCCACATGCGGACGTACACCATGACACACACGCACACGCACACATCATGCATGCTCTTCCTCTTGATCCTGGCACTGCGGAGAGCAGGAGGTCTCGCCCCCCACCCACCGCTTCGTTGAGAATGTCTGTCCTTTTGATGCATTGTTGAAGACATGGCTGATAATATAAATTACTGTCTCTATATATACTATGTATAGGCAGCAGGGTCAGTCCGTGTGGAGCAGGCAGAGGGGCTCCGCCTCATTTCCCTTGATCCTCTGTGTAGTGCTGGAAACGGGTGAAGCTCATGAAGACTTGCTCCAAGGAGATTTGGCTGACGGAATAATCCTCCATGCAGTACTTCTCTTTGGCTTTCTCTAGTGCCCCGAACACCTGGGAGAAAGGAGACAGCAAAATCTTGGTGAGAGGCTAAAGAGGGAAGCATCTTCCTTCAAGCAGCGCTTTTGAAAGGTTTGTAAGAGGCCTTGGGTTGCTTTTCCAAGATCTTCCCTTCTCCCCAAGAACAAGCCAGCGCCTCCTCTTACTATGATCTATTCTTACTGCAACATCCATAATATGGTAGGGGATGTTTTATCCCATGTTGGTGGTCTTTCAGCTGATTCCCTGGTGGCCCGCTGGAATGCAGAGTTAACCAGAGCTATCGACTGTCTGGCTCCGAAGTGCCCTCTCCAACTGCATGGAGCCTGGATAGCCCCATGGTTTTCTCCAGGGCTAAGGGTGATGAAACAATTGCTGAGATGGCTAGAGCGCTGGTGGCGGAAAACTCATTCTGAATCGGACCAGACACAGACTAGAGCTCAACGTCAAGCCTACCAAGTGGAGATAGCAACAGTGAAAAGGACCTTCTTCACCGCCTCTATTGCATCTGCAGAAAACAGCAGCAGGAGACTCTTTCAGGTGGTTTGCAATCTAATGGAACCACCTTTGCCATCGGGGCCCGGTAAGGACCCCAAGATCTCCTGCAATTATTTTGCAAAGTTTTTTGCAGATAAAGTCGCTCAGATTTGGAAGGAGGTAGAGAGCAGGGCTGGGGTGGGAGAGTGCTAGAGTCCTGTCTAGTCAAGTTGCATGGGATCAATTCCAATCTGTTACCTCTGAGGATGTGGACAGGCTGCTTAGATGAGTGAAACCTATCCTTGCCCATCCTGGCTCATAAAAGAGAGCCAGGAATGGCTGGGTGATGGGCTCTGTGGGGTGGTGAATGCTTCCCTCTGTGAGGCAGCCTTCCCAGACCCACTGAAAGAGGCGGTCATTAAACCGCTTCTTAAAAAAACATCTTTGGACCCAGCCAATATGGCCAACTATCACCCAGTCTCAAATCTTCCATTCTTGGGCAAGGTGATTGAGTGGGTGGTTACTGAACAGCTCCAGGCATGCCTGGAAGATGTGGACCATTTGGATCCCTTCCAATTGGGATTCGGGCCTCATCACGGGACTGAAACTGCCTTGGTTGCACTGGTTGATGATCTCCGGTGGGCTAGGGACAAAGGTGAGAGCTATTTCCTAGTTCTGCTGGATCTCTCAGCGGCTTTTGACACCATCAACCATAACATGCTTCTGGACCGTCTAGAGGGGCTGGAAGCTGGGGGCACTGTTATACAGTGGTTCCGCTCCTTCCTCCTGGGCTGTGTCCAGAAAGTGGTGATGGGGGATGAGTGTTCAGACCCCTGGGCTCTCACTTGTGGGGTGCCTCAGGGTTCCGTCCTCTACCCCATGCTTTTTAATGTATATATGGAACTGCTAGGAGAGATCATCAGGGGGGTTGGGCTGGGTGTTCATCAGTATGCGGATGATACCCAACTCCACCTTTATTTTAAATTAGAACCAGTGAAGGAGGTGAAGGTCCTGTGTGAGTGTCTGGCAGGAGGATGGATGGCGGCTAACAGATTGAGGCTGAATCCTGACAAGACAGAAGCACTGTTTTGGGGGGACGGGGTGGGCTAGTGTTCAGGACTCCCTGGTCCTGAATGGGGTAACTGTGCCCCTGAAGGACCAGATGTGCAGCCTGGGAGTCATTTTGGACTCACAGCTGTCCATGGAGGTGCAGTTCACTTCCGTGTCAGCTCCATTTGGTACGCAGGCTGAGACCCTACCTGCCTGCAGACTGTCTTGCCAGAGTGGTGCATGCACTAGTTATCTCCCGCTTGGACCACTGCAATGCACTCTATGTGGGGCTACCTTTGAAGGTGACCTGGAAACTCCAACTAATCCAGAATGCGGCAGCTAGACTGGTGACTGGGAGCAGCCACCAAGACCATATGTCCTGAAAGACCTACATTGACTCCCAGCACATTTCTGAGCACAATTCCAAGTGTTGGTGCTGACCTTTAAAGCCCTAAATGGCCTCGGTCCAGTATACCTGAAGGAGCGTCTCCACCCCCATCGTTCAGCCCAGACACTGAGGTCCAGCTCCAAGGGACTTCTGTTGGTTCCCTCACTGTGAGAAGTGAGATTACAGGGAACCAGGCAGAGGGCCTTCCCAGTAGTGGCACCCGCCCTGTGAAATGCCCTCCCATCAGATGTCATGGACATAGCTGTCAACATTTCCCTTTTTTTAAGGGAAATTCCCTTATTCCAAATAGGATTCCTTGCAGGAAAAGGGAAAAGTTGACAGCTATGGTCATGGAAAGTTCTTAATGTTTGATTCTATTTTTAATATTCTGTTGGGAGCTGCCCAGAGTGGCTGGGGAAACCCAGCCAGATGGGCGGGGTATGTATGTATGTATAAATAAATAAATATTATTATTAATCACCTCCCTTTCACCCAGGGTGGGTGACAACGAAAGCAACTTACAATCACAGAAATTTTAAGAATCTGAGACCTAATAACATTCACCTGAAGTGTCAAAAGCCAGGAGCTGTATAATGAAGGAGTTCCACAACTACAGAGAATACTATCTCCTGCACCACCACCCTGAGCTCAAGAGGGCAGAGGAAAATGCTTCTGGCCCTCAGAGGTTTTTCCAGGTGGAAATGTGGCCCTCGGGCTGCAAAAGGTTCCCCACCTTTGGTCTAGCAACCCTGCCTCCCCCCCCCCCCAAGAACCCCTGCAAATTATCATGAATGTACAATAAGGAGGATATTTTAGGTGGGCCTTCAGAAGTGGCCACTGCTCAAGCCCACCGGCAGATTCCCTTCAGCCCTTACCTGTGCCCAGCTGAGGTTCTTGTTGGTGAGGTGATAATGGACCATGCTCTGATGTTCATGCTTCAGGATGCTCCCTGGAAGAGGAGAAGCAGAGATATATAGCATAGTAACACCAGAAAGTTCCTGCCAGGATTGGGCCAATGGCCCATGCAGTCCCACATCTTGTTTTCACAGTGGCTAAGCTGATGACTTGATGGAAAGCCAGCAGGAAGGACCTGAGCAGAGCAGCACTCTGCCCACCTGTGATTCCCAGCCACTGGCATTCAAGCTGGCTGGCGGTGAGGAGGAGAGGAGCTACAGACAAGTGTGGCTAAGATGCTGAGCTACAAATCAGGAAGCCTCTGCTTCGGGCTGCCATTCATTCCCTAAGTGGCCTTTGGGGACAGAAACAACGTCCCCCCCACCCCACCCCACCCTGTAATCTCCCAGCTTAAGCTTTCCAACCCCAAATATAGAGGTAAAACAGACCAGCCTTATAGGGTTGTCGTAAAGATTTACAAGATAGATAAATAATAAGTAAATAAACAAAGTTGATTTCACGTGATGAGTGCTTTTAACTCTCAAAAGCCCTAAGTGAATCCTAAGGATCATAAACAAAGCAATAGTGTTTGATCAATTAATTATACAAAACTGATTCAAAAACATTTAAACAGCTAAAAAGATTCTCCCAATTATTCAGGAGGCAGATTTTTAAATATATATTTAATATAAAGCACATACAAACTGCTTATACACACACACAGTAGCTCCATCTGAAAATGGGCAATTAATCTATGTTCAATCATTTCTTTAATACCGTATGCTTAAGCATTCTTTACTGCATTTGCTATTTATATATTGTTAAGCTTTATTAAAAATGGATGGCGGCATCTCTCACACAATAGAGAGAATGCCCTCTTCTAAGTCAATGTTGGTTATGAGACAACAAGCATGTGCTTCATCTTGCTTCAGAATCACTTAAGTCACATGCAAATGTATGCAAATACATATGCAAATTCAAACACATTTCTATAGTAAAATTTGTACAAAGTCAACTGATTGTTTGACTAAAACTCATTTGACTACATATTTCCCGGCACCCTAATTATTATGATTTAGGTCCTCACGAGCTTGTCTGTACATACCTGGGAAAGTCTTCTCCACAAATGTTTTGAAGGCCTGAAGGTTGTCCTCATCATCGCTTTGGGTTTTTGCCAGCAAGGTGTACCCACTGCCAAATTTGCTCTTCAGGTGCTGTGGGCTCCCCAGGCATTTGAACTGCCCATTCACCATGATGGCCAGCCGGGTGCACAAAGCCTCACATTCTTCCATGCTGTTGAATATAATTATTTATAGTCACAATTTTTTTTAAAAAAAGAAAACCCAAAAAGTAACTCAAACCAAATTACGTTAAAACCAACATACAAGCCATGGAACATGCAGTGGTCGTGCAAACATGCATACAGATTTGAGGAAGATGTGATAGAGGAGATTTCTGAAATAATAGGTGTACTGGAGCCCAAACTGTCTTTCATTAATTTTCAGTGGGTTGAATAAGCACTGCCCCTTTTCTCCCTCGATACCCCTTCCCATCCCACCATGCTAGTGCAGGCTAAGAAAATGGTCCCAACCTGTGTGAAGTGATAATGATGGACTTCCCGCACTCCCGCGTCCTGGCAACTGCATCCCACAGTAGGCGCCTGGCAACAGGATCCATGCCGGTGGAGGGCTCATCCAGAAAGATGACAGGGGGGCCACCAATCAGGGCTATCCCCGCACTCAGTTTCCGCTTGTTGCCGCCGCTGTGGAAGGAGAAGGTATCAATGGACTTTGCCTGTTACAAAGCCATCAAGGGATAATTCTGCCCCGGCTGCCTTCACCCACAATTTACCCATTAACAATGGACTTGGGGAGAGACACTAAATGAATCTTTGAATCAACAACTAGGATTACCCCTTCTCTCATTTTTTTTTTAGCTGCGTGAGGAGGAAGAGGGGGTGGGAGGCAAGCAACTCTTGTCTCGGGGGACACATTCCCTTGAGAAGTTCTCCTGCACAAGCCTATCTGAAACGAACAGGAACTGCACAAGAGCGAGAGGAAAGCTCTCCAGCTCAGGGGTGGGTCAACCTGGTGCCAGTACAACTGTGTGGTGAGGACTCTCTGGACTGGATCCACGGCAGGGGGCTGAGCTTTGGAGGCCAGCATCTCTCTGCCTCACCTGTACGTCCTGATGAGCTTGTTCGCATGTGGCTCTAAGAGCAGGCCTCGGAGCATGTTCTCCACACAGCTGCCAATGTAGCGCTCGGGGATCCCTCGCAGCCGGGCGTACATGCTCAAGGTCTCCCTCCCAGTCATGTGATCCAAAAGGGCATCAAACTGAGGGCAGTAACCAATCCGCTGCTGGACCTGAATGTAAACGACAGACCAAAGTCAACAGAATTGCCCGGCAACCTCCCTATTGATGGTTTCAGTGGCCCACCAAACTCAAAACAGCCTCTTCTGAACCTGCACTTGATGAAGGCTATCCAGGCTGCTCTAGTTTGCTTCTGTTAATCTGAGCTTCTAAGAGAGAAGCCCTGAATGTGAAACACGGAGGCCACAGAGTCTGGCACCAACCAGCGACTATAGGGTTGGTTCCAAGGTTGGAGGGGGTGCAGGTCTGGTGACAAATAAAAGTAAGGAATCCAGTTTGTTTGTATAAAGAAGAAGGAGCAGCAGCACAGAAGTAACAACCAACAACTTGGAAAAAATGACTGGACAAATTCATGGAGGATAAGACTTATCAATGGTTTCTAGCCATGGCGGCCTTGTTCTGCTTTCACTGTCGGAGGCAATATGCCTCTAAATACCAGTTTGCAGGGATCACAAGTAGGGAGAGTGCTAATGCGCTCATTGTATTTACAGTGGTACCTCGGGTTACATACGCTTCGGGTTACATACGCTTCAGGTTACAGACTCCGCTAACCCAGACATAGTACCTCAGGTTAAGAACTTTGCTTCAGGATAAGAACAGAAATCGTGCTCCGGCGGCACAGTGGCAGCGGGAGGCCCCATTAGCTAAAGTGGTGCTTCAGGTTAAGAACAGTTTCAGGTTAAGAATGGACCTCCGGAACGAATTACCATATTTTTCGTCCCATAGGATGCGCCGGCCCATAGGATGCACCTAGTTTTTTGGGGGGGAAATAAAGGAATTTCCCCCCTTTATTTCCCCCCCAAAACCAGGTCGTGGGAATCCAAACCAGGTCGGGGAACAGCGGGATGGCGGCGCTGCACCTCCCCGCTGTCCCCCGAGCTTGTGGGGCTGCCCGATGTCTGCCCGAAGCGCGGGGCGCTCTGCTTCAGCGCTCCCCACGCTCTGTGCAGCAGGCTGCTATCCGCAGCCTAGGGTGCTCCCTAGGCTGCGGATGTCTTCCCGAAGCGCCGGGCGCTCTGCTTTCAGCGCGCCCCGTGCTCCGGGAAGCAGGCAGCTCTGCGCAACCTTCGGGAGCCTGGCACGGCTTCGCGCCGGGCTCCGGAGGGTTGTGCGGAGCTGCGCGGAGCCCGGGAGCGCAGGCAGCTCCGTGCAACCCTCGGGAGCCCGGCGCGACTTCACGCCGGGCTCCCGAGGGTTGCGCAGAGCTTCCTGAAGCCTGGAGAGCGAGAGGGGTCAGTGCGCACCGACCCCTCGCGCGCTCCAGGCTTCAGCGAAAGCCTGCATTCGCCCCATAGGACGCACACACATTTCCCCTTCATTTTTGGAGGGGAAAAAGTGCGTCTTATAGGGCGAAAAATACGGTAAGTACTTAACCCGAGGTACCACTGTATTTATCAATCGCATTTACATACTACCTCCGCCCCCCAACTCAAGGTGGCATACATGGCCTTGCCCTCCTCATTTGACAACCCTGTGAGGTAGGTTAGTCTGAGAGGCCATGACTCTCACCCAGTGAGCTTCATGGCAGAGTGGAGATTCTAGCCCATCTCTCTAACCCACACTGGCTCTCTCATGCCAGGCTTGTGGGTTTCCCAGAGGCATCTCAGAGGCCACTTTGACAACAGGATGCTGAATTGAGATGAGGTCTTTAGCCTGATCCAGCAGGGCTCTTCCTACTGTTTCAACCCTTACCTTTTTGATGTTGGCCAGGATGCTGTGGCCATCCACATAGGCGTCTCCCGATGTGATGCTCTCATCCCCTGTCAGCATCTTGAAGGTGGTGGTCTTTCCTGCCCCGTTGAAGCCAAGAAGCCCAAAACACTCGCCTTTGTTGACTGCCAAGGATATTCTGTCCACAGCCAGGCATGAGTCCCTGTTGCTGTACACCTGGAAGAGCAAAACAAACAAACAAACTGCTGGGTTGCAAGATGGCTCCTCCTCATTCCTCCCAAAGAAGTGATGCCATAACTTGTGTGACTGGTGCCCACTGGGACTGGTAGGGTGGAAGGCAGGGAGACCAACAGCAGGTGGAGCCAGAGCAACAGGAAGAGCCAGCCCTTGATTGGAAGAAGCTGGGTGGGGAAGTGGTGGGAGGTGGCTGAAGGCATATTGAAGTTGGTGGGGCAGTGCCCCAATTGCCCTAGTGGACCAATCTCTACTGGTATCTCTCCACTTGGAAATGGGACTTCCTCCAGAAGTTGGGAGGACAAGACAGCAAAAAATCATCTCACATTGCCTCCAACTGGGAGTATAAATAAATGAGAATAGTGGTCATGTTGTGGTTGTTGGAGCCTGGCTAGTCTTACAGCCTTGAAAATGGTCTGATTTGGTCACATCACACAGGTGGCGCTGTGGGTTAAACCACAGAGCCTAGGACTTGCCGATCCGAAGGTCAGTGGTTCGAATCCCCGCGACGGGGTGAGCTCCCGTTGCTCGGTCCCTGCTCCTGCCCACCTAGCAGTTCGAAAGCACATCAAAGTGCAAGTAGATAAATAGGTACCGCTCCGGCGGGAAGGTAAATGGTGTTTCCGTGCGCTGCTCTGGTTCACCAGAAGCGGTTTAGTCATGCTGGCCACATGACCCGGAAGCTGTACGCCGGCTCCCTCGGCCAATAAAGCGAGATGAGCGCCGCAACCCCAGAGTCGGTCACGACTGGACCTAATGCTCAGGGGTCCCTTTACCTTTACCTTTACCTTACACCATACCTTTAAAGCACATTTAATACACATGGTGTTGGGCTTTTTCACTGACAGGACCAGTGTTGCAGAATGCCCTCCCTGTTCAAGAGGCCCCCATTGGTATTGGGATTCTGCTGGCTCCTGAATACACACATTTCAGGAAAACATTCCTCCGAATTTGAACTTCCTGACTTAATTGTTGTAGTTGTTTTAAGCTGTTTTTATTGCTAAGCTTTCTAACTAGTTTGTTTTATTGTGTATAGCAGGCTTCTTCAAACTCAGCCCTCTAGATGTTTTTGGCCTACAACTCCCATGATCCCTAGCTAGCAGGACCAGTGGTCAGGGATGATGGGAACTGTAGTCTCAAAACATCTGGAGGGCCGAGGCTGAGGAAGCCTGGTGTATAGCACAGTACAATTGATTTTATACTGGTAAACTGCTTAGAAGCCATTTTGGCATGTAAGAGGTATAAAAATTAAACAACAACAACAACAACATCTTCAAAGAGAGGCTAAGCTTTAGAAACCAGATAGGAGGGCCAGACGTTTACCTTGGTAAGCTCCTTGATGACTAAGGGACTATTCAGTGATGAAAGGGATGCTGTTGGTGACTCCAAAACCTTCTTCCTCTCATCTGCAACATCCCGGTCTTCTGGAAGGACGGGGACTCTGTTCAGCAGCATCACCTGTTGTAGAAAAAGCCAACAGTAAATAGACGATGAGCATACTGCAATAATGCAAGATTCTGGCACAGCTGAACAAGTAATTATCCTGGTTCACACATAATACTAAGCCATGGTTTGTTTACTCAACTACAGCTTAACCACCCAGAATTGTTTCTCCGAAGCTTGGTTTGTTTTCCAGCTGGTTCTGCCTTGTGACTCTGTAGCTTGATGAATATCTTACACTGTATACACAGCCCACTGGGAAGCTTGGCTTACAATTCTGTCAACCCAGGAACACTTCTTCCTTCCAGGAAATCCTTACCCACTTCCGCCTCCGATGCACGTTGCAGACAAGGTTCTTCAGTCTCCAAAGGATGTTGGTCTCAATGAGGAAGAGGAGGATGAGGAACACAAGCCCCTGTACAGCCATGGCAGTCAAGTATTTGCCAATCCCAGGGCTCTCCCATGCAAAGTAATTGGTTTGGAAAGTAATATCTGGAATGGTAGGAGAGAGAGAGAGAAAATACTGAAGGGCACTGTCCAATCCCAAACAAATACTTTTAACTCCCCAAATCCCCTCACAGAGCTACAATTTTCACATGGTCTAGTCCTTCCCCTGCCCATCCCCCCTAATGTTCTTATGAGGGTCTCTTCTCCAGTCTTCAGAGAGTAGGGGAGAAGTGGGGAGGCAGAAAAAGGTCCTCCTTTCCTTTTCCTTTACTTACCCCCTTCCACTCTGCAGTTTTAATCTGAAATCTTAAGTGCAGTACTGTGCCCAGACCTCAGAAACTGTTTGTGCTAATGAAATCCCCTGCTGCAAAATTTGCCTAGAACAATGGGAGTTTCAAACACTGGATAAGATGGAGACACTGCTGATAAGAGCAGCCCTGTTTGAGACCTTTCTCTTCTGCAGTGCCTGAACATCAGGACACGGGTAACACTGAATATGCACAAGGGAAGGGAAGCAGTGAGCTTGATGCAAGGCTGTTGTTTTCAGTGGCAGTCCTGGGGTGGGGTGTGTGTGTAATGACTGACATCTAATGCCCTTTTAAATGTGTTGCAGAAGGGGGGATTATTGGGTTATCTTTGTTTTTATTATGTATTTTGAGTTTTTTAATACTGCAATTTATGTTGTGAACCACCTTGAGATCTACGAGTATAGGGCGCTATACAAATTTTATAAATAGTAATAGGAAGAAGAAGAAGAAGAAGAAGAAGAAGAAGAAGAAGAAGAAGAAGAAGAAGTAGTAGTAGTTTTGGCTTGCCACAGAAGCCAGAGACGAAAAGATTACCGTATTTTTCGCCCCATAGGACGCACTTTTTCCCCTCCAAAAATGAAGGGGAAATGTGTGTGCGTCCTATGGGGCGAATGCAGGCTTTCGCTGAAGCCTGGAGAGCGAGAGGGGTCGGTGCGCACCGATGCCTCTCGCTCTCCAGACTTCGCGCAGCTCTCCGCAAGGCACAGGAGCCCTGCGCTGGGCTCCCATGTCTTGCGGAGAGTTGCCTGCATGCCGAAGGCTGGGCGCACCGAGCTCAGCGCGCCCAGACTTCACGCAGCTCTCCGCAAGGCGCGGGAGCCCGGCGCTGGGCTCCCGCAGCTTGCAGAGAGTTGCCTGTTCTGGGGCCTGGGGTCGGGGGAAGCTCGGGCTTCCCCCGCCCCAGCCCCGTGCCTGGGGGGGAAATAATTTTTTCCCCTTTATTTCCCCCCCAAAAAACTAGGTGCGCCTTATGGGACGGTGCGTCCTATAGGGCGAAAAATACGGTAATTCTGGATACTCACTAAACACTTTGCAGACAAGGAGAGACTCGATCGAGGAGGTGCAGAACTGAATGAACTCATAGTTCTGGTAGAATTTGCTGATGCTTTGTCCCAAGCAGTAATTGGGTAGGATTAAGAAGACTTTATCCAACATCCTTGAGAGATCCACCATTCCAAGTTCTGGAAGAAAAATGTGGGAAGGTCAGGGAAGTGGCCTTTGATAGTCAGGTATATTAATGAATCTGCCCTGTTCATACATAGAGGATGGCTATGCTTGTGTCTAATAATTCTTTTTCTCCTCCTCCTTTTTACATCAGGCTCTTTTTTCTCCTGCCCAGTTTTGGGAGCTGGGCTGCATACTTTAAGAAACAGAGCACAGTGATTCTGAAAACAATGACAATTAAAAACTTTAAAAAAAGTAATTCAGCATTAATACACACATATTATGAATATACAAGTATATAAACATACATTTCATACAATCCTTAAAAATGTTCAAACATACCTGAATTATTTTAATAATAAAACCTTTTTTTTAAAAAAAAAAACTTTTTAAAAAGTAGTTAAACACATTCTTCCATCCAATGATCTGAGGGTTACCAGGAGCAGTATTTTGCAACCACCAAATTGGTGGGTTTGAAAACAAGCAAGGTGTTCAAATTCATATTGAAAGTTAATGATAGGGACACATCACTAGAGAGGCCATTCCACAACTGCGGAACCACCAACGAAAAGGCCCTGCCATGGGTCAGTGATAACCAGGCAGCCCTGGTTGTGACATCTCCAATCTCGGTTGTGATAAAGCTTTAGGATTTGTAGGTGTTTTGCTTTTATGGGGTTGGCTTATATACTTGCATTAGCCATTAGGAAGGGACATAATTATAAATATTTTAAACAAACAAACAATGAATGTTAAAATGTATTCTGGATGGTGTTAAAGCTGGCCATTTGCCAGGGCCCCACGAGATCAGAAGAAGGCCCACCATGCTAACAGCATTGCAAATTTCCACCTTGTAGAGAGTATCAAATATCAGATATAGCCTTAGATATAGCTCCTCCAGACTAGTGTTTATATTGCAAATGTATTCTGCAGCATGGTCCTGACACAATAAAAGTGTGTTAAGGGTGGGTTTGTTCTGCTTTTTTAGTTGCGACAAACCTACCTCATTTATTGCCGTCCAGAGGGGCAATAGTGCAATGAAAGTGGGACACACACCCTCACCCTAAATCCCAGATCCTTTGCGGTATGAAAAGTTATAGGAGTTCAGCAACATATTGTGTAATTTTGCACTGATTGGGAATGAAGCAGTATGAGCGCCCCAAAACTTTCTCAGGCACAAACAGCATTGGGGGAAAAGGCTCACATATGACTAGCCCAATAGCATTATTAGCACAAATTGTCATAGAAAGGATGAATGGAGTGTTCCTGCCTCTTCCAGGTTAGAGTGCCATGCCCTGGAAACAGCACTGACTGGATGTGTGCACAAGGATATTACTGAGACTAGGAAATGCGATCAGCAGCAGGGATGGGGGTCCCTGATCCCTTACCTTGAATGCTCATGATAGTGACTGCCAGGAAGGTGGCTGTCCCTGAGAAGATGTTGAAGATGGTGAGGCGTGTATAGGCCGTAGAAGCCACAGAGAAGAAGAAGCTGAGCAGATACATGAGGGGGATAGTGGCCCAGCCGTAAAGGAAAAAGATCTGCATCACATCAACAAGGTGGTTGTCCTGGGTGAAGGCTTTCACGTCAAAGGCTTGGAATATCACCTGGAGGGAGGGATCAACCAATGAAACGGGGGGAGGGGAAGTATTTCAGCAGAAAATGCACAAGAAAATACATATTTTAGGGGGAGAAATTCATACTATTTAAACAGTATTTCGCTTATGTGGTTTTTTGTGGGGGTTTTTTAATTGCAGAAGAATGGGCACGTACAAGACTGAGATGAACTAGAAAAGAGTTTGATCCATTCATCCCTGTCAGGTATAGGGCTTTCCCATTCCGGATTCTTTTAACTGAAGATCATGCAACCAGACAGTTTGAAGGGATCCTTAAGGTCATCCAGCCCAACCCTGGAACTGCAGATGCCTGAAACTGAGCTTAGGATTTTCTGCATGCAAAATATCTGTCACTGGCCCAGTTTGGGACTGATATGAGCACCATGGCTACAAGAGCAGCAGTAGGAGGAGACGTATGAACTTACACCTCTTAAGAATAGTCAGCGTTCCTTTGCTTGAATGTTCAGCTTTCACTGTGGGGGGGAAATGATCTCTAGGATTCTTTGGGGGGCAGGAATACATCCAGGCAGTATTCTATCCAACTGCTAAGTAAATGAGTTTTTGATTCAATTTTTAGTGATTGGTTCAGTCACTGATTTACTTAATCTAATAAACATAAACAAATCAGAGTGTTTGAATTTATGTTTTGCTGGTTTGCACTGATTATAATGCTCTTCCCCACACAAATCTAGAAAATAGGAGCACAGGAAGTTGCCTTACATTGAGTCAGACCATTGGGTCCATCAAGTTCAGTATTGCCTACACCAGGGTTTCCCAAACTTGGGTCTCCAGATGTTTTTGGACTACACTGGTCCTGCTAGCTAGGGATGATGGGAGCTGTAGTCCAAAAGTAGCTGAAGAACCAAGTTTGGGAAACCCTGGCCTACGCTGAATGCCAGTGGCTGTCCAGGATTCCAGATGGGGAGTCTCCCCCAGCCCTATGTGAAGATGCTGGGGATCAAACCTTGGACCTTCTGCATGCAAAGTGGATTTCTACCACTGAGCCAGTTTGCTTATGTGCCAGATTAGCATGTCCCGCCCCCGCCCCTCTGCTAGATTCTTTCAGCATACATCTCCTGGTGCATTTTTGCCAAAACACTGGCAAAGAACCTCCTGGGGACTGCAGCTGAGCTGACTTACCAGCATGAGCACACAGGGCGTGAGGTAGTTGATGAGGTCCCACAGGAGGGCCGAGAGCCAGAAATTGACGACATAGACCCCGCTGACAAACTGGACGTGCTTGGCCTTGATGGCCCTCTCGCTGACGAGCAGGAGAGCGAAGGTGCTGGACAACGACGCCATTCCATAGAGCAAGTTGATTGCAATGGCGAAACCCGTCTGGCCTCTGATGGGACATTAAAGACAGCAAGGTGAGCAGGACCAGAGATGTTTATTTGGAGGAGCATCCCATCTACCCAAAAGGCTGAAGGCAAGCAATAGCAAGAGCAAGAAAAGATCCAGTCAGGGGTTTTATAATAGAACAAGGATATCCTAGGAACTTCAGCGCAACAGGGTGAGCAACTGGCAGGCCCTGGACCAAGTCTAGCTCATGAAGGGGTGACACTTGCACTGTCTCCATGTCTTCCCAATCCAAGGGGGAAAGGCAGGTGTGCAGAGAGCAGCAGGGATGAGAAAGGGATAAAGCCAGATTTCACCAGCCCATTGGATGCCATCAAGACTCCAACTCCAACCAGCAGGGGTGATAGGATTTGGGAGTCACCAAGCAGGGGAAGACTGGAATAAGCCCTACTGGGGGTGGGGGCAACCCCCCTTCCCATCCTTAAAAGGACCCTCTGGAAGAACATTTCTATGCTGCTATTTCAGCCTAAAGGTGCCCAAAGCAGTTCGCAAAACAATTTAAAAACAAAACACAATTAATACAGGACAAAGTAATAATTTTTAAAAAGACAGCGATCCATCACCATTTATACTAATATCAGGGAAGTCAGCTCTTCAGGTGCCAGGCCTTGCATAGCCAACAGAACTGCAAACGCCATGTGTAAGAGAGAGTGGTAGTGACAGACTCGGGAATCCTGAGGTTTGTACAGGGAAAATTCAAGGAGAAGGGGGAAAGGGAACTCTCCAAAAACACTGAGTATGCTCCGTGGGCATGGAATGGTGGCTGACTGCTGGGAGGGAAATGGAACAGAGTTGCAGGAGATCTGCTCTGCAAGTGGCAGCCTCAGAGGGCTGTTGTAAGGCTAAAAAGATAGGCGAGAGAACTATGCACGCCACTTTCAGCTCTTTGGAGGAAAGGCAACACAGTATATAAAGGAATTAAATAAAGAGTGAATTTATCGTTGTTTAAAAGAAAGGAAGAATCAACTCACTCCATGAGCTGGTCCTTCGCGGTCTCTGTTGTGTTGCGGGGCTGTGGGTAGTTAGCCACAGAGATGGAAGCATTGGGGTCAACCAGCAGCTTCAGCAGGGCGTTGTCAACCAGGAGAAGGGCTGCGGCAGACGAGTGGAATGCCTGGTTGTTGAAGAGAGCCGTCACCTTCACGAGATCCCCAGTTTCTTCGAAGGAAGCTGCCGCAATGTAGCGCTCATTGAAGGCTCCCCCTTCTTCAGCTGCTCGAGAAATCAGGTATTCCTGCAGGTCACCTGCAACAACACTTTCGTCAATGCAGCAGGCATCCTAAGTGGTCCTTCCGTTGGCCAATCAGATGCCATTTGAGATGAGATATTGCTACAGGTGTTTAGTGGAGGAAGGTTTTCTCTGCAACCCTAAGGTCTAGAAACTTGCTGTTTGAACAGATACGGGGATTTCCAGGAAACCGACATGTGCCAGAAGCTGGAAACTAGGCCAAATTTTGGCATGACCTGAAGCCTCAAGTAAAGCAGAATATCTATAAATAATGTACATGAACAGCCTACTGAAGCTTGGTGTTCGCTGACAGCATCTTGTTTTTAAGACTCCAGCAGCCCCAAAGGTGGTTGGGTGTTTAACTTTACATGGAAGTCTATCTTCCTCCTCTTTTTGCTCCCTTACTCTACACTCCATGTGAGACTTCTTCCCCACAACCTTCCACCGTAATCCCTGTCTCCCTATCTGCCAAATGCACCAAGGCAGGCACACACCAGTCACTATTGTTCTCTCCTGCCCCTTCCAGCATCTACTTTGATATTGCACATTCTGTGACTGAGCCTTCTCCCTCAGGTGCTTCCAATGCCCATGAGCATTTTGCCATATCCCAGCTGCTGAGCCACAGCGGCAGAAGCTCCTATTTGTTCTCCTGCAAACCCAGAAGATTTGGAGCATCTCTTCTTACTGAAAGGGCTTAAAAACAGACTAAATATCTGTTCTCTGCCTTGGTTCGGCTACTCACCCACTACCTCCAGTGGCCCTTGGTGCTGAGAGTCCACGATATCCTTATACTGCTCTCCTAGTCTCTGGGCCAGGGTGGATTCTTGGGAGACAGAAAAGGGCACTGTAGTCTGTCCATACGGATTTAAGGTCATCTTGAGCAGGGAAGAGTCTCGTGGGCCTGGAAAGGTCTTGGCCACAATCAGGGCGAAGGCAGTGAAGATCAGAGGCACCAGGAACTGCGCTGCCACCATCTTCCAGTTGCGCCAACTGTAGACAGCCCTCTTCATAAACATGGCATAGAACTGCTGGCAGCAGAGGTAGAACTATGAAGATAAAGAGCAGGCTAAGGATACTGATAAGGTGGATCCCCTTGGAAAATTAGACAAAGTTTGATATTAACAGAGCATTGTTGCTGTTATTATTTATATGCAGGCGGTGACCATTCCCTGTGGGGGTTCCATTCCTAGCCCCCGCGTGTGTCGGTGGAGTGTATATAAGCACATCCCACTCTGTCCTCGTTCTGCCTTCTTCTGGGTCCAAAGGACCTGCATATCAGCAATCACACATCCAGACACCACCTGTATTTTCTTTGTATACTGCTTCAATGTAAAAGCCTTTGAGCGGTTTACATAAAATATGCATTAACAATTATCAATAAGAATTGAAGCGTTCCCCCTTTTCATTTAATTTTTTTAAAAAAAATTAGTGATGTGTTTTTAAAACTACAAAACCATTTTTTGAAATGTTTAAATACACTGTTGCGCCTAATACTTCCAAGAAATTTCATACCAGCCATCAATAAGCAGTATTATGATGAGTGCTTGACAAAATCACCTATGCTGAATTTGTCTGGCTTTGTATACATATGTAGCAATAATGAACATTCATTTAGGTCATATACAGTGGTACCTCCAGTTGCGGATGGGATCCGTTCCAGAGGTCTGGTCGGATCCCGAGGTTTCCGCAATCTGAGGACCGCTTCTGCGCATGCGGCGAAACCCGGTCAAATACTTCCGGGTTTGCCGCTTTCGCATCCTGCAGTTCACGTAACCAGAGGGTTACATAACCGGAGGTACTACTCTATTTGCAAAAACAGTTTGAGCATGGGAAGAGTCATGGGTGAGAATTTTAGTCAAATATAAAATCAGGCAGTTATCCTAGAAACAATGATAATCTTCCCAGGAGGCTGAAGACTCCAGTGTCCTTGGTGCTCTAATGGTAGAAGCTGGATTCAACTTAAGGAATAATTAGGAAAGGGGCTGGAAATAAAACTCCTCAGAACTAAGGCATGGCCACATTCAGGGTACTACTCATTCAAGCCATGCAGTATGGTGAGTTCCATTTTTGTCAACACCCATGATTAATCAATTGCTATGTTCACAAGGGCTGGCAGGTCCCCATGGCACCAGAGCAACCAATCAGAGCTCACCCCTGTGTTCAGCTTGATGTTGGAGCAATCTTCCGTGATCAGAGCCCCGCTGTCATCCGTCATGTCAGTCATCCCACTCAGGCTGCTGGAGTCGTCCATGGCCCAGTCGTTGGATCGCCGTTCATGCTGGTACTGCAAAGCTGGCAGCTGGATGGCTTGGATGTCCATGCTGGAATCAACCAGCTTGCCAACTCTTAAAGGAAGAGAGCGAATCCATGTAAGCGAATGCCATTGGCATTAGGTGGAGTTTGTGGGTTTTTAAAAATTAAGTCACCCCAGAGGTTAGCTTCCAACAACCTCAGCGTCATACCTGTATACAAGTTTTAGCAATCAGCCTCTTCTGGAAGTTCACTTGCCACATTTCTGAGTCATGCACAATGTTCTGGACCCATTTCTGTTTGAAGCAGAAATGGGCTTTCACAGAGTATGTATTGGGCAGGTCTGATTGGTTGCCCCTTGCTTCAATCTTAGAACAACCCCCCCCCCCTTTTCAAAGCATGGCTGTGCATGATGCTGATCGATCAGCAGTGATGCCAGTCATGAAGCCACTGCCCCTCCTTCTCTGTGCTCCCCCCCCCAAATTGTACCAAAAGGTGGCAGTGCATGTGGGTTGCTCATCTGATGCAGAGGGAGAAGGGAGGGCAGGTTGTTCAGACTGCAGAGAAACAGGGATCTGACCAGAAGTTCATGGCACTGACCCATAATTTGAGGAGAAATGTTTTTATGAAATTATTCCCACCACTGCCAAATTTTGTTTTGCCAAATCATTTCATCATTTTGTTTACTTGAGTCCCAATGAACTCAATGGGGATTTCTTCCAAACTGCACTGTTAATAGAACAGCACTGTTAATCTCAGATTCCCTCCCCCTCAATATACATCCAAATCTTATTTCAGAAAGAAATTAAATCCAACATGTTTTAACTCACACTTACTCCTGCTGAAAGAGCACGTTTACCTTCCTTGCTAGTTTCCCCAATGCCCTACCTGAGAAAAACTTCCTCCATAGTGGTGACTGAGGCTCCGTAACTGGCGATGCCCAGCTCTTCCCGGCGTAACTCCAACTCCGTGAACAGAGCCTCAAACCTGGAAAAGCAGCAGGAAACAGGAAAGAACCTCAGCATTCAAAGCGTATTCCTCACACTCCCTATATTACACAGAGGAAGTGCTTCCTACCCCTTTGGACAAAGGCCTGTAACCTGGGGTTCTTGTGGAGGAGTGGGGAATGTGCTTTCAATGCACTTTCAATGCACACAAGAGTTTACCAGCTGCTGGGAAAGCAATTTGCAAGGCAGTTCTTGCCAGTCCAATTTCACAATATGGCCACACCCACTCTTGGCATGTGATCCTTGGAGGGTGAAGTCTTCGCCTAGAGAAGGTGAGCTCTCACTGGCTTAGACACACGCCCGAAATTTGCAAACGCTAGAGAGACCCCCGGCACTGCAGTTTCACAACAGACAAAGCTCCCACACCGATGACGACCTGGCAAGCCATCATCAGTTGTTGCAGAGGGTGACACTACCTGTGCGTACTCTCTTTGGGAAGGATGAAGGACAGCTCTGCCCCAGCATTGCTCTCCAGGGTGGCGTTGGGCACATAGTGATAGATGAGACGGGAGATTTCGCCAAGGTTGCAGCACGGCTCCTTCACCATCACCATGTGGTATCCTGCACCTGAAAGGGAGCAGATGGAGATTTTTTTTGGGGGGGGGAAAGAAGTGCGGGAGAAGAGAAGAGATTTTTGTGTGCATATAGGAAGCTGCCTCATGCTGAGTTTCCATTTATTTTGTTCCACTTCCCTGACATTTTACCTAACTGTTAATTTCCGCATTATGTTGGGGCTTTAATGTGATGTAAAAACCACTTCCAGAAAACTAATGGAATGCAGTGATTTCTTTGCTGTTTGATTCCATTAAAAAACTGTCTGTGCCCCTTAACCCATAAAATCACTAAAGTGGTGAAATTTGGGGAAGGATATTGGCATACTATTTTTTATTCTCTGTGTTTGTTCATCAAGAAAACTAATAAAAAACAAAAAGTAAAAATAAAAAGGGTATTGACACACAGTTCTTTCCTGCCCTTTTCATGGGGGGAATCATGGGGAAACACAAGCAGGTATGTGAGGAAAGGGTTGGGGAGGAGCACTATTGTCCAATTATGTTGGTTCTTGTGTCACCGCACATCCACTTGGCGTGAATTTAATTTAGTGTGACATGTCGGTATATCAGTAAAAAAGCCACAGTTCCACAGCAGGCATTCCAGTGTGAAAGTGGCATTGGAAATAAATAATAATAATAATAATAATAATAATAATAATAATTTATTACTTATACCCTGCCCATCTGGCTGCGTTTCCCCAGCCACTCTGGGCGGTTTCCAACAGGAGATTAAAAATACATTAAAACATCAGTCATTTTTTTAAAAAAAACACACTTCCCTAAACAAGACAGAAGTGCTAGCATTATAATCAGGAAAATGAACGAAATATTTCCCATGTCTGAATGCACCAGACTGTTGGTCCATCTAGCAAAGCATTGTCTAATAGTACTGCCTGGCAGCAGCAATCCAGTGTCTGAGACCAAGGATCTTTCCCTGCTTGAAGATGCTGGGGATTAGATCATAGAAATACAAAGTTGGAAGGGACCACAGGGGTCATGTAGTTCAACCCCCTGGAATGCAGGAATCTTTTGCTCAACCTGAGGCTCGAACCCACAACCCTGAGATTAAGAGTCTCATGCTTGAACATGGGACCCTCTGCAAACAAAGCAGATGATCTACCACTGAACTCCATCCAGTCAAGAAGCATTCAGGGGTGTTCAAACTACATACCAACAGGCTGCCCTGCAATAACAATTGCTACGCTGAAATTGCCAGGTGCCTGACAGGTTTTTTAAAAAAAATTAATGCAGAATATATACACACCATTGGTGAGGGCACCCACATTTAAAGCCCCTCTCCCATACAGGTCACTAGGCTCTTCCTCCTCCAAGTCTCATACAGAATGAAATAATTGTGTGAATGCTACCAAAGGAGAATGCCACCCACTGCAAGGTCCTTATTTCTTTGTGGGCTTCTTCAAGTCAGGTGCTGGCACAAGGGGGATTCTCCTTACCGTATTTATGCTTGAGAAAGAGTGAAGACCCACAGCACTGGAGCTCCCCCTTCGCCATAATCGCAATGCGGTCGCCCAGCAGATCTGCTTCGTCCATGAAGTGTGTGGTGAGCAGGATGGTGCGGGTGCTCCGCTGCTGCTGCAAAAGCTCCCAGGTGGCCCGGCGGGAAACTGGATCCATGCCTGAGGTTGGCTCGTCTAGCATCACCACCTAAACAGCGCAGAGAGAAGAGGCCTCAGTGCAAGGTGAAACACAGCTGGCGTAAGATATGAAGGGCACATACCATATTTTTCGCTCTATAAGATGCACCTTTTCCCTCCTAAAAAGTAAGGGGAAATGTGTGTGCGTCTTATGGCGCGAATGCAGGCTGCGTAGCTATCGCTGAAGCCAGAAGAGGGAGAGCTGTGTAGCAATCCCTCTTGCTGTTCTGGCTTCAGGGGTGGCCGCGCAAACCTCTTCAACAACATTTGATTCAGAATATTTTTTTTCTTGTTTTCCTCCTCTAAAAACTGGGTGCGTCTTATGGTCGGGTGCGTCTTATAGAGCGAAAAATACGGTGCCCAGAATACAGAAGAGAGACAGTGTGGTGCAATTGTTAGAGAAGTGGGGGGCAGTCTGAGGCCTAATTTCATGCAGTGGCAGGGGGAAATGGAAGCAAATGGGGTGGCAGAAAGAATAACGAAGAAAGAAAACGGAGGACTCTCAAGACTCACTTTGGAGTCTCCAATGAGTGCGATGCCAATGGAGAGCTTCCGTTTCATCCCCCCAGACAATGCTTTAGACAGAGAGAAGCGTTTCTCCTGTAGGCTGAGGATGTGCAGGATGCGGCTAATCTCCTCTAGACATTTCTCCGCAGCAAAACCTTTCAACTGAGAGGAAATAGAATGGAAAAAGAGTTAGCACATGGGTTGACAAATTTTTTTTTTTTTTAATGCTGCTGCTGCTGCTTTCATTTAAATCAGGGTTGGGGAGTGTGTGACTCATCCCTACGTATTGGTCATGCTGGCTGGGGCTGATGGGAGTTGGAGTCAAACAGCATCTGGAGGACCGGAGACTCCTAATCCCCAGTTAGACAAAAAGGTTAAAAAAAAATGAACAGGTTTCTAGTCCCTGTAGTTGACAACTGCTGACCCCAGAATCCTATTGCACTTTGTCCCACATTGTGGCATCAGCCTGAAGGTGCATCAATGCTGCACATAGGAAAAGCTCATGTGTGCATTCACAAGCCCAAGAAATGTGAATCCATCATCTGCATCTCCCTCCAGCCTGAGAGAGAAGTTTGGTGTTTGTACGGCCTTTGCTTTTACAGAAGATCGTGATTGCCGGTGTTCTAAGTGAGAATATACACCATTCATTTAATGTAGGTTATCTCCTGAAGAGTTACACCATGCTATGTAACAAAGGATAAAAAGAAGCCTCGCAATATTTATCCGAGATTACCCCAGCGTAGAAGTACAGGTGCTCTTCCACTGTCATTTGGTCAAAGAGGACGTCGTGCTGAGGGCAGAGGCCAAGACTTTTTCGGATCAGATTCATGTCCTGGGAGATCTCATAGCCATTGATGTATGCTTGGCCACTTGTTGGAGGATACAGTCCTGGGGAAAAGGAACAGCCTTCAGATTAGCGGCCGTTAGATTAGATGGATCCCCTAAAATCCGAGAAGGTTTAAAAGGCATTTTATAGTATCCCTGCCAAGACTGTCCACAACTCTCTCTTGGGTGTATCCAATCCCAGTTTGCTGCCTGTGTGGTACATAAACTGAATCTCAACCATTTCAAACCCCGTTAATTACTGTAACCTATTACCAGGTGTGGGGGGGAATTCCCACATTTTGTAAGCAAATATAGCGCATTTCTGTATCTTCATTAATATGTTCCTTTTTATGCACACTTGCTCCTAATAGATGAATTTTTGTAAATATAGCCTTGACTCATTATTCAGGCTTAGCATGGTGATGATGATGATCCTAGGAAGCTGTCTTATGCCGAGTCAGACCTTTTGGTCCCTCTAGTTCAGTATTATCTACACTGACTGGCAGCCGCTGTCTACAGTTTCAGGCAGGTAATCTATCCCAGTCCTACCTGGAGATGCTAGGGATTGAACCTGGGACCTTCTGCATGCAAAGCAGATAGTCTACCACTGCCCTTCCTGCCTAGTCCCAACAGCCAAACCTCACCTGTGAGCATGGACAAAGTCGTCGTCTTCCCAGCACCATTGTGCCCCAGAAGCACTGTGATTTGCCCCTCATACATGTTCAGGGTCAGGTCCCTTACGGCTTCCTTGGTTTTGTTCCCCACCTTGAACACCTGAGGACAGCCAAGTGAGAAGTATACATAAACAGGCATTCAGATGCTCTTTCCATAAGCTGCTGTTGCACAACTCAGCTTTCAGAGTGCGGCATCCCAGAAGAACCCACCTTGGACAGGTGTTTAATTTTGATCCCTGAAACAAGGTCCGATGGCTCCTCTTCTATGTACTGGCTTTTCAGGGCCTTCTCTGGGTCCTCCTCCTCTTCTTTCTCCTTTCCCAGCACTGTCTGAGGACTCCCACACCAATACGAAGGCTAAGGAGAGACAAACAGGGAGGCTCTTATTGTTGCGAACAATTGGAGTTTGCCAATTATTTCATTGATGGGGTGAGGCAGCTTTTTCAGTCTGAGGGCCACATTCACCCTTCCAGGGGCCACATACCAGATGCTCTAAAGAATAAATTGCAATAAACTATTGACTTGCTTTTGTTATAATATGTATTTTGTGTTCTCATTTTGTATTTTTATGTTGTAGACCACCCTATAATCTTCGGATGAAGGGTGGTAAACAAATCTCTCACTCTCTCATACTCTGCTACTTATTTATGCCAGCTGAGGTCCTCTGTCTATTTTGTTTGGTTCCAATGAAACAGGGCGAACTTCTACCCCCAGCGCCAGCCATTCCCAATCTGGTGTCCTCCAGATGGGACTACTGCTCCCATCAGCCCCAGCCTGCATGACGCAAGAGTAAGAATGAGCATCAGGGATTCATGAAGAGTCAATATTCATTTTAGCTATTCATAGATACCAAATGGAGCTCACATATATCCACTTGGTCAGATCAGGAAGCCTGGTAGCAGAACAAGTTGTTGCCACTAATTGCTATTATGATGTCCTCTAATGAAGACAGAAATAGATCAGCTACTATGCCTTGTCTGTTTGCCTAAAACAGAGGTTTTAAACCTATTTGAGTCCATGGCTCCCTTGACCAACTACATTCTTTCTGCGGCACCCCTGTGGGGCTCAGGAGCCCAGTTATATCACCCCTTGCCTGCAGAGCTGGCAGCCTTTCACTCTTTTTCAAACAACCTCCCTTGTGGAGTGTTCCCTCAGCCTCCTCCCCTCTCCCCGGGAGTCATCTGGGCAGCCGCTGCTGCCACCCCTGATCACTGAGCTACCCACCCACCGCAAAGAAAGGTGCTTCCTCACACTGCTCCACAGGGGCCTGGGAAGCATCCCCTAGCCAGCCCCAGAGGCACCATTTGCCTGGGGAGCTTATAACCAGGGTTGCTGCAACAAACAGCTGTGCAAGTCTCTGGGAGGCAGAGACGCAAGAGGGCATAAGTGGAGGGAAGGAAGGAAAGAGGGACAGAGGCCATTGTTGTCCACAGCACCCCCAACCATCATTCATGGCACCCTAGGGTGCCACAGCACACTGGTTGAAAGCCACTGGCCTAAAACAATGGCCTGGCTCACAAGCCATGCTGGACCAAACCAAGTCCCGGCATAAACATGGCCATGTACTTCCTAGAAGAGGAGATCACAGTTGCTTTGCTCTTCTTCCTGTCATTCCTCTGCTCGTTTGGTTTAGCCTGCCATTCAATCCCAGAATCATGGTTTGGCTCTCTGGACAAATCATGAGCTGTAAATCATAAAAGAAACCTTGGTGGCAGCTTATGGCTAGCCCAGAGATAGTAAAATCAGGTGTCCAGGTTTGGGTGACAAACCAAGTTTTTCTGCATGTGTCCTCACAGCGTCAAACCCCACCACAAACGTTCCATTTCTCAGTTCCACAACTTGTTCTTTTTCTGTGTTCCAGAGAATCGTCACAGCATACCCTCAGCACTGGACTCTTCCCCGTTACTAAGCTCCAGATGTTTTCAATTACTCCAGATGTTTTCAATTCAATTTAAGTTGTCGTCCAAAGCAACTGGAGGGAGCAGGTTGGCAAAGGCTAGGCTACACAACAGCTGGTCATTGGGAGAGAGATCAGCACAGGACTCACCATCAAGAAGAAGTACCAGGGCTGTGGGATGCCATACTCTCCTGGGAAGACGGCCTCCACATACCAGGCCACCAAGCCATACAGCACCGAGTCCAGGAGTAGCATCCCTAGGACGTGAGCCACAGTGAAGTTATCGTCCACGCTGACTGGTTTCAGAAGGTCCCTCCACTGCACCCCAGTGCCTGGAAAACAGAATAATAATAATAATAATTAATTTATACCCCACCCATCTGGCTGGGCTTCCCCAGCCACTCTGGGCGGCTTCCAACAAAATATTAAAATACAGTAATGCATCAAACATTAAAAGCTTCCCTAAACATGGCTGCCTTCAGATGTCTTCTAAAAGTCTGGTAGTAGTTGTTCACTTTGACATCTGGTGGGAGGGCATTCCACAGGGCGGGTGCCACTACCGAGAAGGCCCTCTGCCTGGTTCCCTGTAACTTGGCTTCTCGCAGTGAGGGAACCGCCAGAAGGCCCTCAGCACTGGACCTCAGTGTCCAGGCAGAACGATGGGGGTGGAGATGCTCCTTCAGATATACTGGACCAAGGCCGTTTAGGGCTTTAAAGGTCAGCACCAACACTTTGAATTGTGCTCCGAAACGTACTGGGAGTCAATGCAGGTCTTTCAAGTGTTATGTGGTCTCGGCATCCAAGTTCTGTTTTGTATCCAACAGCGCAAAGTGAAAGCAGGCGGCTAATACATTACTGAGACCTGAAAGGTGAGGCGCCAGGGTAGGGAACAAGACATCCCCTTCTTCTGACCCTCTCCTCCCGAATTAGGGATCCCAAAGTTGTTTTTGTTTTAAATACTTAATGCTACATCATTGTGGAGGATATTTACTAGCCGGTTTGGAGTATACAAGAAATATTTCAACACAACAAAAGATTCTGAGTGTCCGAACCACATTGCATGCACTATCTTGGGTAGTTTTACAACAAGGTAGTCCAGTATGATGGTGGATTAAGAACCTACGAATATGAAAAGAGCCTGCTGGATCAGGCCAATTACCCATCTAGTCCAGCACCCTGTTCTCACAGTGGCCAAACAGAAGCTTGTGAGAATCCAGCAAGCAGGATTCAAGCACAGGAGCCCTCTCCCTTCCTGTAAAAGGGTAAAGGGACCCCTGACCATTAGGTCCAGTCGCGGACGACTCTGGGGTTGCGGTGCTCATCTCGCTTTATTAGCCGAGGGAGCTGGTGTACAGCTTCCGGGTCATGTGGCCAGCATGACTTAGCCGCTTCTGGCGAACCAGAGCAGCGCACGAAAACGCCGTTTACCTTCCCGCCGGAGCGGTCCCCATTTATCTACTTGCACTTTGAGGTGCTTTCGAACTGCTAGGTTGGCAGGAGCAGGGACCGAGCAATGGGAGCTCACCCTGTCGCGGGGATTCGAACCGCTGACCTTCTGATTGGCAAGTCCTAGGCTCTGTGGTTTAACCCACAGTGCCACCCATGTCCCTCTCCCCTCCTGTAGTTTCCAGCAAATGGTATTCAGAAGCATTTCTGCCTCCAACCATGGAAACAGAGTGCACAGACTTCATGATTATTGCAGATAAGGACCTGAGACAGGGTAGGTGGCTAAGGAGAAGATGGGGACAAAGCTAGGATTAGTTGCCATAGTTGCCATGCCACTGATTGTGGTGGATACTTGCAGACCTGATTGACTCTCCCTTGATCCTTCACACTCCAACATCTGCCTACGAGAGAGCCTCCAGGCCATCGCCTTACTTACTTCAAGTCCCTTCTCAAAAACAGTTCTTCCAGGAATCGTTCAGACAAGGGGCAGTCAACATGGTGACCTCTCATCAGCCCTGACCATCAACCATGCTGGCGGGAGTGGGTGGGGATATGAACCCTGGTCTCGCAGGTCCTAGCCTGACACTTTAATCACCACAATGCCACAGGTGATTCCAAAAGGCATGTTTATCAGCTGACAGGCTCCTGACTGTGCGCTGGAAGCCACATTCCTCTCTGCCCCCACACCTGACATCACTTGCAACATCAGGTGCTGAGCAGGTGGCCATGGTTTTGAGGAAATGGCTGCACCAGCTAAACTTCTTTCCCTGTTTATCCCTGTATCCATTATTCCTCCCTGTACTTTCCCTGTACGTGTTTTAGACTGGAAACCTCTTGGACTAGATACCTATCAAACCTGTTCTTTGCAGAGCACCATGTGAGGCAGTAAACTGCGGGAGGCAGTGGAAGACAGAAGCGCCTGGCGTGCTCTGGTCTATGGGGTCACAAAGAGTCGGACATGACTAAACGACTAAACAACAACAACAATGTACACAGAATACGCTTATAAATAAAAAATATTTTAGCCCACTCTAGCCCAATGGTTGCCATTAATTTGATTTTGAATTGATTTTAGAATGAATTGATTTTAGAATGTATTACAATTAACTGATTGTGATTTTATATAAACTGTGTTATTTTTACTGTTGTTAGCCGTTCTGAGCCCGGCTTCGGCTGGGGAGGGCAGGATATAAATAAAATTTTACTATTATTAATTATTATTATTATTATATGCTGCACTTTTGTTTGTTTGTGGTTTTTTCCAGGAGAAAGAAAGAAAAATTGAAGAAATATTCAGCCCGCTTTTAATTCCAGCCAGAGCTGGAACAACAAGAGTATTGCAGCTGAACAAACATTTACCAGTTGCTCAATAACCAGCTGGTAAGTCATGTGAGTTGGTCTCACACTGACTCCTGCTTGCAAGAGATACAGCAACAGATACAGAGCCCAGCCCAGGACAAACCTATGGCTGCCTGTCTCCTGATGATAGTTAGGCAATTCACACCGTGGGTGAATACATTCTTTCACAGAGTACTAATCTCACCACCCTCTTTTTGGAGCTAATCACGACCAACGCTGTACAATCTGCATTTATACAATTAAATTCCAACTTTCCTCCAAGGATCAAGGTTACTGCTCCAAGGGGACACCCAGTGAGCGACATAGCTTAGTGGGGATTCGAACCCCGGTTTCCCAGGGCCCTGGGCCAGCGTTCTAACCACTACACCACACTGGTTGCTGCAACCCATGCCATGCCATAAAGATATAAGAAGAGCCTGATGGATCAGCCTAATGGTCCATCTAGTCCAGCATTCTGTTCTTGCAGCGGCCAACCAGATGTCTGTGGGAACCTGAGCACAAGAGCACTTTCCTTTCCTGTGGTTTCCAGCAACTGGCATTCAGAAGAATTGCCTATGGCGGAGTAGGGCTGGCCGATATCAGCCTTTCAGCATCACAGTATATAACCAACCAAACATCGCAGTCTGGCGATGTTCAAAAACAAGCTGCATTGGCATCAGCAACTAGCAAAACTGACTGGAAAACTTAAGAGGAATGTCAAACCAAAAGGTATTTAGGGAATGGAAAATATATAAAGAATACTTGAAAATGTACTGTACGAACTTGCAGAAATAGAGTGATACTGATAACCAAGAATTGTTCAAAATGTAATAGTGGATTATCTATCTATATGCAAAATAAAATAATGTGAATCTGTGCAAGGAATACAGATAACATAAGTAGTATAATGAGAATTATTGGAAGTTACATATTTTAATTTGTTATGAAAGTGTAATATATTGTATTTGCTTATGTTTGTTTTTCTAACTTTCCTTACTTTATTGTTTTTATTCATTTGTATCGTCTTTTGTACTATATGTTATGTACATTTGTGTATGTGAAAATTATTAAAGATTTTCAAAAGAAAAAAGAAAAAAAGGAAAGAAATTGCTGCTGCTCTCACCGTGGGAGCTGAGGAGGGTTCATCCCAGCGCCTAGCGGGCTGGGACAAGGCAGCTTGTTTGTACAGCTCACCTGGGGCACGGGAGGGCTCCCAATTCCCAGCTCAGTCATCCCCGGTGCTCTCCCCGCTCACGAATGAGTAGGGAGAGCAGCGGGGCTCCTTTGGGCAGCTCTGCCAGCGATGGGGAGGGCTCCCCATCCCCAGCTGAGTCATCCCTGGTGCTTCCCCCACCCCCGCTTGCGCAGGAACAAGCGCTGGACTGGGGGATCCTTTAACTGCTCATCTGAGGGGAGCAGCAACCACACACTCCTCAGCCAGGCAGTTAAAAGATGCAGAGGAACAAGCTGTTATCGGTGCCTCGCCAATGAAGCTTTTTTCTCCTTCTGCGCAGTATGAGGGCAGAGTGTGATGGCAACACTCGCTGGAAGAAGTACAGGGGTACCTCGGGTTACAGACGCTTCAGGTTACAGACACTTCAGGTTACAGACTCCACTAACCCAGAAATAGTACCTCAGGTTAAGAACTTTGCTTCAGGATGAGAACAGAAATTGCACAGCGGCAGCAGAAGGCCCCATTAGCTAAAGTGGTGCTTCAGGTTAAGAACAGTTTCAGGTTAAGAACGGACCTCCAGAATGAATTAAGTTCTTAACCCGAGGTACCACTGTAGCTAGCAGAGGGACTCGGAAGTGGTGGTGGTTTCACCAGCAATATACCACTGAGTGAAGCTAACATCATGGTCTACTCCTTGTACCAATCCTGGGTGATATATTGATATATTGACCAGGCCTACTGTCAGAGCACTGCCATCACGGCTAGTAGCCATCTATAGTCTTATCCTCCATGAACTAGCCCAATCTTTTTTAAAAACCACCCAAGTTGGCAGCCACATTGCCTCCTGTGCAGCAGAGTTCCATAGTTTAACAATGGGCTCTGTGCATTCCTGCGCGTGCACAAAGAGCAAAAGCAGCTCAACTGTTTCTGCCAAAGGAGGATTTGCATCCACAAAAACTGGCAGCCAGCCAAGAGGGTGGGCTTCTCGCCTGGCCAGAAGCATCCTAGCCAACTCACCTTTCCCTTCGAACATGCCGATCAACTGCGCTCCCATAGCCATGGCGACGTTGGAAATGAGGCATGACGAAAGCTTCTGGTTGTGTGTCATCGTGTCGTAGCGTGGGGAGATGAAGAAGTATGGAATGTAGGAGAAGAAGTAGAGGAAGCCCCCAGCAGCTGCCGCCACATTTGCTGGGAATGCAAACAAGAGAGACAATATTCAGAGAAAATAACGGCAACAGCAAGGATTCATGTGCACTAACAAATTCAATAGGAACTCTTTGTTTCGTGGAAACCCAACTTGTGGCATCAAAACCAGTGTATGAAGGGAGGGGCAAAAGAGGGTCATGTGGTCCTGACACCTTTTTTCCTAGACTCCTTAAACTGTGGAGCAAAATGCAATATGAAGGGGGACCTGCAAAAAACATTTGCAGCATGGAGTGCTCCTGCTCAGGACCCCAGCAAGATAATACCCTTTTCCTGGACACTCCATTGCAGTCTCCTTTTCCTTCCCTGTTTCCCCAAAACAGTCAGTCAGCATTCTGTGTACACTGAGCAAGCTCATTACTCCTATATGTGGTTCCAACCCCCTGCGCCAGACTTATACTGTATGTCTAAATCTTTTTTTAAAAAAAGAAATATATATATGTATACAGTGGTACCTCAGGTTACATATGCTTCAGGTTACAGACTCCGCTAACCCAGAAATAGTACCTCAGGTTAAGAACTTTGCTTCAGGATGAGAACAGAAATCGTGCTCCGGTGGCATGGCGGCAGCAGGAGACCCCATTAGCTAAAGTGGTGCTTCAGGTTAAGAACAGTTTCAGGTTAAGAACGGACCTCCGGAATGAATTAAGTACTTAACCCGAGGTACCACTGTATATGGCGTCTATAAACCCTTTCCAGGAGTGTATCACTTCAGACTGCAGGTGGGGCAGTCTGAACATGATCTGAACACTCCGCCAAGTTAAAACACACATCTCTCTGCATTTGGAAAGCTAGCACCTCAAGAAGGAGGTCAGGCTCAAACTCTTCTCCTTGACATACTCACATTCCATATGCAGCGAAACTTTTGACTGGACGCATGCTTGACACATATTCTATCACTGTTTATACAATAAGTAACAATGTTTTTATTTGTTAACTTTTTCATCTGTTAAAAATGAACAAAGCGCAATTAAAATTGGCATTGCTTTTGTGATTTGATGTGCAATGTTTTCTACTAAGAAGAAAGCGTTGTTAATGCACAATGACAGGTACATTAAACTTGTAAACCTCAAATGAATTACTGTCTGCTTGGCTGGAAGGTTTCAGTATAAAAAGCATCAAAATGAAAAACTGTTGCATGGGTGGGCTGAACAAGGGTCTGCGTCTGCATTCCCACAGCGACAAACTTGTTCACTGTGCTTAGTCACATCCCGCCTCTTCCAGAGAGTGAATTACAGGCGCAACTCTGAAAACCAGGGGCAAACAAGATTTTCAAGTTTTACTGTTGCAGTGACACACTAGACCTGGCTGTTTTTCACTCTGCAATCTGTTCCTAGCATAGTCACTGCTTAGGCCTCAAATTCCTGGAGTTGCTTTTGACATGTAAACATTGCAATCCATTAAACTGCCAAAGGTGGGGTGGGGTGTTGCTGCTGGCACCTTCAACAGGGACTAGCTGCATTTGCAGCTGATTCCAGTGGGATTTCCAGGTACCGGGTGCAAATCCTGATTTAGCAGGGACCGGCTGCACTCAGAAAAAGGACACCTACCAAATCAGGAGCCTCGTCAGGCCTAATTAGGCTCATGGGCTAGAAGTCCCCAGCATTGCATTAAAGTGAGGCATACTATCCCAGGGTTGGCTTAGAGCACTACAATAAAATTTGTTGTGCTGAAAGTTCTGGTTTTCTTACTCCCTACATATAATTGCGTCTCCTCCCCTTACAACTTGTGCTGTAAAGCTGCGATCCAATTAATACCATAAGCATGCCATGGGGGAGGGGGAGGGACAACAAAGCTCAAAACCCTCTGATGTTTCTACAGGCAGCTGCTTCAAATGCTGAAGAGGCAAGCCACATTTCATTTCAGATTTGAAAGTGGAAAGGTGGCTTGCCTCTTCGGAATGCAGTGGCTGAGTCAAAGAAACCTCTTGCTCTTTGGCATCTTCCTGTGCGATAATAACTGAGGTCTTGGGACTAGTTGAAAACACACCAGGGACTAGCGGTGGTTCCCAGAGCAGCATTTACGAATTCGTCTGAAAGGAAGCCATGTACAGCTCCTCTTCCTTGGTATTCTCCACCCATACACCCCACTTCATCATCATCATCACCACCATAATAATAATAATAATAATAATAATAATAATAATAATAATAATTTCTTATTTATTAATAATATAATTTATAATAAATAATTTCTTATTTATTAATAATATAATTTATAATAAATAATTTCTTATTTATACCCCGCCCATCTGGCTGGGTTTCCCCAGCCACTCTGGGCAGCTTCCAACAAAATATTAAAATACAATAGTCAATTAAAAAAACAATATAAGTTAAATCTGGCATACTTTGCAATGCTCAAATCTAGCAATGCCATCATCTCAGGGACTATTCCACACCCTGTTTTTCGGCACACTGCAGGGAAAAAAACTGATGGGGATGCATTATGTTGCAAAGGAGGGAAATTCAGTGTTATCAGCTACTGTGGGAAACAGAATACTGTACTGGACTAGCTAAGCCTTTGGTCTGACCTACAGGGCTCCTTTCTGATGCTTTATTTAGGGGAAGAAAGCTGAGCCTACTATTCAGCAGTACAGTAGCAAATACTATACGTGCATGGATATTATTGAGACCTCCCAGTTCATTCATTCACTTCTATCCCAATATGTGGTGCTGGGGAAGCAAAAAGGCATCAAGGGACACGACAGTTAGTTTTGAAAAGAAAAAAAAACTAGAAAAAAAGTCCTGAGCTGCTCTGATGCTTGAAATAGCAACTTGATCTTCACAAAAGAGCAGGGGAATATTTTGCAGTCCCAGTGGCAACAAGCACTATCGACTACAAATCGAGCTGCCATAGGAACCATGGCTAAGTTACATGCAATGGGTAACCCAACCTACTTCCCTCCCTTGGACAATCCTGTATCTTGAGCGGGCCAAAGTAGCAGAAGAAAAAGGCATGTGTTTTTAGGTTTGCAAAGTGGCAGTCCACACCCCTGGGGAATTTCCACTCAGCTGCTCGTCTGTTATCAGCTATCATGCACATCACTGATGCTCCTGCATAACCTCATAATTAACATTTCAAATCCAGAATATGACGAGACAAAGCGCCACCAGCTTCCTGGCCTTATGATCACCCTGGGAAACTAGGAGGGGCCAAACGCAAAGCAAAACAAAACAAAACAAAACAAAACAAAACATGGCTTCTTGTACTTTCAACTTGGAAGCAATAAAGCTGTGGAATGCCGCACCAGGGGGCTGAATAAACAGGAGTTAACTGCCTCTGCAACTTAAGAGCACAGTCCTACCCATATCTGCTCAGAAATAAGTCCTACGGGATTAATTTCGGATTGCCTACAGATAACTGAGATTAAGCTTGTGGCCGACTCTCTGTGGATTCCAAGAGGACATCCTATCGTTGGGCTAAAAACAAACAAGGGATGAGCACGTGCTTCCGTTCCTCCCCACAACCTTGGGCCAAGAAAGGAACCATCATGTGAGCCCCAGAATTTGTTTTGAGTACCAGAACTGAACTGAACTCAAAGCCCTTCCAAGCAAACATCCACGGCTGGCCACCCTCTCTTTCCCATCGCCTTAGCTTATTTCATCTCACTAGTATCATAGCTGTCAACTTTTCCCTTTTCTTGCGAAGAATCCCATTCGGAATAAGGGAATTTCCCTTAAAAAAAGGGAAACGTTGACAGCTATGACTAGTATAATTTGCAGGGAGAGCAGTCATTTCCTTCTTCTTTCCTTTCAAAACTACTTATTATCCTTAGACACTGCAGTATAAGAAAAAGAAATCACAGCCAAACTATAAAATGCAAATAGCTGAAAACCATAAAAACCAACAGGAAATGGGACAAAAAAAAAACCACAGGTGAGATTATTACACATTACAGCTGATAACAATTTGCATGCCTTTGCCGGCACAACAAATAAACTGACATTAGACTTTCCCTGTCTTGCTAACTGGACAAAAGAGTCAACCAAGGTCAATCAAATTGTTTTCTGCCAGGATGGTGGATGTCTCCCAGTATCAGATGTTGATGTACACAAAATAAAAAGGGTGCCCAGACTGCACTGTGGTTCATAGGGTTTGATTTGCCTTTCATGGTTCTTATATTATTGGTAACCTTCTCTAACAGGGCAATAATCCAGCATCTGTCATACCATTTATCAACAGAAATTTCATTATCCGCTTTCTAGTAATGTGAAATTGTGAGCTTAGCGTCTATTAACATAATATGAATGTGATCTTTATTGGGTAGGGCTTCATTAGTGAGGTCCATTTTTTTGCTGCCATTCTTGGAATATTTCCCAATCTCCTCCAGGCACCTATGTTAATCTGCTTCGAGGCACAAAGGGATCTGCCAGCAGATCTGGATCTACTTTCTGCCTTCCACTGACCAAAAGCAGGGCCTGAAAGGCAACAAACTTTTCAAACGTGGGCTAAGCAGCAGCCAGCAGATTCTGCCAGCCTGAGAGAAGTGGTTGTGCAAATCAGTCACTCTTTCATCCTGACGGACAAACAGCCAAGGACACTTTGCTTACCTTTGGAGAAGAAGGTGCTGACCATGAAGCTGAAGGAGATGGATGCGATGGAGAAGACTGTCAAGAAGGTAAACACCAGAGTGGGGTCACTATTTGTGAGCACCGCTCCCTGTTTGCTCACCTGCAAAAATCAATACCCTGCGGTTAGTCCCATTATCTACTCAGAACTCAGCAGCAACATACAGACTAAAGAAACCTTGAAAATGGAAGGCAGAGTGTGCTGCCAACCCTGATGTGCGTGTTAAGTTTCAATGCCAGCTGGGAGATGCTCACCTTTACGCAGAAGAGGATGGTGACAAAGAAGTTGGAGACCAAGAGGAAGAGGAAGAACATGAGGAACCAGGCACTCCAGTGCAGCCAGTTACTGAGGCCCATCATTCGCATGTACTCCTGCGGATGCAAAAATTCATCATAACCTCATGCAAGCCACTGGGTTCTTCTAACATTAACTCCATCCCAACATTATTCATCCCTTGAATCCCATAGCCAGTTTCTCCCTTCCAAGGAGCACTTATGAACGTTTATAGTTCTTTTCAGCAGATAAGGGCAATCAGCAAACACTGGACACATTCTTCTGCCCAAGTTTGTCTTTTCTAATCTTTCAAAACCAGTCGTACCCCTTCAGTTCCATGCAAAAGATCAGTCAATATAGATTGCTCTTCAGTTTTCCTGCTCGCTGTAAGATCACTTACTGTTTCCAAAACATATGCAAGCAAGAAGCGAGCAGCTACCTGCCTTTTTATATGAAATATGACTTCTTTAAAAGTATAGTGCAGATGGGACCTCAATCTCTTTCCAAAAAATGGATGGAAGCCAAGGGTGGTATCCAGCTAAGACCTACTCAGAGAACACACACTGAAATTAATGAACATGACTAACAGGTCCAGTGGGTTTACTCTGAGTAGGACCTAGCTGGAACCAACCCTATGATTCTCTGGGAATAATAAATTCTGGGATTAGACTCCCAAAGTCAATAGGAGTTTGGTGCAACTGCAAATTCAGCTATACACATGGCAGATGCAGAAATCCACACAGATAGACTTGCTGCCTAGCCTGGACTGCCAGAAGCACTTATCACTGCATTACCTTCAGCTTCTTCTCTTTCTCATGCACCACAGCACGGACTATGTTGAGCGAGGTATAGGTGAAGCTCAGCATGAGCAGCAGGGGAAGCTGGTTCTGAATGGCCAGCACAAAGAGGTCATTGACGTAGGGTGGGTAGGGAAAACGGCGAATGACCACCATGAACTTTTCCAGCAGACTTTCCACAGAAGTGTTGGTGTGGGACTGCAGGATTGCCTTGTCCACAGCATGCTGCACTGCCAGGAAGCCTTCTCGGTAATACCCTAAGGAAGCAAGAGGAGGGGGTCAGAAAGGACATCACAGAAGTTGTCTGATACTGAGGCCACATTCACATCACAAATCACTATCATACCACTTTAAACAGTCATGGCTCTTCCCTCCAACCCCCCACCAAGACTTCTGGGAGCCACAACTTGTTAAGGGTGCTGAGAGTCCTCAGGAGACCCCAGAGTGGTTCTACAGACAATCTCTCTTCACTGTGAAATCTGGGAACTGTACTAACTCAGTGAGGGGAATAAGGGTCTCTTAACATCTCTCATCACTGCTCAGTGGTGCAGTCACCTCAGGTGGCAGGCTGGGGACAGCCGCGGGGGGCAAGTCAGGGCCCACAGGAAGGCACTGCTTGCTGCCTCCTGCACTTCTTTTTCTTCTCCTCCTCTTCCTCCCCCTGCCTGTTCCTCTCCAGCCTCCTTTCTGCCCCCCTCCAGGCCTGGATTAAAACAGCTGGAGGCCCAGGGCTAGGAGGTCTTCTGATCATGAGCAATAAAACCTAGTCCTCTTCTTTATCTGCTCAATGGAAGTAGAATGTTGCTGAATTTTTGGCATTGATTAAATTGTTTACACATTTATAACCTTTAATAATTTTACAGAAGTATGGAATTAATGAAGACATTCACACTGCACATTCATAGGGGAATCATACCTATACTATAACATTTCACTATATACAAAGTCAGAACAGTTTCCTTCGAGCTCTTTTTGACGCAAACTTCTCTATTATATCATTAAAATCAGGAAGTCACAGTTTATCATTTTCTAGGCAGTAGAATGCTTAGATCAGACAACCATTCTGTTTGTAACCATTAAATACAAGAACAATCTGAAAATTGCTTCCACATTTGGAAAAGTAGTCCAAATTTTCTCCTGAAATATTATTTGATATATATCTTGGTGGCTTTTCAGCATGAGCCTGTACAGGTGGGAGTGCAAAAGGTCATCTTTGGATACTCTTGCACCAACATCTCAATGCCATTGTGAATCTGCTCCTTGGTTGCTTGCAGTTTCAACAAAAATGAAAAATTGCCAGCCACACTCCTATTCACTGTTGCTCTTCTGCCTAGATTGGCTTCAAGAGCATCCATGACAGGGATAAATGAATTTACCCTAAACTTATCTCTTGGAGAAAATTCATCTAGGACTATGGGTGCTGTCCCATCATTAGGTTCCCCCCCTACTTTCTGCCTTCTTTTGAAAGTTTTGTACTCTACATCCGGTACAGTAAATTTTGCTTGCTATTCATTCTCATCACAATTTGCCAAATAACTCCCTGAGGTATGTGCCTCCAAGTAATCTTGCTATGCTTTGATTCACTCTTCGAGTGTTGATGAGAGCATTTGACCACACTTGCTTGCTTAAGTGTGTTAGCATAGAGTTCATATGATTTTTAGAGTTTGCACAAGATAAGCCTGATGCCAATCAACAAATCCAGTAGAAGCTAAAGCTGTAGCTGAGGAAGTTTTACGAGAGAAAAGTGTGCACACCAAATTTCCCCCGGTCTCCTGCAGTGACCTCAGGCCGAGAAGGAGGGGAAGGAGGCGGCGCCATTTTCTTTTTTGCCTCAAGCAGCAAAACATCCTGGGCTGGCCCTACTCATCATCCTAAACAAATTACAGTTCCCATAATTCTCTGGGGGAAGCCAAGGCTGTTTAAAATGGTATCATAGTATTTGGGTCCTGCCTGATGGTTTCCCACAGGCATCTGGGAGAAGGGGGTGCTAGACTAGATAGGCCATTGGCTTGACCTAGCCAGCTCTTATTATGTTCTTACAATACAGAACTGTTCCATAAACAAATCAAAATGAATGCTCAATAAAAATGAGATATAATCTAATCCCTGCATAAAGTTCATGTAAGCAAATCAGGATGAGTGCTGAATAAACAGGTTACAGGGAGGTCAGCGCCTCTCAAAAAACGACCAGGCTCCCATGCCCTGTCTAATTAACTGACTTATTTTAACTGTGGGGCTATCTTCCTCCATTCCCTTCCTCTTGCCTTTGCTTCACATGTCTTACACTACAATCCTGCAGACAAGATAGTGCAATTATTGTTAGTAATCAACAAGGAAGGCTAAGTTATAGTAGGATGTTCGGACTCTAACAAAATATGGGAATTTATTTAAAACAAGCAACAAGGCTTCAGCCCAAACAAAGCCTGTAAATCAAGCAAATACATCTCACATGGCAAACATTTGCATAACTTCTTATGCCAGTTACTGAAGTTCAGTGTGGAATTACAGGCCTAGACGCTCCCACAGTTTAAGGCCTATTAGTTCCAGCACTCTCTATGATCTCTACTCACCATTATAATTACATACTCAATCGCCAACCTAGTATTTTATTACAACAACGAAGTAATGTCTCACCATTTACATCACCCCAACAGTTTATACTATTGGTGGTATATAAATAATTCTGCAAATGCATAGATACATGCGGACATGAGACTTAAAAGGTCACATCCACACCAATGCATTTAAAGCACATTTAACACACATTTAAAGTGCATAGCTTCCCCCAAAGAATCCTGGGAACTGTAGTTTACCCACCCCAGGGCTGCAATTCCCAGCACCTTCAACAAACTACAGTTCCCAGGGTTCTTCTGGGGAAGCCTTGGATGCTTTAAACGTATCATGTGACTGTGATCAAAAGCTGCAGTGTGCTCTCTGGGATCCTCAAACCTCTTGGAAACCTAAATTCCTACAAGTTAGAATCACAGCTGAGATATTATCTGTAAAATTTTCCATCTCCGCCAAGCTAAGCAGTTGGCTCCTTACCTCTCTCGCCCTGACCTAGCCACTGTGATCCACGCGACGGTCACCTCCAGACTGGATTATTGTAACTCGCTCTACGTGGGGCTGCCCTTGAGACTGACCCAGAAACTCCAGCGGGTGCAGAATGCTGCAGCGAGACTCCTTACGAGGTCTTCGCTGCGAGATCACATTCACCCGGTGCTATACCAGCTGCACTGGCTCCCGGTGGAGTACAGGATCAGGTTTAAGGTGCTGGTTTTAACCTTTAAAGCCCTATACGGCCTAGGACCCTCGTACCTACGGGACCGCCTCTCCTGGTATGCCCCACAGAGAAACTTACGGTCTTCAAATAAAAACATCTTGAAGGTCCCAGGCCACAGAGAAGTTAGGCTGGCCTCAACTAGAGCCAGGGCTTTTCGGCTGTGGCTCCGATCTGGTGGAACACTCTGTCACAAGAGACCAGGGCCCTGCGGGACTTGACATCTTTCCGCAGGGCCTGCAAGACAGAGCTGTTCCACCAGGCCTTTGGCCAGGGCACAGCCTGACTCCCTACCTCGGCAATCTTCGCGGAGCTCTGGCCCAATGGGTGCCAGTGGCTTGAATTAATTAATTTTATAATGAATGATTTTAGAGTGTTGTTTATGCTGTACTTTTGTACTGTTTTATTGTTGTTAGCCGCCCTGAGCCCGGCTTCGGCTGGGGAGGGCGGGATATAAATAAAATTTTTTTTTATTATTATTATTATTATTATTATTATTATTATTAAAATCTTGAGCCACCTTGAGTCCATGCCAGGGGAAAGGGCAGGGTATAAATCAATATCACCATCACCATCATCTCTGTATTTTCTTTCCAAGCCCCCTATCCTCCTACCCCCATAAATTCTCTTCTATTGTTGAAACGACATATCCATGCAGTTTGCAGCTAGACCTAAGATGTGCATATTAGCCGCCAAATGTCATTGTGTCTTTGCAGCAGAAGAATTTCACCAACCCTGTTCCAATTAGGAGATGACTAACACGAAAACATGCCAAGCCTAGGTGCCGGCAGTTCTGCCAACTCTCTGCAACTGCAGCCATTTGTTAAGCTGCTAATTAAATGCATTCCGCCGCTCACTCCTCCAGCGTAAGTGAGCCAAGGAGACAATGAAAGTGGGTTCGAGAGAGAGGCAGGCGATGCACACAGCTTGTCCTTTAAATGATAAACAAGTAGGCAGCTGGAAACGAGACCTCCTGCTTCTCACAGCCTGTGCTGGCCAGCGATGCCCTAGTTTTGCGCTGGTGCCTGCCACCAGAGGCTTCGTGGAGCAGCATGGCTGTGTGTGTGCAATGCAGAGTGGGCCTGCTTTTAAGCAGTTTCTAGTCGCTTTGGAAAAAAACAGCCATTTATGGATTGTGTATTTACCCAAAAAGCCTTGCTTGCCATCTGATGAGGGGAGCCCTCACCCACATCTATAGCCACACAGTTCATTAAGTTAACAGCACAATTTGTTCTAGGAAGATCATACATCAGCTATGACAGCTGAATGCAAGTTCCATTTTTTAAAATGGGGGGGGGGCATCATATTTTTATCTTTCCTCCGAGGATCTCAGGATGGCTGCAAGATTCTATTCACTTCCATTTTGTCTTCACAACCACAACAGCAAGAGTGGAGAACTGGTGACCTTCCAGGCATTTGTTGGACTACAGCCTCCATCAGCCCTGACTGAGGGCTAAGGGAGCAGGAGTCCATCTACATTTGCAGGGCCACAGACTCCCCAGTGGTAGCTGGTGCCCATTAGGACTCATAGGGCAGGAGGCAAGGAGACTCGCTCAGGGTGGAGTCAGAGTCAATGATAGGTGGAACCAACTCTAGTTTTGTCTCCATCCTCCTAGCTACTGAGCTCTACAAAGCCAGGTGGCAATAATGCGGTAAAATTGGGGACGTATTGCAGAACAATTCAGTGTATTATTATTAGCATGCAAGGTCCTAAATGGCCTCAGATGCAAGAACCTAAAGTAACACCATCTCCAATAAAAACCGCAGAACAGAATACATACTCAGACAAAAAAACATCAGCCTGGTAGATCCCTTTGGGGAGGGACCATTGTTCATGTCACAGATAACTTCCTTTGCACACAAGACGTCCCAGGTTTCATACTTGCCATCTCCAGTTTAAAATGTACTAGGCAGCATGGAATATGAGAAGCCTCTGCCTGAGACTCTCCTGAGCTACTGCCAGTCAGGGGGAGGCTGTGCTAATCTATGGTGCTCAAAGAGTCTGACCTGGTCTAAGGCAGCTTCATCTGTTCCTGTGCCCTGATACTCATGTAGTTAACTTTCTCCATGAACTCCCAGCCCAGAGATTACTCACCTGGTGTCCCTCCATCGTGCAAGTTGGGTTCTCTGGGTCCTGGTAACTGGAACAGCGGGAAGAGGTAGCTGGTGTGCCAATCGCGGTCCAGGTTAGGGTTCAGGCCTGTCTGCTCACTCCGAGGGGCATTCCTAGGGCTGTATTTGAAACGCAGTCGGTAACTCACCTGCAAGAGGAATTAAAAATTTAAAAACCCACATAACAATATAGAAAAACTGGCAAAAGCCAATCTCCCAGCAAACAAATCAAAATGATTACTCATTACAGTGGAACCTTGGTTCCCAAATGGCTTAGCTGCCGAACAATCGGCTCCTGAACGCCACAAACCTGGAAGTAAGTGTTCCGGTTTTCGAATGTTTTTCAGAAGCCAAACATCAGACACAGCTTCCGTTTGAGTGCAGGAAGTTCCTGCAGCCAATCGGGAGCTGTGCCTTGGTTTCCGAATGGTTTCAAACAGACTCCCGAAACAGATTAAGTTTGACAACCAAGGTACCACTGTAAATAGCCAATATCATCTAAACTCCCTGCAACAAAGCAAAATGAATGCTCACTATAACAGGCTGTCTGGAAGCACCTGCTAATTAACTGTGCATTAATAGCTGCCACTCACTGGCCAAGTTAAATTTTCCAAGATGGCTCCCAGCCACACATGCCCACAAAAGTCCCCCACCCCTGCTTTATCAACTTGAGAAACCTTGGGTGAAACCTGCCCCCGTAACACCTTACCTGCAGTGGCAGGGGCTCTTGACTGTGAGCTAAGAGGTTTTCGAAGACAATGCCAGCCAGAACATTGCCAGAGCGGTTGTCAAACCTGATGTAGTCTTCAAAGGCTTTCTCAGAAGGGAAGCCTCGAACTGCAAGGAAAACAAAATACACAATGAGTGTGCGAGGTGGGGGGTGGGGAACAGGAGCGGCAAGGTGTTTCATTCAAGAAGTGGTGACTGGTGTCTATGGGTTTTTGTAGGGAGGAAGGCAGAGAGTCCAGCAGCAGGTGGAGCCAGATCCAGTGACAAGCAGAGCCAGCTAACTCCAGACTTTCCCCCATCCAGTGGCAACTGGTGCCCATTGGGACTGGTTGAGCAGAAGGTAAGGAGCCCAACAGTAGGCGGAGCCAAAGCCAAAGACTAAGAAAGAACACCAAGGGGGCGTTATGCTACAGAGGAGCAAACATTTGCACATGCAGACAACCTGCCTAGTTCCTGACCTTTGGTATTGATTTCCAGTGCCTTCGCCACAGTCTCCACGATGCTCTTCACAGCCGTGTTGTTAGCGGGGACATAGGCCAGCTCCAAGTTGTATGGGTGCCAATGAGGGGAGACAGGAAGCTTAGACACCAGAAGGCTGTGATAGGTGGTAGCATTCGGGTGGTCAACCGCCTGTACTCTGTGACGGAGGGCAATGAGGATGGCAGCAAACAACAATGGCAGGCAGATCTCTATGATCGTGACCAAAATCTGTCGCTTCTGCAAAACAAACCAGGTATATGTGTTTAGCTTGGCATGGAATCCTTTCCCCTGGGTGGGAAACGGCTGCAAGTGTAGATCAGGTGTTGCTATCCATGCTGCACCCCCAGCAAGTTACTCTTTGCTGCTGCTAGAACTTAAGAATTGACATGCTGAGCCATCAACGAGGGGCTGTCTGCTAGCAACCGACATGAGAACAGGCCTTCTCAGCGCTGGCTCCCTGCTTATGGAATGCTCTCCCCAGGGAGGCACATCTGACACCATTGTTGCCTATCTTTAGGTGCCAGGTCAAAATGTTTCTTTTATGCCAGGCCTTTGTTGTTGGCATTCGTCTTTAATTATCTATTGTGCCCTTCAGTGGGTGTGATGTTTTAGCCCTCATTTTTTTTATAAATTTGAATGTGTTTTTAGCTTTAAGTGTGTTTTAGTTCTGTGTTGCTTTTATTGTATGTGCTATTTTGTTGTAAATCACTTTGAGTTACATTTTGTAAAAAAAAGTGACTAAGTTCATTAATTAAAAATATTAATAACGATGACGACGACACAACTTTCTGTTTCTGCAGTAAATTATTTGCCAACTTATTGAACTATTTCTAAAAAGCAATTCCAGGGCACTTAATTTTCATCTTGGCCATTTCTCTTTCATACCTGTAATCAAGTGAGATTGAGACCGTGTCCAAGGGATCACCTCTAGATCAAGTCCAAAGAGCACTGTAGCATCTTTGGGACCAATAACCTTTTCAGCTTAATAAACTGAGATATGGGGATGACTTGCTCCTCTGCATGTAGCCATTTCGTGCCTCCTTTGAGCTAGCAAACAAAGTACAGAGAGCCAGTCTCTGCTCATGCGCCTTTACAGCAACTGCAGATAGAACTTGCCAAGGCATCTAGATCTTCACCCATGGAGAAGAGCTGCCAATCCAGTCATAAATACTGTAGACATGCGATCAGGAGTGACCACAGCTTTTGTAATTGCCTTACATATGTATTACTACACTCTACATATATTACTACACTCTACACAAGACTTTGCAAGCAGGTCAAGTTACAAGAAATGGGGCTCTGGGGGTGGGGTTGGTTTGGATGAAAAAGGTGGGTGGTATGGGTGGATTTATTCATTAAGTAAAGTACAGGCAGTTCTGCAATCTCCAAAACAAAAACAAACAAAAACGACAATGGTTAAGCAATGAATTGCCAAGGAAATTCATAAAGCATTTAAACCATTTGCCTATTCCTCCTCTTTGCTGGGTCAATGTGCAGTGTACGTAGGATTTCTTGTACCTATCAGAGTGGGCTAGGAATCCCATACATTCACATAACAGGCTGGTATCAAGCAGAACCTTTTCCTCTGCAGTCATAATGCAATTCTCTCACCTGTGGCTTGAATCAGGATAAATCACATGGACACACTATTTGAGCCAGTTACCTAACAAATGTCAGGATTTCTGTGTATTGTGGGATTGGTGCATGAAGCATTCTCCCCCCTCCCCTCACAGCATCCACATGGCACTGACAGCATCAAAATGCCACCCTGTAGCGCACCCCCCCCAATGAATCAGAATTTACCCTTTCCATGGAAAATCCAGTAAGCTCAAGAAACTTGTTTGCCAGTAACTTGTTTGCAATAGGTGAATGACTTGTTTGAAGTATTAAACCCTTGCCTGGAGGTGCCTTCTGTGAATGGTCATTGCCTATTATATAATTGTTACTGTCAAACTTCAGTCTTAATAATCTGGATTGTTGGTACTCTAGGGTTTGGCAAATTGCCCTCCTTGACAAGAGTGCTTGTAAACTAAAAGTATCTAAATGGCAGAACTCAAATGAACCTCCCCCCACCCCATATGGCATGACGTAATTTCTTATACAAAAACTGAGGCACATACTCACTCGGTAACACTAGTATATATAAAATGTCTGGCTCATCTATGACTTTATAGAACCTTTATTCTCAATGATGGAATTCACAGGTGGAGAATACATTGATTTTTACATATCTTTATTATTTGTGAAGGGAATATTTGTATGAGTTAATATTTTATTATCCCTTTGGAGATATCCCTTTGTACTTTTGCCCTTCCTGGTTTTGACACTTTATGGTTGACATTTCTCTCCCTCTCCCAAGCATGTGTATTTATACTAGCAACACAGGAAAATGCTTCATGCATTGGGTAATTTAAGCTATTCTCCACTAATTTTGTTATATGTGCCACAAGATTGTTGTTTACACCAGTGGCTCCCAAACTTTTTCCCCCACTTGAAAATTCCTGAGGGTCTTGATGGAACAAGGAATAATTTTTCTGCCTGTTGTAGCAACTGTAATGCATTGTGCTAGATGCTGTATGATTTTAATTGCATTTTTATGGATGCCACTTGAATAAAGCCTGTGGTTTGGGAAGCCTTGGTTTATGCTACCTTTGTTTCATATGCAGTGTACAATCATCGTTGGGAGGAAGTCACAGCTCTGGAGTGGAGCACATGCTTTGAGGCAGAAGGCTCCATGTCCCTCCTGAGCACCTCCACTGAAAAGGATTTCAAGCAGCAGAGCTTGGAAAGGTTGCACACAACCCTTCAGAAGCTTTGCCAGTCCCCTGGTCAAGGGGGATTGATGGTCAAGATGGACTTGGTATAAAACCAGCCTTCTATGCAAACTGACCTCTGATACAGTGCAGATGAGGCAGATGAGTTGTGCAACTAACACAGTGATACGCAATTGTAGGCCACCACCTTATGACCTAGTGGGCTCTTTGATTCGCAATGGAAGATCCATTTACACCTGACAGGTGCAATAAGAGAGAGACTAAAGGAGATTAACCCTGGCATGGGATCATAGGATTAGTCCATGGCCAAAATCTCAAGTAAGCATCTTTCAATCCAGCCCACAGAGACATATCAACATTTAATACAAAGCAAAACAAACACACCTTAGTTAGATATGTTTGCATTGCCCAAGTTTTGTACGAGCTACACAGGAAGAAACACCTTCCTTCCCAATTGTTCGCATTGGTTATTTGCTTTGCTTTGCTCTTGAAATAAGGCTTTGTTGAAATTTTATTATTTCATTTATCACTAGATAATAATAATAATAATAATAATAAATTTTATTTATATCCCGCCCTCCCCAGCCAAAGCCAGGCTCAGGGCGGCTAACAACAAACAAATAATCAAACAATCAAATAATCCAACATTCTAAAACATTTCATTATAAAAATTAATTAAAATCAATTTAATGGCAACCGTTAAGCAAAGTTCTGTGCAGGTTGCCAGAGGAGGGAGTCAGGCTGGGCCCTGACCAAAGGCCTGGTGGAACAACTCTGTCTTGCAGGCCTTGCGGAAAGATGTCAGGTCCTGCAGGGCCCTAGTCTCTTGTGACAGAGCGTTCCACCAGATTGGAGCCACAGCCGAGAAAGCCCTGGCTCTAGTTGAGGCCAGCCTAACCTCTCTGAGGCCTGGGACCTTCAGGATGTTTTTATTTGCAGACCGTAGGCTCCTCTGTGGGGCATACCAGGAGAGGCGGTCCCGTAGGTACGAGGGTCCTAGGCCGTATGGGGCTTTAAAGGTTAAAACCAGCACCTTAAACCTGATCCTGTACTCCACCGGGAGCCAGTGCAGCTGGTATAGTACCGGATGAATGTGATCTCGCAGCGAAGACCCCATAAGGAGTCTCGCCGCAGCATTCTGCACCCGCTGGAGTTTCTGGGTCAGTCTCAAGGGCAGCCCCACGTAGAGCGAGTTACAATAATCCAGTCTGGAGGTGACCGTCGCGTGGATCACAGTGGCTAGGTCAGGGTGAGAAAGATAAGGGGCCAACTGCTTAGCTTGGCGGAGATGAAAAAATGCCGCCTTTGTTATAGCTGTAATCTGCGCCTCCATAGAGAGGGAGGTATCGAAGATTACACCCAAACTCTTAACGGACGGTGCTGGCACTAATTGCACCCCGCAAGAGATGGGAGTTGCCCCCAATCCCATATCGTCCCGTCCCAGCCAGAGGACCTCTGTCTTCGAAGGATTTAACTTCAACCGGCTTCCACGTAACCATCCAGCCACAGCTTCCAAACATCTGGTCAGTGTGTCTGGGGCCGAGTCAGGATGGCCGTCCATCAACAGATAGAGTTGGGTGTCATCGGCATACTGATGGCAACCCAGCCCAAAACTCCGGACAAGCTGGGCGAGGGGGCGCATAAAGATGTTAAAAAGCATCGGGAGAGTATCGCACCCTGAGGCACTCCACACACCAAGGAGTGGCGGGATGACAATTCCCCCCCAAGCGCCACCCTCTGTCCCCGACCGGAGAGAAACGAGCGCAGCCATTGAAGGACTGTGCCCTGGATCCCCACGTCGGCAAGGCGGTGGTCCAAGAGTTCGTGATCAACCATGTCGAAGGCTGCTGACAGGTCTAGAAGAATCAGCAGCCCCGACCCGCCTCGATCCAGCTGCCTGCGGAGATCATCTGTTAGGGCGACCAGAGCCGTCTCGGTCCCATGACCAGCGCGGAAGCCAGACTGGAATGGATCCAGAGCCGATGTTTCATCCAGAAACCTACCAAGCTGTTCAGCAACCGCTCAAGATGGCGAACAATTCCCAAAGTGGTTTAACAGTCAATCCCTCTTCCCAATGAACTCTGGAAACTGTAGCACTATGAGGGGAATAGGGGTCTCCTAACAACTCTCAGCAGCCTTAACAAACTACACTTCCCAGAAAGCAATGACTACTTAAAGCGGTATGTCACAGCTTTAAATATATGTACTGTATAGTGCAGATGGGGCCTTAAAGCGAGGTACATTGGCAGCAAGAATGCAGAGGTCTGACCTCCACATCTCTGTTCTCCATTTCCACCCTCTTACCCATGTTGAACGACTCTCTGTAATCTTACCTGCAAGATGTAATTCTTCCAGAGAAGAAGCCCAAACTGCCGTAGCAGAACCATCTTTCACTTCGGAAGGGAGGAGCCACAAGCTTCCAGGACTCTGAGGAAGAAAATGGTTTGAGCTTTCAGTTAATCATGCAAAGCAAATTCACAACCAGACAGTCATTTTATAGAAAGACCTACTCCAAGAAGTGTTCTGCTGTCTCCTGTGTTGGAAGAAATGGGCAAAATTACAAAACAAAGAGTTGCATGTCTCAAGAAGAGCCTAGGATTAGAGCTGGAAAATACTCTAGATACTACACTTGATCTTAGCCAAAAGAGCTGGAAAATATTCTAGAAGCCATTTAGCTCAAACTGTCATCACCTTGGCTACTGGAAGATTCAGGAGAGATAAAAGGAAGTACCTCTCTTCACATATAGTGCGCAATAAACCTATGGAACTCACACCCACCGGAGGAGGCGATGGCCAGCAATTCAGATGGCTTTAAAGGAGGATTGGACAAATTTGTGGAGAGTAAGGCTATGAATGGCTACTAGCCAGGATGACTATGTTCTACCTCCATTGTCAGAGGTCGTATGAGAGAATAGCCCCTGCTAACTCCAGCATGAAAGCCCTGAACAATAGACTTGGGTGTAGATTCATAGGAATCCCGGAAGCAAAACTGATGCAACAAAATAGCCTGCTTTAATAGGATGTAAGGCAAGGCAAGTCTGAACTCGCCCTGCATTCAGGAGCTGGCCAGAATCAGATATCAGTAAATTTCCTTTTGGAGATAGATGTTTCCTAATTCAGACAAGGACTGAGAGAGAAGATGAGAAACAGAACCTGCAACAAAATGCTGCAGTTTAGATCACACACATCATATGGGGACTTCCAGCGAGGAAAAATGGCGGGCACCACAGCAGCGAGTAGCTCCTGAAGCCAGCCAGAGCCAACTGCACTACCAGGCTGGCTCTGGGCTGCTGGGGCTGCCACTGTCACGTTTCCCAGGGACAGATTTGCAAATCCGGGGGCGTCTGGTAACCCTACACCAAACATGCTGTGACTTCATTGGGTTGGGCTGTTCTTTGCTGGGAGTGGGGGTATGTGTGTGTGAGAGAGAGACACCCACCCCTTCAGGGTTTTTTCCCCCTAAAGGATCGTTGTTTTTCCCCCCTAAAGGATCGTTCTATCATATGTGGTGGGAGTGTAAAAAGGTGAAATGTTTCTGGGAGATGATATATAATGAGTTGAAAAAAATGCTGAAGTATACATTTATAAAGAAACCAGAAGCATTTCTTTTGGGTATTGTTGGAAATGAGATAAATAGAAAAGACTGTAAGCTTTTTTTATATGCGGTAACTGCAGCAAGAATATTACTGGCCCAAAAATGGAAGCAAGAAGAATTACCAACGTTGGAAGAATGGAGGATGAAATTAATGGACTATGCAGAATTGGATAAGCTAACAGGAAGGATCCGAGACCGGCGGGACCAGAGGTTTACCGAAGACTGGACTAAATTTATAGAGTATTTGAAAAGTATTTGTGATGATCAAACTACATTTGTAGGTTTACAAGAAGTTCTGTGAGGAGTAATTTAAGAAATATTGTAAAAATGGAAAGAGAGAGATGATCTGTTAAGAAATATAAAGGCAATATTATGTTAAGAATTGCAGGAGATGTGATTATGACAGAGGATTATCAGAGGAGCTGAAGGAAGTCTAAATAAGAATATGTGTGTAATAATTTGTGTGGTATGTTTTTAAAATTTTGTAAGCTAAAAACTAATAAAAAAATATTATTAAAAAAGGATTTTTGTGCTTCTGTAAACTTCTGGCATTTTGCTGAACATCTTCCTTCTGTCTGGGTGGTGTCATTTTGGCTACATTAGGATCAGCGCCAGCAGAATGAGCTTGTTACGAGTTATGTGCAATATTTAATCTCTGGAACTTAAAACATTACACCAGTCCTCCATGACAAGGACAGCTTCTCTTCCAGAAAGCGAAGCAGAGAAGAACTCTTCGGTCACATTCGTACTATGCATTTAAATCACTATGATATCCCTTTGATGGTCATGGCTTCCTACAAAGAACTCTGGGACCTGCCGTTTGTTAACAGGGGTGGGGCTAAGTTGTTAGGAGACCCCCTATTCTCTATCAGAGAGCTACAGTTCCCAGAGTTCCCTGGGAAGAAGGACTGATCATTAAACCACTATATTAGGGAACACTGTTTCCCAAAAATATGTATTTAACTTCTCCTACTGAAGGGGCTCTTCCCTAGGCTGCAGATTTAGGGTTGGAAGGTACTGGTGAAAGCACTCTTGGGTCTCAAGCTATTTGGGGCTTTGTACGCTAGTACTGAGGGACGCGGGTGGCGCTGTGGGTAAAACCTCAGTGCCTAGGGCTTGCCGATCGCATGGTCGGCGGTTCGAATCCCCGCGGCGGGGTGAGCTCCCGTCTTTCGGTCCCAGCTCCTGCCCACCTAGCAGTTCGAAAGCACCCCTAAGTGCAAGTAGATAAATAGATACCGCTTTATAGCGGGAAGGTAAACGGCGTTTCCGTGTGCTGCGCTGGTGCTGGCTCGCCAGAGCAGCTTCATCACGCTGGCCACGTGACCCGGAAGTGTCTCCGGACAGCGCTGGCCCCCCGGCCTCTTAAGTGAGATGGGTGCACAACCCTAGAGTCGGACACGACTGGCCCGTATGGGCAGGGGTACCTTTTTACGCTAGTACTAACACCTTGAATTGGACCTAGTAGCTCAAAAGCAGTTGGAGCAATAGTACAATGAAAGGCGGTGCTATGATCTCCATTTGCTGCACAATGCAGTACTGTAACTTGGAAATCGCATTCTGCAGTATCTCCAACTTCTAGAATATCATCCAGGGAAGTCCCATGAAGAGTGCATTACAGTACCTGAGAAATTATTAGAGCATGAATCTCCGAGGCTAAATGCTCTCAGTCCAAGAAAGGCTGCAGCTGGTGAACCAGGCAGAACAGGGCAATGTAGGGAAATCTGTAAGTCTGAGAACTTCTGATCTTGGATGCTGTCTAAAAGGCTGCACTCAAAAGGTCAAGGGGAAGGGAGACATTCAGTCCAGTCATTCCAGATGCTACATTGATCAGGATCAAAGCACACCATACATTCATCCCACCACAGAATACATTTGTACCATTTTTTATTTTGCATGTGTCTGTGTCTTCTATATTTATGCAAAGTACATTTATGCAAAAGGGAAATAAAGTGGAATTTGATTACCATGGGCTTTGATTTAAGCACAGGCTCCTTTTTTTGTAGTGTGCAGGCAAAATGAAAAACACTTTGTAGAACCAATAATAAGAGGCTTATAAACTCCGACGGCCTGAGAGACAGACGGCACAAAGCTCGGCAAAACGCATCTTTGCACAACTAGACTCCATGTCCGGAGGCAACAACAAACAGCCATCAGAGGTAAAGGTCAGCAACAGTTTCAAAAATAAATAACAAGAGACCCAACAGATGAAAACATCTCGCTCCCTAAAAAGGTACCTGAAGCAAGGAAATCTCTTGTGGGCCCCAAAGCCACATCACGGAGTGTGTAGGAACTATACGTTGTAGACCACAATGATATATTTTTATGATACAGTGGTATATAAATATTATTTTACAAATTACATACTGGCATTGGTCCATGTGTTGCTACATCCTCAGCCTGCCTACTAGTGGCAAGCTCATCTAACACCAGCATCACAGGGGGCAAGAGTTGCAGCTCAGTGACAGAGCCTCCGCCTTGCATGCACAAGGTCCCAGGTTCAATCCCCAGCATCTCCAGATAGGATTGGGAGAATGTCTCCTGCCTGAACCCCAGTAGAGATGCTGCCAGTCAGTGCACACAATACTGAGTTGATGGACCAATTGTCTGACTCAGTATAAGGCAGCTTCCTATGATCCTATGCACTACAATAACCCAAGAATTATTTTGAATTCTTAATTATCTGTTGTAAGAAGAAAAGAAACCTCCTACGCCTTTCCATAACAACAGAAACCGCCCTCTTGTCTTTCAAGTCAGCTTAGGGCAGCTTACTGAAGAGGAAAGAAACACAACAGGCTAAGAACTTCCTTCTGAGTGAGAGGAGACAGCCCAGGGCTTGGGCAGAATAGGCTCCAAACAACATCTCTATCTTCACCTGTGTAGTGTCCTGCAGACCAGAAAATGCTCTTTGCAACACCTAGAACATTATACAGTGGTACCTCGGGTTACAGATGCTTCAGGTTACAGACTCTGCTAACCCAGAAATAGTAGCTTGGGTTAAGAACTTTGCTTCAGGATGGGAACAGAAATTGTGCGGTGGCGGCACAGCGGCAGCAGGAGGCCCCATTAGTGGTACCTCAGATTAAGAACAGTTTCAGGTTAAGAACGGACCTCCGGAACGAATTAAGTTCTTAACCTGAGGTACTACTGTAAAATGCTTTGCGGCAGGAAGTTCTCAGGTGGTGTATAGTGGTGTAGGAAGGGGGGTGCGGTGGGTGCGAGCCGCCCTGCGTGTCACCACCCTGAAGGGGGTGACAAAATGGCTATGGGCTATGTAACACAGTGGCTTGGGCACCTGCAGGCTCCATGCTGCCCAAAACAGCAGCGTGGGGCTTGCCTCTGCCCGCTGCCTCTCCCTCAGCCACCCTACAGCTGGGGGGGTGACGAAGCTCGTTGCAGCGCACCCTGCCCCAGTGCACCCTGCTCAATGGGTGGCTTGTCCCGCCCCTGGGTGGAAGGTGCACGCGATGCTCCGGGTGCCTGAGCAGCTAGCTACGCCACTGGTGCTGGTTGTACCGATTTAGCAACACACTCAGGACTCGTGGTCTGTGACAGGCCCCTTGGTGACAGGAACATAGGAAGCTGCATTGGCCCATCTCCAGTACTGTCTGTTCTAGAAGCAGCCATTACCTCCTACCTGTTCTGGGATCTTTGGCCTGCAAAGCAGCGTCTGCTGCTACTGGGCTAAAGGTCACTTCCAGACAACCTGTTTAATGAGCAGGCATCCCAATTTGCTTGTAAGGAGAGCAGATGATGTTGCATCAAGCAAGTCTTATCCCTGTCTAGTACATCTCCCCATCATTTTCCTTTTTGCACAAAATCCAGTCTTTTAGACGAGCAGGGTTCTTTCACAAGAGCTCCATACAGTGGTACCTCGGGTTACATACGCTTCAGGTTACATACGCTTCAGGTTACAGACTCCACTAACCCAGAAATATTACCTCGGGTTAAGAACTTTGCTTCAGGATGAGAACAGAAATCGGGCTCCGGCGGCACGGTGGCAGCAAGAGGCCCCATTAGCTAAAGTGGTGCTTAAGGTTAAGAACAGTTTCAGGTTAAGTACGGACCTACAGAACGAATTAAGTACTTAACCCGAGGTACCACTGTATTTGGTTTTAAGTGTGCGGTTTGAGAGTACATTCACACCATACTTCTAAAGCACTACGATACAACTTTAAACTGTCATGGCTCCCCCTAAAGAATTATGGGAGCTGTAGTTTATTAAGGGTGCTGAGAGTTGTTGGGGAACCCCTATGCCCCTCCTAGAGCTCCAGCTTCCAGAGTGGTTTAACAACCAACTGAATTGCAGCTCTGCGAGCGAAGTAAGTGTGGCCTAGCAACTTTCAGCGCCCTTAACAAACTACAGCTCCCAGAATTCTTTAGGGGAAGCCATGACTGTTTAAAGACATATCATAGTGCTTTAAACGCATGATGTGACCTGAATTTGCCAGGATAGGATTGAATTCCAACCCAAAACTGTGAGAGTCTGGTAGAGCCCAGTAGTCTAATTCCTTGCTGATCTTCACTCATCCAAACAGTACATACTGGAGAATTAGCAGAGTCTGCACAGAATGGGTAGAATTTCAATGCAAATAACTTACCCAGATAGTTCTTGCATCTGCAAGGTTAGTGCTAAATAGCATAATAAGCAACAAGAGGCTGTTTGAACAAAGTCCAACATTTATCTTATTATTTATGCTGCCTGGGTCAGCTCAGCTGAGAACAGCTAAAGTGCTACCTCCTAACAATACGAAATTTGGAAAGGCAGCACCAGTCAGGATCCCTTTGAAAGTGCACCTTTCCGGAGTGGTGGGACAGATAACAGATCCCGGGTGAAAGGCAGAACACAATTTTTAGAATGGCAAGGGCTCAAGCAAAGTCATGTGCACTGGCAATACCTGTGCAACTAACTGGTCTAAATTGGACCAGATGTCTACAAAGCAGAGTACTTTGAACCCTAGCCCAGAAGCCTGTGACATTGTGCTGCAATTAAGCAAGGCTAAATAATGTACTGTAATCATGCAATGCAATTTTCTCTTACCGGACTGCAAATCCACAGCATGGATGTAACACCCGCTCAGGTGACACCTATTGCCAATAAGAGCAATATTACAAAAAGTTTAAGGGAAGAGCCACTGAGGGATGAAAACCTGGTTGAAGTAACACCAATGGGAAAAGCTCTGTGGTAACAGCAGCCTTTAAAACTTTGCATCTGCTCAGCAGTATTTTATCTATTATTTTGAAGTTCGGCTATACTTTCAAAATGACTGTGCGGTGGAGGAGGAGACTGGGATAAATGAAGCAGGTAATGTTTAGCACCCATGCACTACATTTGCCAGCACTGACAGGTTGCAAAGTTTTTAATTTTGATTGTTGAGCATTTTTAATACCAGAGCCTTTCCTGATTCCAGTATAGCTATTTTATGGCCTATGAAAGTCAAGTGCTTTGGTCCCTCACTATAAATCACAACGACTTCCATAATCTTCCTGAAGACATTTGGGGTAAATAATTTTTCTATTTCGCAGCTGTTATGTTTCAGCATACTGTGGGTTGAGTACAGTGTTTATTTTCCCAGAATATGATTCTAAGGCTCTTGCATAACAAGTACTTAAGAGTTTATAAATCCTAAGGACTTTGCTGGGTTTGCAGGTCATTAACCAGTCGGAAACTGATACAGTTCCCTGAGGTGTGCCAGAGGCAAGCTTCGCCCTGCCCACATTATTTTTTCACCAACACAAAGGGATAGAAAAACTAAAATAGCAATAAATAGAAACTATTTTTAAAGAAGGGAATACCATGAAGATGATGCTCAAGATCTCAAGGCCAGGAAGGGATGTGAGGCTTGCCCTAAAGCACCTTCTGATGCAGACTTGGCTGATATGTCGCGAGAGTTCAAGGGGCGGCCATTTTGAAGTCGATCCAGTGGTTAATTTTCATGATTGAGGTGGGATGAGGATATCATCCCACTTCTTTTCAGGCAGACATAATTTAGTTTGGCTTCACTATCATCTCACTTTGAGCCATGCTGCTGAGTGACAACATCCCTCTCAAATTCACCAGAGTTTTTAAGGTTGAACTTCTGAGGGGTTCGTGGGGCAGGGCTAAACAACAGTTCCTCTGTCTTGTTCCTCTGTTCAATTTATTGGCCCTTACCCAGCTCATGGCCACTTCCAGGCATCTCCTTTTGGGCAACCCAGGGGCTACGTGGCAGTGGTGGGTGGGGCAAGAGGCAAACATAGGCAGAGCAACAAATACTTCCTCTGTACAGTAGGCTAGTTCCCTTTCTGTCCTCTAACCAGGGAGGCAAGAGGCATGATCAGAGTGCAAGGACACAATCCAGCCAGGCAAGAACACACAAGGAGGGCAAAGCAGAGCTTGGGACAGGTATGTCCTGGGACAAAGGGGTGTGGCCTCAGGAGATTGCCAAGGACCAGATAGAAAGGCTTGGAGGGCTGAGACCCCCCACCCATATTCTAGATCTCAGCACAGCTATTTCTGGAGTTCTCATAAGAAAGGGAATGATGCTGTAAAACATGCATTTTCCCCTCTCTACCTGTTTCCCAAAACCAAAATAGCCTCACCTTTGTTGCAGGAAGAGAAGTTGCCAACTTAAATAAAGGAATAGCAGCTTGCCCAAGCCCCCACTAACATCAGACAATTCTGCTATCCTCCTTCCACAACACAAAGGGCAGCTTTCCTCTTATTGATTTAAGCGGGTACCCATGAACCAACAAGAAGCCTTAATGTTACCTTTTCCTTGTCTGAAAACCAAAAACTCCCTCATCAAAGAGATGGGCTTCCAGAGACAAAACCGCAATAATCTCACTTTAAGCCTCAAACCACCAGAGGCCCAGGCTTATAGCATCGAAGGAAACCAGACAAATCAATGAAAGGCTAACAAAGCACCATCTCTGATCTTTCGCAAGACAAGGATGCTACAGAGGCAACAAGGGATATGAAGGAGGAATTTGATTCAGTTTGCATTTAAAGGCAAACCTACCAAATCCACATTTCCTGAAACAAAACATGAACTGAAACACAGCTATCCTTTGAAATTCACATCTATCCAAATGCTGAAAGCAGCGTGCACAAAAATGAATCCCATCCCCTGTTTTAGACATGATTAGGAAGGGGGAAAGAAATTTAATTGTTTGCACTTAAAGGTGAACCTATTTAATTTTCACTTTCTGAAATAACACACTAGCTGAAACACAGACATTCTTTGAAATTTGCACTTACCTGAATTTTGTAATGCAGCTCTCCAGCTAAGTAAAGTGTACAAATATGCACACAATGGGGGTAAAGAGTGCATAAAAATGCATATATCTGTGAAAGTAACATGCTAAAAAGCATTACAGTAGGAAAAACTGGTTGGCGGGGCGAAATGTGTGTGTGTGTGTTTGTGTATATATATATATATATATAAATTAATACTATAATGCTGGTGAAATTTCATAAGGACTTTATTTTATACTGCAAACCGATGTGGAAATGTAGAAAACTCTACATAAGACTGGAAAAAAGAGAAACTGAGAGCAACTGAAACAGACAAATCCACCCACTTCAAAAGACAACACTTTGCAGGTCTTTGCAGCCTGAATTGATTTGATCTATGAAGAGATCTATGAAGATGATCTATGAAGAGATCTATGAAGATGGCGTGCTCTGGTCCATGGGGTCACGAAGAGTCGGACACGACTAAAGACTAAACAACAACAATGAAGAGATTCCCATGGCAAAGAAGCAAAAGCAGAAAGAGCAGCTATCCATGCACAAAAGAGTCTTTTCTGTGGCAGCACCCTGCTTGTAGAATCACAAGAACAGCTCCACCCCTGATGACAACAGGAGTCAAATAAGCAAGATTTCCACAATGGAGGCTTCCTCTCAATGCAAAGAGGGATGTCATTTTTACCAGGACTGTGGCACAGGGTGGAAGGGATAGACTCTCCCTCCTCCATCGTTCCGATTCTGCTCCTTCCGTCCCCCACAACCTCTGTGTGGAATTACCACAATTAACATCACATCTACTCAGCCCTGAGGCTCAAAAGGCATGCATAGGAAAGCAACCCAGATTATGCCCTGAGTTCCGTTACCTTGGTTCATTATGCACATGAACATGCATAAATTTATTCTGCATAAATAATCTGTTCTGCTAGTAACAAGGAGAGGTTAAGTGATATGTAAAACCCTCAGTATTAATAGCTAGAATCCTTTCCTCTGCAGCTCACCTAACAAGAACCACCCATGCAGGTCTCTTCATCAAGCTAACCTTTGCAGGACTGAGGACTAGAAACTTGCCTTTTAGAATAAAAGCAGTCATGCTCTGGTGCTGCTGTTGTGGGTATGTAATGCATCTCTGCATGTAGTCAGAGGTTTCTACACAGTCATACACAGACACACAAACTTCTCCAATCTCTATCCAAACAAGCAAGAGGCATTATTGCAGTTCGGAAATGCCCTCCAGCCAGTCAAAACGCTCAAAGCAGGACTGGTGAGGAGTGGAGCCTGGGATGGTCCAGAGGGTTGAAATTTGGAGGTCTGCATTAGGGACCTGGACTTGAGATTCCCCACACTTGCTTTAACCAAAAATGCCATGTGTTGAAACCTGGGAAACTACTGAGTTATGGACCCACCAGCTGGCACAGTGGGGACAGATCAGGCTAGAGAGAAGAGCAGTGCTGCAGCTAGGTAATTTTAGACCCCCTACTTCTTTAGAAGGTATTATTATTTATTGATTTATATACCGCTTACTTGCCAAACATAGTTATGTTTTTAAGTAATGTGTATAACTTCACGTTTGGGGGGCTCATTATGCTGAATGAAATTTGACCTTCTGTTGCAGAGTTCCATGGCCTCCTGACCAGGAATTCTCATGGGCAAAGTCTTCCATTTCTGTCAGCCCTAAAGAAGAGATGGATCCGCACTCCCTGGTCTGTCCCTTGTGGAGCTGGGGATCCTGAAGCCCTTATCTTCTTCCCCAATGAGACCCCTCTGCCACTAGATTCTCATTACTGATCCAAAAGCTCCTCAGAGGATTAAGAGAGCCCTAAGGAAATATCACCACATCTTGAAACCCCGGGGCTTAGGAAAAGCCAACAGTTGTAGGGGAAAGTACTGCCCCTTTAACTGACCAGGTATTCCGTATTCATGAGGTAAGCTGGGGCTTCTAGCAATTGAATACCTAATCATGTGATAAAGATCTGCCAGTTATTAAAGGACATTGCTGAGACAACATCTACTTTATGTCTCAACTGCAGACTCACCGGCTGTGGTCCTGAAACTCATACCTTGATCCCTCTCCAAGGTGCTGATCTTGCCTTGTCTTGCCCCCTGGGAATACCTGGCCTCCCTTTGCTTGGGCCATCACTTAACTACAGTGGTGGGAAACCCCTATGGATTAGGACACAAAGTCCTGACCTGACAGCACCACTAGGAATGAGACACATGTGCACTGCACATGTTGAATAGTTTACCTCTACTTAGCCCTTCATAGCCATCCTCTGGGCTCACCTTTGCCTCTTCACATTATGTGTAAGCTCTGTATTCTCAGCATCAGTAACACACTGATGCAATAGCTAGAAATTCAAAGGCTGCTATAAGTATATACAGCACTGTATTATTCTGCGCTAGAAATAAATCACAAAAGATGTGTTCCCTGAAAGGAATTAGACCATTTCTCTACACAGCATTTGGTCTATGTAGCAATCTTGGAAAAGATAGCATTCAGACTGATACAGGGTAAAGGCAAAGCTGCAAGGACTTCATTCAATCTACCATGGATCAAAATATGTACATCTCTTTGCCAGAAATAGCCATGTCTGTGTGAACATGATAGATTATGCCTACAGACTTTTGATGACTGTCCCACTTCCTCTCTGTTACCTGTACAGCTGAGTCAAAACAATAGCTTTTTAAAAGAGAGAGAACATTTATTATATATAACAATACTGCATTAGATCCTCAGCTACACCAACGTTTGGTTATATGCCTTTTCTTCTTCATATCTGTAGTCTTATCTTGAAAATCGATAAAAATACATTAAAACACAAAATATGAGTTCCCAGCCACATGGCTGGCTACAGATGAGCTCTGCTGCCAAGCTATCGCATTGCAAGGAGGGCAAGCAGGTTCAAAAGCAGCTTGTGGAGAGACAAGAGGTTCCTTTAAAGCCCTCGCCACGTTCTTAGCTCTTCTGATGCACCGTTTCCATAGGAACTGGCGCTGCAAAAAAGGCAGCGTTTCAGCTCACTTTGATGCAGCCGTAAGGTCTGGAGAAGCTCGGATTCTGACCTGAACGGTTACACCAGACAGCCTTGCATCACTGGAACCTCATCTCTGCCTGTTTTAGCAGCATCGGGTCCACTTCCTGTCAAGTTTTAGGGGTTGGGAAGGCAAAGGCAACCCTGAGGCCAGATAGCCTCTCACAAGGCACCGAGAGCCATCAAGGAGAAAATAATGGAGTCATGTAGCAACATTTGTGTACCGTGGGTTATTTTGCTCCCTCCCCCTTTTGGTCCCACGGGCCTTGAGCATTTAACAGGGTACAGATAGAGCATTTAATGTGGCACAGATAAGAGGGGTCAGTGCAAGCATAGAAAGCTGCCCTTACAATGAGTCAGACTGCTGGGCTCATATGGCTTAGTACCATCCACACTGACTGGCAGCAGCCCTTCTGGGTTTCCTTCTCTTCCCTGGAGATGCCAGGGACTGAACCCAGGACTTTCTGCATTCATTCATTTATTAGAATTTATACACCACTCGCTTGCTGAAGAAACCTCAAAGCAGGTGCTCTTATCTCAGAGCTTTGGGCCTTCTGCATTGGGACACCAGCGTAAGATGAGTTTGCCGCCACCAGCAGCAAGCAGGCTGAAGAGGTAGAAACATTCTTTTATAGGGGGACCCTTGAAAACTCCAGCAAATATGATGGGAGGGACATCACTTATGTCTGGGGAATTTCAACAAGTTAGTACACATTGTACTCAAGATCTCTGGAACAGAAGGAAAACAGGGATTCTTTGTTCTGCTTTTAAGAACACATTTGCTTGGGAGAGTCAAGAGCCATGCAGTTGCCACATAAGAGGCAGAGAGTCAATTTCCCCTGGTTTTGCTAGAGACTTCCTCTCTGGTCTTCGGCAACAGACCCTGTAGTGACACACTTCCCCTTCTGCCTAAAGAGCCAAGTTCTTAGGAAAGGTACAGGCTCCCTCACCCTCTCCAACCCTCTCGTCCGGCTCTCTTAACAATAATTTGGTTAAAAACAGGGGCAGTTTGTCCTTTATCACCAAATCATTTATTTCTGTATTAAATTTATATCCTGCCCTTCCTCCCAAAAGGAGCCCCAGGCAGCAAACAGCAGGAGATAAAATTTAAAACAATTCCAATATATAGGCAGTCTTGGAAAGATCTCAACTTAAAAGGCTTGTTGAATGCCTTCAGTATTTGCTGAAAAATTCCACGCCTCTAATTTTCCAAGGGCAGGTACCGCAACACTAAAGGTCCAATTCCTACTACATTGTGTGGAGCAGACGTCCTGATAAGATGGCATCTGCAGGACCACAGTGATCGATTGGTTATATGATTACAATGTGTGGGACAGAGACTGTTAACGCCCCAGATGTAAGCAATGATGTACAGTCACAACATCTGCCAGAGAGAGAGACTTAAGATCTGGAATCTATTTACACCCATTTGTTTACCAAAGCTCTAGGATCAAGGATGGGCAACCTGTGGTGCTCTAGATTTTGTTCGACTCCAACTCCCATCAGCATCAGTGTGGGCACCGGTCACAGATGATAGGAATTGCAGTTCCCAAAAATATATGGAGAGCCACAGGTTCCCTCCATCCCAGGCTTAGCTTGCATGCTTTGGTATGTGGCAAAAATAAAAAGCAGCAGGAGGAATTTTGATTCAGAGATAGCTCTTTAGCCAGTTTTGTGTGAACTCTCCCCAGCAGAGTTGGTTTTGCTAGCATAACACTCCATCATCAAGGTCCATTACGCTGGAGATAAGCAACAGCAATGAACGGATGGACAGACAGAATTTTCCACTAAGGACACAATTTCTTTCTGTCCTGCTGGTCAAACAGGTTTTGTAGGTTTCTGGAGCATGATAAAAACCTGCATATAACCTGTCAACAAAGATAAGATGAGGCCAATCCCTCCCTCTCAGGGGGAAACAAAATCAGTTTCCATCTTTACTGCTGTTTAAATTTCACTTAGAGCCACACAGCACACTACATAATTACAGTAGTACTTAATTCGTTCCAGAGGTCCATTCTTAACTTGAAACTGTTCTTAACCTGAGATACCACTTTAGCTAATGGGGCCTCCTGCTGCTGCCACGCTGCCGCCGCGTGATTTCTGTTCTCATCCTGAAGCAAAGTTCTTAACCCAAGGTACTACTTCCGGGTTAGCAGAGTCTGTAACCTGAAGCATCTGTAACCCGAGGTACCATTGTACTCACAAAACTGTAAAGGGAATAGGCTTTTCAAATAAAGTGGCGCCAAGGAAAGTGTTCAGCAAGAACTGCAAACTGATCCAGAATCAATTCCCACTGAGCCATGAACCCTGGACCAGTCACTGCCTCTCAGCCTAGCCTACCTCACAGGACTGTTGTGATGATTAAACGGGAAAACCACGCAGGCCTGTGCAGAGCTTGTTTGAGGCCCCAGGAGGGAGTCTAATTCTTGGCCTGACATCGTAAGTCCAGCAGGCCCCTGGCAGGGGCACCCAGCTAGCTTTTCCCCTTTGTGGTCCGGGACAAGTGTACCCAGCTGCCCCTGCCTTCTCTGCACAGACCTGGAACCACATGTACTGCTTTGCGCTCCTGAGAGGAAACACGAGGATAGTCACAAGTGAGAGAGCTCTGTTGTCTTGCTTGCAGGCTTTCCACTGGCGCAGCTGGTGGTCCACTGTGAAAACAGGATGCTGTGGCTAGACGGGACCTTTGGGCTGATCCAGCAGAGTGAGAAGCAATGAAAGCACTCCCAGTGCCCACGTGAGAAAAGAGGAAGATGTAGCTAAATAGAAAATGGCACAGTGTGGTTACTGTTGGAGACGCTCGGCAATACAGGGGTTTCCAAAATGTTAAAGGTGCTGAGAGTTGCTAGGAGACCTCTATTCCCCTCCCAGAGCTACAATTCCCAGAAAGGGTTTAACAACCAGCCCCACTTCCTAGGGAACCCTGCAGAATATAGCTCTTCTGAGGGGAATAAGGGGTGTGTGTGTTTCTCCCAACAACTCTCAGAACCCGTAAAACAAACCAGAGCTCCCAGGATTCTTTGGGGGAAGCCATGACTGTTTAAAGCAGTATGTTAGCGATGTGAATCTGTAGGTGAAGATGGGTTCTGAGCCAGATTTTGACTGGGGACTTTTCAACTTGTGCCCTTCACAACATTGGTGCAGCAACTCGGAAAAGTTAAGAGTGATAACTGCATGTACACAGGGACTGGCAGGCAGGCTAAAGAAAAGGAAATCAAGATGATTTATTCAATTAATAAGATTTACGTCCTGCTTGATTGTGAATAGAACATCTCAGGGGTTTATCAACAAATAAGTTGTACATCTTCCTCCATTCCCTTAAGGTATTCACTAGGTCTGGTATAACTTACACTCTTGCATTATGAATAAAATTGGGAACAAATCCAGGAAGAAATAAAATGTTCTCCTGAACACTCTTATTATCCAATGACATACCTCTCAAACACACTCTCTCTCTCAAACACACGCACACAAGCTGTGGTTTAAAAGGGACAGCAAATGAATAATTGCCACTCCAAAAGTAGTATCTGGAAATCTCCTGACAGCAGGAGGAAGAGATTAAAACTGTCAGTCGCGCAGAGAAGTAGGTGAGGTGTTCTAAGGCCAATGGGAAGGAGATCTTAAGGGAAACCTGTAACAACTTGCTGAAATTTCCCAAACATATTTGCTGGTGTTTTCCAGGATCTTTTTAAAAGAATATCCTCCGCCTGCCTATTACTGGCAAGATCACCTATCACCGATGTCACAGTAGAGAAGGCCCATAGTTCAGTGGCAGAACAGCTGCTTCACATGCAGAAGGTCTCAGGCTCAATTCCTGGCATCTCTAGTTAGGGCTGGAAGAATGTCCCATGCCTGAACCCCTGGACAGCCACTGCCAGTCAGCGCAGACAACACTGAGCTAGATGGACCAATAGTCTAAGTCAGTATAAGGCAGCTTCCTACGTGTTCAAAGGACCCATCCACGTGACTGGAATCAATGTCACAACTCTTGCAGAATCAGATGGGCTGGTCAGGAATTCACACCAAAGAGCTTGCCACTCAGGACCAAATGGCATGGTATATTAAATATGTTATTGCTAGGGAGGAGCAGATCATTCTGTTTCCAGACTTGCATCACTCGTGATCATGTGCTCACCCATAGGTATGCTCCATCCCATCTCTGTGCATATAAGAGTCTCTCTCTGCTGTGAACATACCCTGAAAGAATATTCCACATCCATTGGTCCTAAGTATTACGTATTTTGGAAAGTGGTTTGCCTGCCTGTCTCTCTGTCCATCCATTCTCTATGCATTCAGATATTGTTGCCCCGTTTGGCAATGAGGTTCCCCGGTGGAGAAACCAGTTTCTGTTTTTGTTTGGAAACTGTTAGACCCTCCATATGGGGTTTTTTAAAACCCTAATTAAACAACGGCCCTCCCCCAATAATTATTTGACCCAGATTCAGATTGGGCCAGTCCATGGCTCCAGATCGGGACCCTGAGTCAGGTGTGCACAGCCCTAGAAACAAGCAAATGACCAGGTGCTTTCCACTAGTAGTATGTAAAGGAAAATTGTATCTATCACTCTGCATACTATAATTTCCAAAACAAGACATCAAGCACAACCGCTGCATTTTTAAAGGATGTAACTCAAGTCTAGACAGCGGGGGGAGGGTGGGAGGCAGACAACCCAGCAATCAGGTTTGACCTTACATTTAGTTCACTGCTCTATCATCACTGGCTCATTTCTTTTTCAGAGTATCAGAATGATGCTTTCAGCAAACACCCAAACAGCATCTGGAGACGTCAGCTGGTTCAGAATATGGCAGTCAGATTACTGACAGGGACCCATTATATTAAAAAGAAGAAGAAGCTTGTTTTATCAGCATTAAGAGATCTACCATGTGCTCCCAGGTGTAATTCAGAGTGCTGATGATCGCATTTGAGTTGGAAGTGATTCTGGGGGTCATCTAGCCAAAAGCTACCTGCACACAAACTTAATGGAGGGTATGGTACAACTGCACTGCCCTTGGGAAATGGCTGACCAGTCTCTGCTGAAATGCCTCTCGTGTTGTGGCCCCTGTATCCAGAAGTGACCTGGACACAGAATTTATTCAATTTCTTACTTGTCCTTCACCACAAGGTCCTATGACATACACATACACACATATACACACACACACACACACACACACCCAAAGTGGAAAAGCATATTAGTGATAATTATAATGATAAGATCAACTATTTACCAACTATTAAATTAAATGATGATTTAAATGTCATAACATGTTACCCACCGGAAGTGTTATAAGGAATGTGGGCTGTGTGGTGATAGATTAACTTTTCCAGTATGTTCCTGCCCATATCAAAAGTTTCCCTTTCCCAGTATGTCCCTGCCCATACCAAAACCCCACCCATAAAACAAAAGGGCAGAAAAATAGAGCTGAAGGCATCCACATCTGTGGAGATTGCACTCCCCTTCAATTATTCAGCATGGGGGGGAGGTGGGGGTTTGACTTTCTGCAGTCTAAGAAAAGTTGGACGAACCACTGGGAAGTTAGACACAAGTGGACAAAGCATGGCAATTCTGCATTAAATGCCTGGTAGAGAAGCACCTGAGCTAGACTTGAGTTCATGAAGGCTTACGCCAGGGGTTGCCAGTGTGGTTAATGACCCTTCACTAACGCCATAATGAATTTGTCAATAAAGCATCACAAGATTCTTTAGTTGCTTTTGCAACACATACTGGCATGGCTACTTCTCTGGAAATTGTTTTATAGTGTTGTTGGAACTGATTTTACCGTATTTTTCGCTCTATAAGACGCACCAGACCACAAGACGCACCCAGTTTTTGGAGGAGGAAAACAAGAAAAAAAATATTCTGAATCTCAGAAGCCAGAACAGCAAGAGGGATCACTACACAGTGAAAGCAGCAATCCCTCTTGCTGTTCTGGCTTCTGGGATAGCTGCACAGCCTGCATTCGCTCCATAAGACGCACTCACATTTCCCCTTACTTTTTAGGAGGGAAAAAGTGAGTCTTATAGAGCAAAAAATACGGTATTTTGCTTTTTTATATATTAAAAAACCCGGTTAACTGCCTTGCACAGCTTCTTTACAAAATGAGTATTTCCTGACCTATTATTTCAATTTGTAGTACCAACCTGGAAAATTCTCTGTGGTCTCCCTGGGATGCTTTGCGTTCCAGTGGCTTTGAAGTCTTCTATTCCCTGCACTTTTGCATGCCTAGCTTGCTCGCAAGGAAAGAGCTTTTGCAGCAGACGGAACTCCAAAGTAAAACTGCAGAAATCTACATTTCCTCCTCCCCCAACCACTGTGCACTGCAGTATCAAGATAACTCGCCCTGGAGTAACCTGCAGTAAAAAGGCAAAAGGGAAACTGTGCCAGAGGAGGAGGAGGAGGAGGAGGAGGAGGAGGAGGAGATGGTGGTGATGATAAGCGCCAATGCAAACCACGGCTCCAGACCAGGCGGCACATTTGAGTTGGGTTTTATCGGAAATTACGAAACCAAGGCTGTGTGGAAGTGCCTGGAAGAGTGCAGATGGCATAAGACACTTGACATTTCAGAGCGCATTGTGTGAGAGAGACAGTGACCTCATTCAGAGACCTATTGCATCCTAATGAATCCCACAAGGAGGAGGCCCAACGTTACCTTTAGTTAAACACCACGTTCCGCCTTCCTCTCCTGACAAAAGCTCTCTTTTATTCCCAAGGGACTTGTTCCCTCTTAAGAGCCCAATTTTCTAGCTGTTAAAATATTGATCCTTTCATCAACGCCCTCTTCACATTTCCCGGAGTGTTTGTTCAGTTGTGCAAGCCACTGAACCCAGCGACAGAGTGTTGGCTCTCTGTGGATGGGTCTCCTCAACCTGAAGCCTTCAGGGTGTGCCAATCCATTCTCCACCCCACCCCATTTGCTAAGCTCACAGAGGCGTCTGACCTGGAGCCTAGATCCATAGAGCTCAGTAGGGCTACAATCCATCAAGCACAACCCCCTCACATACATCCAAATCAATCTACACTACAAACTAGGGGCAGAGAATACACCATGCATTTAGAGCACATGGTCTTCCCCCAAAGAATCCTGGGAATTGTAGTTTGTTAGGGCTGCTGGGGACTGTAGCTCTGTGAGGGTGAAACTAAAGTCCCCAGGATTCCTTGGGGAAGTCTATGTGCTTTAAATGTATGGTATGGATCTGCTCTATTGCAAAAGTCCACAGAGACAGGCAGAAATCAAAATCTCTATATGAATCTGGGAGAATGGAAACTATATCACCTGAAATTCAAAAAAAATGAATAATTTTTTTTTTTTTAAAACACCACAATTACTTTTGATGCCCTCCTTGTTCTCAGACTCTCAAGGGCTTGGCACTATTTCATAAACAGAGAGCTTTTCTCTGTTTGCAGCAGGGGACAAACAAGGTAGATAAGCCAATCTCTGGGCTGGGGAGTGGGCTTTCTGCAATAACCTCTGCTATTCCAGTCTAGAATTTTAAACTCAAATAAAAAGAGAGACAAAGTGCAAACTAATATTACCAGACTGGAGCAAAGTTCATATGGGTAGATAGACAGACAGACATATACACAGGGCCATTGGCTTTCCTGGCCTGAGATGAAGGGAGTTGCAGAAACAACATCTGGAAGGCCACCAATTCCCCATTCCTGATACATTTTGAAGCTAATAAATGCTAAAAGGTAAAGGGACCCCTGACCATTAGGTCCAGTCGTGACCGACTCTAGGGTTGCGGCGCTCATCTCGCTCTATTGGCCAAGGGAGCTGGCGTACAGCTTCCAGGTCATGTGGCCAGCACGACTAAGCCGCTTCTGGCGAACCAGAGCAGCGCAGGGAAACGCCGTTTACCTTCCCGCCGGAGCGGTACCTATTTATCTACTTGCACTGGCGTGCTTTCGAACTGCTAGGTTGGCAGGAGCAGGGACCGAAAATACCACTGTCACCAAACCTACAATCAGGTAAGAATCGTGGTTGGTTCCCAAACAGGGAAACCGATGGAAATTCAAAACTGTCTAGAAATTTCACCCTCAGACTCCCTGCCTATTATCTCCAATGAATGGGGGCAGGCTTTGGTTACTCAGCAGTGAGAAAAGAGCTTTTCACAGGCTCTTCAGAGTCATTCACTGATGTGAACTGAGCCCTAGCATTATAGATATTGAGGCAACCAGGACAAAACATTCCAGGGCCCAAAGTGCAAAAGAAGAAGAAAAAGGCTACATTTCCCGCTAACACAGGAGCTGATCCACTTGGAAGTTCTGCTTTGCAAATCCCCACTGAAATGAGTGGAAGTTGCACAAGAATATGGTCAGGAAACATAGGACCCATTTCCCCAAGAAACTTCACCTACACAAGCCTAGTTGGAATAAAGAATAGTTATGCTCTTGCTGAAAGATCTGAACAGAAAGATCTGGAGAAAGGAACGTGGAAAGCTGTCATACAGAGCCAGACCATTGGGTCCATCTAGCTTAGTACTGTCTGCACTGACTGGCAGCAACTCTCCAGGGTTTCAGGCAGGAAACATTCCCTGCCCTATTTGGAGATGCCAGGGTTTGAACCTGGGACCATCTGCATGCAAAGCAAATGCTCTACCACTGAACCATGCCACCCCACCCCCAAAGAGAACTTGGTAGAGAACTTACGTAGCATGCAGGAAGTCCCAGGTTCAAATCCTGGTAGTTACTTAAGTTTCAAAAGGCCAGTGGACTAGATAGAGAGGCCAAAAGGGCTGCACCTGGCCTGCAGTCAAGTTGTGGAAAACCTCTGCCAGAGATGGAGAACTGCTGCCAGGGAGGATAGTGAGCTAGATGGACACTGTGACCCAGTCTATTCCTCTCACTCTGTTGCCATTACGACACCCAACCGCTCACATCTGAAGCAGCCACCGTGGCCAACCACCTGACCTTAAGAGCAGATGCCAGGGTCCAGGCAGAACTCTAGGGACACAGGAAGCTCTTCATAGCAGCTCAGACTATTTGTCTAAGGACTGTCAAATCTGTCTAGCAGCTCCCAGGCAGAGAAGAGTCCTTCTCATCAACTGCTGTTGTGACATCTTTTTTAATGGAAGCTGCCAGGGATGAGCGATGGTCCTTCTCCACAAGTGTTATGGTCCTGAATAAAACTTCTCCAGCACGTACCTTACACAGTCCAGCTATTCCACCTCCTGGAGAAGCCTTCTTCCTTACAGAAGAGATATTCTCCTCCCACCCAAAACAAATATTAAAGACAGAACTGGAATTATACCTCTATTCAAAATATTATATTCTTCCTCAGCAGAGCTACTTTCAGTGGTGAACTGGTGGGACTGGAGAGGGAGAAAGCGCAATAAAAAGGAATAATTCCCTTCAAGTTAGTATTGATATTGTGTGAGAGCTGTTGCTACGCGTCGCCGCTGTTATCGCTGTGGAATCTCGCCCCTCCAGGTGGGAGGTGAACTAAGGAACTCACATCTTATTACCAGCTGCAAATATGTTAATGGCTCAAAACTTGAAAGTTGCATTACTCCATTCTTGAAAAGAACAGCTTTAAAATAGTTTGGGATTTGGCTGTAATGGCAACAGTAACCTCATATCTAAGAACTGCAAGTGAACATATAAATAAATTCTGGGGAAACTGGTTGCCCTGTACAAATATTGTCAATAAAATAATTCCCGTGAATGCAAATTCAAGTAGGTTTTGAAGTTTCTGGCAGGAAATGTTGTAATTTTATATTAAGTCATATCTTCTTACAGGATATTATGGTTTGATCCTTGCAGGCTCCACCCCTCCACCCCAGATTAGCTTTGTTCATTGTTGTTAATAACTATCAAATGGTTAAACAAAATAGGAAAAAAAGGAGTAAGAAAGGCAAAAGGAGAGGAAGCTGACACCTAGCGCTACCCCTGGCCTGGTGGTAAGGACGAAGGCAGGCAGGCAGAGGCTGGCTGAGAGCACAGTGAGGCTGCTGGGGCACTGCCCCACTTGCCCATATGCACCAGCCTGCACTGCAAGTCGGGGAACTGCTTTGTTTACAATCCAAGCCAAAGTCTTTGGCCCTCTGGCCCAGGCCAGCCCCAGCCCCAACAGCCGGAGCAGATTCACCTGTAGGAGGAGCTCCAGCCGGCTTTACAGGCCCTCTGGCTTCCCCCTGCCTTTGTGTCAGAGCAAGGCAGGCCCCGCCATCCTACCTGAATCTAGACAGAGGGAGGCTAAGCCAGTTCCCCCAAGGTCCTACCTGGGTAGCAAGGAACTGTATCGACACCCCATCCCTGGATGAGGTTCTCACGAGCAGAGGAGGGTGTGATGTCATAGGGAAGGGTGCATGATTCATGCGCTGCTTAGAACATACACCCCCCTCTCTTTGAAAGCGAGGGCGCCCGTGGGGGAGGGGGAGAGGGGAGAACTTGCACGCCGACGACCACCTCTGCACCCCCTCAATACACCTGGGGGGGTGGGATTTCTGGGCAGCAGGAGGAAACGCGAACAAAGCACGGAGGAGGAAAGCGATGCTCCACGGAAATTGAGATGTCTCGTAGGAGGGCGGGCAGGCAGGAAACAAGCAAATTACCTAGGGGAAAGGAGGGAGGCAAGCAAGCAAGGAGGAAGAGCATTTTGGGAAGCCCTTTGTATGCTGGCAACGCAAGGTGGGTTTTCAAAACGGGTAGGGGGGAGCAGAAGTGCGGGGAACGGGAGGGGGCTTTCCTTTTGATATACAGCACACAGCCTCAGTCCTGGATGGAGAGAGTGAAAAGGCGAAATCCACTTTATGGGAATTCAAGAGCTTTCAAGATCGGCGTATTACAAAAGCCACACACACACAAACATATAACAGCAGAACAAAGGGAAAACCACAGCAGCTGCAAAACCCGGTGAGGGGGCGCGCGCACACAAGCAAAGGAAAGGAAGAAGCAGGTGGGATCGAGGCCGGGCAAGGTTATCTAAGCAAGGCAGAGGCAAGGCAGGCCGCCCGGGAGTGGCTGTGCCTGGGACGCCGGGGGAGGCTGCATCGCTGGCTGGGGCGCAGTCACTGGGAGGAAAGGCGGACGGTGGGCCGGCGCCCCTTACCTTCTTAACACAGCTCTCGGGGTCCCGCAGGCGACGACTCCCCTTTACCGGCTCCGGAAGCTGCCGGCACCGTTGCCATCCTGGCTCTGTTGGCTCAGGCCGGGGAGGCGGCCGCTCGTTGCCAGCTGATGCGCCCGGGCGCCGCCTCCCGTGACGCGCCGAGAGGGGAGGAGGCTGGAGAGGGAGGGGTCAGAGGTGCTGGGGCGCAGGCTTCTCCTTCCCGTCTGCTCCGCCCCCTTGGGTTGCTCTCAGCAAGGGGATCTGCCGCAGAAGAGCTCAAAGAGGCACGTCTGTAGGAGCTTTGGGGACACCCCGCAAATCCCCACCCTCAGAAGAGAAGGGCTTCTTGAGCAAAGCTTGCAGAGCAACGGCTTCGCATGCAAAAGGTCGCAGGTTTAAACCCAGCTGGGTTTTGGACCCAAAGCGCCTTGTGAAAGCTGACCGGCCATCGAAATTAGTGGGTTTATTAGGAGATGGGCGCTCATTATACATGCAGTTATTTTGCAGCGTCCACGTCCTCGTTGGCAGGGAAAGATCTCTCCCCCGCCACACACACACACACACACACACACAATTTTTAATCCGGATTTACCCTTTCCCGGGAAAAAATCTGTTACCAGTGACCCACTTGTGCTTTGTGAATTATTTTATTAAGCACCAAACAGAGCGGCAGCATGTGCCCTTAAATGCAGGGAGCGGGGGACGAGCCTGCAGTCCTTAGTTGGATCCCACCCCTTTATTTTGGCTTGCAATTTGCATAGGAAAGAATAAAATTCTTCGCAAAGTTGTTGAGCTTTTTGTAGCAAGACCCCCCAAAAACTTGGTTTTAAAAATTTTGAGCTGTTTCCACTGCTTTTTCCATCACACATTACCATACATCCGGGTTTTCCCAGACATTTTGCCCATTCGGCAATTCCCCCCCCCCAAAAAAAAATTATTGCACCCACAAACCAGGACATGTCAGGCATTTTCCTGACGTATGGCAAGCCTAGGAAATAAGAGTTCCATTTGCAACAATGTAAAGTCGTTCACTCGTTCTCTTTCCTCCACCCGCAGCCAATGCTAAGAATACCAACTGACGGGGGCGGGGGAAGAACTGAATTGTCCTGCTCTTGCGCTTTAAACAGCAGTTTTATATGACAGATCACCCTTTTAGACCCTGTTAGCAGTTGTGCAGGCTGTACAGAGGAGACGGATAGCCTCTGCAGGCTGCAGCAAATAATCTAGCCATATGACATGCCAGTGGAACAAAAATCATTCGGCACCAAGCTTATTAAAATAAACTATAATCACAGGTACTGGGTGATAAAGTTTTCACTTGCAATTTTTCGTAGAGCGTTGAAAGATAGCTCACTAGCGCCCCTAATGGTCATCAAGACCTAGGAAGCTCCACTATGCCATGTCGGACCATTGGTCTATGTAGCTCAGTATGGTCCACACTGACTGGCAGCAGCTCACCAGGGTTTCAGGCAGGGAGTCTCTCTCAGCTTTACCTGCAGATGCTGGAGGCAGAACCTGGGATGTTCTGCACTCAAAGCAGATGTTCCACCACTGAGCCATGGCTCTTTCTATTGCTGTTATGTAAAATACACACCTGTTTCAGAGTGAGGGGAGTTAAGGGTGGTGAAATGAAGAGACATTTCTACAAGGCAACACACACACCTCCTGTCATCGTCTTTGCTGCCCACAGAAGCCCTTCCACCACAAGTGCATATATATTTTTAGTATCAAACACAGGTTTGATTTTGTTTTTGTTTTTTTAAAAGATATTTATTAAAATTTTCAGAATATTACAAAATGAAAAAAGAAAAAAGAAAAATACAAAATAAAAGTAGTTAAAAACAAGTCAATCTTTCCGTTACTTATCTTTCATTGGCTTGTTTCCCGGACCTCCTCGCGCCTCCCTTTTTTGTATTCCAATTCAGTTTGTTAGTTCAGCAAATCCTTCCCCTCTTTGTTTATCCTAGTCTTTAATCTTAAAATATTGTGACATTGAATTTTAACCTATTAATAATCCATTTTTCATATTCCCTTATGATATTACAACTAAAAACCACTTAATTTCTATCCAACATCATTCTAACATTCATTAATTTTGCAATATTTCTGTAGATAGTCTTTAAACTTTTTCCAATCTTCTTCCACCGACTCTTCTCCCTGGTCTCGGATTCTGCCAGTCATTTCCGCCAATTCCATATAGTCCATCACCTTCATCTGCCATTCTTCCAGGGTGGGTAGATCTTGTGTCTTCCAGTACTTTGCAATAAGTATTCTCAAACACAGGTTTGATTTTGTTTCAGACACACAATTCTGCCTGCATGGGAAATATGGAGAAATAGGCAGGGTTCTCATTTAATATAAGACAGCATGCTAAACAAGTTAACCAAGGAGGTATCTCAGCAGAAATAAGCCTTGCCGTATTCAAGGTGGGCTCACTACAAGGTAAGTATGTCTAGGATTGCAGCCTTATAGCACAATTCTAACTGTGTGTACTCAGAAGTAATTCCTAATGAATTCGAGAAGCTTATTCCCAGGTAAGCAGGGTTAGGATTGCAGCCTTAGTCAGCCAATGGGGGGAAACGACAGTTCTGGAGCAAAGAGCATTCTTTGATTTCCATAGGAAATGGCACTCCCCCCTTGGAGTATGAAAATGGGGGTGGGCAGGCAATGGCAGATTAGATGGGCCCAGTGGTGCAGGAAACCCCCAACATGCACATTTAACTTGTGTGCATTCAGCTTTACACACTTGGGAAATTATTATTATAATTTAATTAAAAGGGGGTGGATTGCAGGTGGAAACAAGACTTTAGCAATTGCACCCAGTGTGTGTGTGTGTACAAAATCTAGATGCCATCTTTTGGGTCCCCTCTAAACCTGTGATTTATTTATTTTTTACATGGAAGATGGAATTTCTGCTATGAAAAAGGAACTGCCAAAGTGACCAAACCAGACCCTCTGCCCAATGCACCGCTGGCATATATATCACTGTGCCTCCCACTGCCAACCTGCAGGGCCAGCCCGGATGGATACTGCGCTGGATGGTATCAAAAGCCACTGACTGATCAAGGACATGCCACAGCGTTGCACTTAGGGAAGTAAAGAGGCAGCCATTTCTGTCCCATTCTGTGTCTATTGCAATCAGCGCTGTTTCTGTGCTACCCGTTTGGCTTCCACTAACACCTACATTGTTCACCTGGCTATCCACTATGCCAAAAACTAGCATAATTTCTTACGCACCCAATTTCAATTGATAGGAACTGTGTGAAAAGCACAGCAGAGAATAATGAAATGATTTACATAATATTTGCAGGCCAAAATGATAGTCGATGCCACTCATGTTCACTTGCTCGGTTTACATTCCTGATGTCTGACAAACATGTAAACTGTGGAAATTTCCGCTCCTGTTTCTGATGGAATTCTCCAACGTCCCTAGTTGTACTCTCTTGTCTGTCTCTCTCCCAACAGAGTTCATCCATCACACTCCTTGGTGCAATGGCAGGAAATTAAAACGTTTACGTGCACAAAACTTTGGGTGATGCTCCCACCCGGCCCACCTCTTGGCACCTGAAATGGATGAGAGAAGTTATTGTTTACTTATTAGATTTATATTTTCCCTTCCTCCCGAAGGGGCCCAGGGTGCTTAGTTTCATAACATTATTTCCCTGCCTTTGGGTGTCATTTCTGTAATCGATGGCTGATTCTCAAGTTATGAGGAAAAGGTTCAAAAGCAGATGTACCGACCTCTTGTAACACAATCTCTCCCACAGAAATAGGTGCAGGTTCTAGTTGTGTACAAAGCCCATACCTCCCTCTTTGGAGATGTCATCATTCAGTTCACAGGGAACATAGGAATACAGAGTCAGGTCATTGGCCATCTAGCCCAGTATCATCTTCTATGCTGACTTGTGAGTTTCGGGGTTTCAGAGAAGGAGTCTTTCTCAGCCATACCTGGAGAGGCTGGGGATTGAACCTGGGACCTTCTGGATGCAAGGCCGATGCTCTACCACTGAGTTACAGCCTTTCTTGCCCATAAACATGCAGCAGTCTTGAGGGCTGGATCACACATTTATGTCAATGTATCTATCTACACACAAACACACATTGCTCTTAAAACGCTTCACTATATAGAACAATGCAATACACAACTGATACTAAGGTGACAATTGATGCAATCCTCTGCCTACTTACCTGAACTCAATGGGACTACTTCTGACCCTACACATCTAGGATTGCCCTGGGTACACAAATGTCAAGAAGGTGAACAATAACAATCCATCAAAACGTAACTAAATAATTTAAAATGCTAATCCCATAAGAAAACAATTGTTACTAGATGCCTTGAACAACAGCTTTTTGTCCGTGTGTGTGTGTATTTACCACCACTCTTTGCAGATAGTGAAAACCCGTTCACAATGGCCTCAGGCTGGAGGGGAGTTGTATACATAAATAACCCTATCATTTCCTTGGTTTATTCATATGAGGCATCTAGAAGTGTGTGCTCTGCAGAAGTTCGGGAAGCTCAGTCATATAATGAATGCAAGTGGGACTCCCAACAAAATATTGCAGTGTAGGAGACTCCCAGACCCTCCAAGTGTCCCTATTTTCCAGGGACAGTTCCAGATTTGCAGAAGTCATCCTGTTTTCTGATTTGATCCTGGAATGTCCCGCTTTTCCATAGGACATCCCAATTTTCATCAGAGAAATGTTGAATGGGTATGGAGTTATATGAGCATCCTGCCTGAGAGGGCATTTGAATCCTGGTCTCCCAGGTCCTAGTCTGACACTGTAACCATTGTGCCTTACTGCCTCTCTTTTTTGTACCTTCTGCATGCCAATGCCTCCCATCCTATCTGCTGTTTTGGCGACAATCCAAAACCATGTAGGTTTATTTTTGGAGGGAGTTTCAATGAAACTTTACAGTTGCAATGCCAGCAACGGGCAGAAGATGGTGATGTGATGTCACAAATCTAAATAGAATTGGCAAGAATTTCCACACATTAAAACATAATGATAGTGGGCTTATTTGTTTGTTTTTAATAAAAACACACACACCAATGTTTAGCCTATTGGGATTTTTACATACCAGTTATACAAGCAGTATCCTTGACTCCTAAAACATGGTTCTTATTACGACTCATAATTTGACAGGTGTGGTTTAGGCACTTTGCACACTGGACCAGAAACAGTGTGTAATATTCTGCAAGGAATACTGACAACATTCTACTCCTCTTCTACCCATCTTGTATTCAGTAGTGATCATTAGTTTTCAGCCATGTTCTTCATCATGTTTTGAGTTGGAAGAAGTACTAGTTCCTTAGGACAGATACAGAATAAGAATGCTATCCTCTGTCGCCATCAGTCTTCCATTGGAATTTCTTGCTCAGTCTGCTTCCTGTTGTTAATAAGGCTTTAGAGGTTTGTCCTGCATCAGATTATGTCTTACTCATCTGCCAGTTGGAAGTAGGGCTTCCTTTCTCACATTTGCCCATTCCTTCCCTACACCGCTTTTCCTGCTGGCCGACTTACCAACACTCCAAATTTCCCTGAAGAAGGCAGTGTGGAGAACACTTGCCTTAAATCTGTCCGTAGGGTTTGAACAAAACACACCACCACCATCATAAAAAGAAATCTCCAGTTGGAAAGCAAGCAAAACAACTCAATTATGTTGTTCTTCCCCAATAAGCCGCTGCAGGAGCCCATCTCGTTGCCTGGAGACACGCCTCAAGGGACTGGCTTGGAACCAATAGAATAGTAAGCACTCATGTAAAACAAAACAGGCTGTTCCTCAGAGCTACATGCAGAGAGGCTGTGCTGGCTAAACAGGGTCTAACACAGGCATGTCCAAAGTCTGTTTCAGGGGCTTAATCCAGCCCACCGGTTGATTTAATCTGGGCCCCACGGCAGTATATGTCCTGTGGTAAAAGCCTTAAAAAAGCTCAACAACTTTAGTCGACCCTCACGCATGTGCACTTCATCAAATCTGGCCCTCTTTGAAAAAAGTTTGGGCACCCCTGGTCTAACAGAACAAAATTCGGCATTCTCATCCCAATAAAAGACAGATCTTGGGCTATGTTAACAAAAAGCAAAGCAAAATGAACAACAAAACCAGGATGTTCTTGGGCCTGAGAAAGGAGGAACAGAAAAAAGTGGCAAGTTGATTCTCTAGATGATGGGGGTGTGAATGATATCCAAATGGCAACACACTCTTGGGTGCATCGTTCCTTCTATTACCAATGTTCAGGTGTGAGTGCCAAAGCAGGACCATACACACAAAAGAGGAAAGATAGCAGCAGCTTTGCAGAAGTACAAAAAGCCATTTAAGGAAAAACCCAAGGGGGACCCTACCCCCTGTAGTCTCTCTCCCACCCCTGCTCTGCAAAAACAACCACCACCACCCAGCCCATTGAGGACTGGGTATGCTCAGTGATCACAGAAAGCTGACTGTGGGCAGGGGCAGGAGAACAGAAAACTGTTGGGAGGGGAAATGGAATGGAATGTGCTGGAATAGGGCACGGCTGGCTGACATGATCAGTGAACAGCAGAACTTCACCCTGCAGCATTTTGTTACAGGTCCCACCTTACAAAGTCTGAAGGAGCTATATAGTACTGCAATATAAATTACATTCAACTGCTCTGTTATAATAGTGGATTTAAATACTTTATAAAGATTAATCTATGTCCTCCTATTTAACAAATACTTTCACCATTTCCTCTTGCTGCATTTCAATTTGTCACTTGTCACCCTCTGTCCCCGGGGTGTTCTTTGCAGTATACAAGACAGGGAGACAGACAGACACACACACACACACACACACACACACACACACACACACACAACCCACTGCTCCCTCCAAGTAGTGCACACACAGAGATGGGGGGAAAGAGGAAAAGGTTCGAATGCCAGAGCAGGGTGCTCTTTTGTTTGTTTGTTCATGTTTTTTCACAGGCGTACAGGAGGAGGAACAGGAGGAGGAAAGGGGCTCCAGAAGTCCAGACTAGTAAGGAGCCAACTCTGACCAGCCTTCTTAAGCAACCTACCAGATTTGCTGCTTAATCTTATTTTTTTTATTGCCAGCCTGCTCTCTTGATAGTTGCTGCTGCTGGAGGAAAGGGAAACTGGAGGCGGAGTAAACGCTGCACATGGTTTCTCCATCCTTTCAGCCACAACTTGTGATTCCCAGGAGGCAGGGAGGAGCTTAGGTGGAATTAGCAAGGGCTGCACAGGAGGAGGTCTAGGCTTCCCCCAGCTTTTCCAATACCATCACGATAAATTGCCAGGTATTTTTATTTTTTTAAAGGTTATCACGATTTTCTCTAAATATTTGTTTTAAACAATATATTGATATCTTGCACAGGCCTACTCCTCACCCCAATAGTATGAAGGACAAGAGAAACACACAATTGTTGCAGGAATTTTCTTGAGTTTTTCAGAATCAAAGCCGGATCTGAAGTCCTAACCAGGGATGCTGCCCATCATGAATAACAGATGAAATGAGTTGCTCCTGGAATGTCCTGGCTATATCTCAGGGGAAAAAATATCCTCACTTATTCTGGAAGAACCACTGTTGGGCCCTTTCCACATCCTTGCAGGGTGCTTCTGGGTGAAGAAAGATCTAGGATCTTTTAAACTGTGCAGCTAGTTTGGAAGTATCCTCACCACTTTCAGTACAAACTTTTTCATCTCCCCCCCCCAAAAAAAAGCTCTGGGAGGGGGCGAAAATCAGCTTTGCGAGTCTGCAGTGTGATCCAATTTGAAACAAGTAAAACTAGCTGTGTGGAGGCCCTAGTGGCTTGTGCCCAGGATCTTAGCAACACACCTCTCCCTCCTATAGCCTCAACTATATATATATATATATATATGGGGGGGTTGGTTGTTTTTAATAAATAAATAAAAAGTTGACAGGCGATCAAGTGTGCCATTTTAAATTAAACAATAAAAAGTCAGAAAGCTGGCCTGGTGCATGAGTGGGAAGGCAAGACTGATAACTGAAGCATCGTTCAGCTGGCTGGTGGTATGTCTGTTATGTAAATTGTGAATCCAGGCCTACGTATTGAGCTAAAAACCTGCTGTGCCTGCTCTTCAAATATTACACTGTTTCTGCACACCAGAGAGGGAAGAAAAGGCTGCTTCTGTTCTAGAAAGAAGAACACAGGGCCATTAAAAAGTCCCTTACATAATTTCACTGAACACCCTCACTCCTTGTGAATCAAAGCAGGGAAATGTGTGAACAGTAAAGAAATATGATGCTAGCTCCTGAATATTTCCTGCAGAAGAACCCAATGTCGTGTGTCTTTGTTGCCATGAGCAAAACAACAAAATACCGCCCAAGAGCTCACCCAAGACAGCTGATTACAAGATCAACAGAATATATATCTTTATTTAATATTCTTAATAGACTTCACAATACCTTCTACCTGATAAAAGGTCTCCAAGGCAGATTAGAATAAAATAAAATTAAAACACAATTAAGACAATGAATGTACGATTGTAGTTTTCCCTCCTTTCAAAACAAAACCACAGCAGCCATCACTATTTACAAGGTAAAACACATGAAAAACAAATTGGGGGGTTACGGTTTTAAAATACTGCTCAAGCAGTTGTCTATAAAATAGGGATATGGGATTTACGGTAACCAGAATTCAGTGCTGTGCAGCAGAATAGGACTGATTCTATAAAAGGTCACAACAAGGTCCTAACAAACAGCTGCAAGAAATTCCACTTCCCTCCCCAATCTAAAAGTCAGGTGTGAAAAAATAAGGGAAACTGTGCTCCCAGCTGTTCCAGGATATTCCAGTGGGGTTGACTCTCTCTACCATCTTCTCTCTGTTTCCCAGATCTGCAAAGCACAACAGGACTTGTTACTCTTGCTATGCTACAATTTGTTACTTCAGTGTTTACCTCCTATGTTACTGGAAGCCTAAATAAAGCCTAAATACAAGCTAAAGGTAAAGGTAAAGGGACCCCTGACCATTAGGTCCAGACGTGGCCGACTCTGGGGTTGCGGCGCTCATCTCGCTTTATTGGCCAAGGGAGCTGGCGTACATGTGGCCAGCATGACTAAGCCGCTTCTGGCAAACCAGAGCAGTGTACGGAAACACCGTTTACCTTCCTGCTGGAGCGGTACCTATTTATCTACTTGCACTTTGACGTGCTTTCGAACTGCTAGGTTGGCAGGAGAAGGAACCAAGCAACAGGAGCTCACCCCGTCGTGGGGATTCGAACCGCCGACCTTCTGATTGGCAAGTCCTAGGCTCTGTGGTTCAACCCACAGTACCAAGCTACCAGGTGACAAGGGTTTGTATCTGTTATCAGATACAGTCATCTAGAGTACAACCTTTGCCTAAAGCCAGTTCACAACTTAGCACGACAACAAAGACATCTGCTACAGAGCATTAAGATAGCACACTCTCTATAGCTACTTCAATGGAAAAATCATCTGTGGACATTGGTAGGGAAAAGATAATAATCGATATATTAACTTGCAGAACTAGCTTTTCATCTAAAAACTGTCAGGGTTGCATCTCTGTAGCAAAGGACCAACTCTAAACATTTTGTAGAACACCCAGACCACAAAACAAGGTGTTTGTACCCAACACACAGGTTTGCCGCTGCCATGTCTAGTTGCGACCTATGTTTTCTCAGAGAGGTGAAAGCTGAAGAGAATGCAACCAGTATTAGCACATTACCTAGGGTACCACCTTGAGATCCACTGAGTCATAGGCAGATGTTCTCATCAGCTCAAGAGGCCTCCTCAGGACAGTGCGTAGCTCTTCATAGTCTGGCTTCTCTTCATATTCCAGGGACATCACTTGTAGCAGGTAGCTCTTCAGGGCTTCTAGAAAAGGTCAACATGGTTGTCAAATGAGAATAGCCAGCTCCTACAAAGCAGTCATTCCAGTATTCCCACGTTGTTGACCCAGATGGCATCTGAAAATGTGGCTGACTTGGCTCGGCTGTGTGCTCAATACCTTTCATGGAGACCACATTGCAACCATAGTGAGCTCATAACGAAACCACAAGCATCAAAGAGAGCAAGCTAGATGTGTTATTTATGTGCTCACAATAGTTTTATCCTGGCATTCTATGTAAACCCGTTCAAGGCACTCTAGCAAAAATTTTAAATTATCAAATTTTAAAAATCACCAAATTACAGTAAAGCAACTTTACGGGATGGTTCAAACCAGATGGAACACATGGGTAGTAAAAACCTACTTCTAGAGAGCGCCTAAAAACACTCGCTGGAAACGAAAGGCCTTACCTGTCTGTAAAAAGACAAGCGGCCACAGGGCTAGAGGATGGTCACTTTAGAAGATCATTGTAAAGGTCAGGCCCCACATTATCTGACAGCAGAGCTAGAGAAACAGCACAGTCGCCTGGCTCCCAGCCCCTTGATACATCCATCAGAACCTAGGTCTTCAACTTGTGGGTTGGGATTGTGTGTGGTCTTCTGATGCGACACTCATTTTATCAATTTTCATGAGTAGTGCAAAGTGGCAGAAGAAAGGCAAGAGGCTTTTTCAGTAAGAAAGGTATTTCTGGCCAGCTATATGCCCTACTTTCCTATAGCTGTGCCTGAGGTGTGGAAGCGCTCTGTGGAGCAAGGAAACTATTTCACTTTCCAGTCTGTTTCTATCGTTTTCTAGACTTTGTTCAGAATGGAAGAATGCTGGGGGCTAGGAACGCAGAAGTGTCTTCAGCACAACAGAAACAGAAAAAAATCTACCCCACCACATGCAAACATACATACACAGAGCTCCCCACATTGTCTTTCCCTTATAAGCTCACTAGAACACAAGCTAAAAAGCAATTTGTGTGAGGGTGTACCATGAGTATAAATATTGTTCACTGTGGACACACTGAAATTAAGATCTGAGCTGCAGAAACACTTCCATGAGCTGTCTTGGGATACAAACTTAAAAGTTAAATTGGATTTCAGTTAGTAAAAAAAACACCAGAATTGGCAAGTGAAGCAGTCATCCCTGCCATTTGGTACCACCTAACTTTATGAGCAGGCTTCTCAGCAATTGTGACCCTCAAAACAGTTTAGTGGCACAAAATGAGTTGTAAGCCTTTCTAATATCACCTTTCAATATAATGAAATCTAGAACAACACTCAGGTGTCCCACTGAAATTGTGAGTCTTTTTTAAAGAAACAAAAAAACCCCAACTGGTTTTCAACAGCTTCTCAGCTTTTGGGCTAAGAACAAGTGTAGAAATCACTGGCTTTCATTTAGTAGTAATGTTAAGGTAACACTGTATTAAGTATAAATCAAAAGTAAATATATGAAAGTGGGCCCCATGGTTCAGGGTCAGAGGTGGACCAGTTGAAGGCCACAGTACTAGAGCATATTGCCAAATAAACCATTACAGGGACATTGCAGGGGCACTGATGTTGGAAAGTGTCAAGAGAAAGAATGCAGTAGAAGTAGAAATCTTGGTGCTTATCACATTGGCTATTTCTGTATGCAAGGAAAAACAATCCTTCATTGTTGCTATCAGACCAAGCCAGTTAAAACTTCTAAACTGGTCTCACTCAAGTCATTACCCCCTGTACAGGGAAGCTTTCATCTCACAGGAAAAGCAACTGCTGGACTGTCTCAGTAAGAGCTTTGAGAGGCTGTCTATGTGCTTTGTGTGAGGAGACAAAAAAAAAGGCACACACTAGAACAAGCCATATTTAGGACGGCTTTGATGGCTAAGGAGAATTAAGAGAAAATGAAAGTGAATATGGGGACCTGTTTACCAACAAGTAAATAAAAATGAAAAAAATAATAATAAAAGGAAGAAAATGAGATTTCACAACATACACCACATGGTGTCCCTAAAAGAAAGCTGGGGTGCAAATGTGAAGCTTGTACCTGGATTTGATTTCCAGTCAAAGGAGAGACTTGGAGACTTGATAACATCTGCTTTGTACCTACAACAGAAAAATTGGTGAGCCCCTCAAAGAAGAGGTAGAGAAAAATAAGGCTGAGTTGATAATTTTAAAAAGACACCCTTATTCTCTCCTACTCAAAATGCCCCAAATATGAATGCACAAGCTAGGGCCCATCTTGCATGTTGGGTGAATGTGATATTTGTCCCAGACTGTGCACTGCAAGTGACACAATAGTTGTCAGGCAGTTAGTTGCCAGACTCTGCTGTTGCCTTCAACCACGGGTGTCAGCCAGTCTAGAAAACAATGAAGCTTGATGGCAGTTTCAAGGAACAATATGTGTTCTCCAACTACTGTATTTACTCGAATGTCATGCACACCTTCTTTGGCCTAATTACGTCGGGGAAATTAGGGTGCGTATTAGATTTGATGGCACATTTACATTCGCCAGCAAATACTTTTTTGGTTTCAAGGTTTTGAAAACTGAGGTGTGCATTCGATCCGATGGTGCATTACATTTGCATAAATACGGTACTTTGGGATTGTGAAGGAGGGAGAGTATAAGACCAGCAAGGAGGCAGAGCCAAGCACCAGTATACCAAGTGAGGGAACTCACAATGGCTAGTCTTGATGACTGTTGCAACTGACCAAGGAAACCTATACTAATACTAGTTTGAAAGCCCTAGCACAAGGAATGGGGAATCTATAGCCTTCCAGATGCTGCCGGGGGCCCAGCCAGCATGGCTAACAATCAGGAAGGATGGCAGTTGTATCTAGAAGCTTTTAGCTATCTACTACAAGTTTTCTTTTTCACATAGCAAGGACAGAGAGGTGGTCATGATGAAACCAGGGACATCTCCCATGCATAGCACACACCTTTCCTTCTTCTGCATGACCACACAGGGACAGTCAAGGTCCTCAGACCAGGGAAGACATCTGCACAGCCACTTCACTAGACAGTAACCCAGAGACTCAAGATCACTACGACGAGATGGAGCTAACAGGATAGAAAAAGAAAGCATATCCAAGTATGGAACATCAACAGTACAGTACAGAAATTGGGGTACAGCCTTATAATCACAGTGGCTCACATGGCCTGCAGTCACATCTTGGGTAAATCACTGCCTTAGCATGTGCTTCAATTTTCCACTATTTATTTTAGGGTTTTACTTGCCTTAAGGTCTCCAGGCAATTAATAAAATCTTACAACACCTCCAAAAGACAGGCTGTAACTAAGATGATCTCTCTGCATCTCCTTTGCTCTGTGAAAAATACCAATCAAGCAACTGAATGACGACATTTATTTGCATGTTACCTAAATATAGAATTCTTTTTGCAATAGGAAGTTGGAAAATCACACCCACACCAAAGCACATTTCTTCCCCAAAATAATCATAGGAACTGCAGTTTCTTAAGGGTGTTGGGAATTGTAGCTATGCAAGGGATAAACTACTGTTCCCAGGATTATGCGGAGGAAGCTATGTGCTTTAAATATGGTTTAATGTATGGTGTGGATGTGACTGAAGTGCAAGAAAAGTCAAAGTTTTAAAAATACATGAGCTGCCTCTTGCTGTTAGAACATAAAGCCAACTTCAACATTTCCTTTTTCCTCATGCACCAAAAACGAAATAGCCTCAAAAATTAAATATGCTAGCCTGCAACCCAGCCAACTAGAATTAGTCCTTAGTGATTAATCACTGAGAGCATGTAGACATGGGGAAAAGTAAGATCTTGACTGCCAAGAGCAGCCTCTCCCAATATGTTGCCTTCCAAATACTTCTGTGCTACAACTTGCACCATTCCTGACCATGAGCCATTCTGGTTGGGGCTAATGGGAAGTGAAGTCCAAAACATCTGGAGGGTACCAGGCTGGGGAAGGTTGGCCTAGAGGCAGCACAAAAGCATGGAGATACAGTGACCTCTTCAAGTGCACAACAAGTTAATGCCACTTTTGGATTGTTGCTGTGCAGTTAAAGCTTATTTGGAGGCCATGTGTAACAACCCCATTCCCCCCCCAAAAAACCTGGGCATTTTGTGATAAGGAAAGTGACAGGAAAATGCACTGGAAAGTGTGGAATAACACTTGATGCAACATTGTCTAACCTTCCCGCAAACAAATCAGAATGAAAGTTCAATAAAAAGCCAGTGTTGCTGAACCCTCTCCATAAGCAAAGTAAATGAAGCAAGATGAGTGCTCAATAAACAGGTCATCTCAAAGCTTGTTAAGAAGAGAAGAAGCTGAAGGCCAGGCAAACTGGAGAGCCTTATTCCACAGGAATAAGGAAGCACTTCTTTTGTGCAAGGGACCAACAAGTTAGTCAGAGAAGAGCCAGCTCCTGGAGAAGTATGATCAAGGGCACAGGAGAAAAGACCACAGACTGAATCAAAACAATGGCTTATACTGCCCACCCAGTCTGTTTCTACAGTGCAACATTATCACCCACCGGCTCCTTTGTGGCTATCAATGCTGATGAACTCTATGGTGCCCTCGTGGGGTGTCCTGCTGCCTTCGCATTCATGTACATGCTTCCCCCCAGGGCTGTACCGGAAAGCAAAGCAGTAATCTGCCAGGGTGATCTGGGGGAAGAAGAGGAGGAGGAGGAGAGAGTGACCCAACAGCAAAAAGACAAAGATCTACCAGCCTGGCCTTGCAAAGCACCCCTTAGTATCTGCTACTCAGCAACATTTGCAATTGCCTTGTGCCCTTAAGCAACAGCCAGGAAGGCACCAAGGTCAGAATAAATGGAGCCAGAAGGTGCAGTCATAAGAATCACTGCTCCCTAAGAATCACTGCTCCTTCCATGCTATGCAGTAAGAATGTAAAAGGAAAGTACATGCTTCTCTCACACAACCTAGAATGAGCAATAGTGTAGGGTTTGCAGGCAAGATGAGAGGAAAAGGAAGGAACTTTTTGGACTGGCTATTCTTAGCGGTAGAGATGGAAGAGAGTCTCTTATGTCTATACTTGGGGGAGCTCTGTAGAACAAAAATTATGTTCTCCTATCCTACAGAAACACCCTTCAGCAAGGACACATTCCTTGTCTGTCCCTGCTCCATTCCTTACCGCAGCAAGGTCAGCTGGATTCACATATATGTGCTGAGCATTGATGTCCCCATGGGTATACTCATTCTCATGGAGGAACTCCAGAACATCCACCTAAAGACAAAATTGAAGGCAGAGGAAAAATGACACCCTTGGAATGCCTGCATTTCTCAGACTTACTCCTAACCAGAGTATTTTCTGCTGGTGATGGCGCATGGATGTTTGACATATAGCCTCTGGAAAAGCACAGCCGAAACATTCACATAGCTTAAGCCACTCTATGTCTGTTCATAGAGGACTGTATTCCTAAAATCCATAGGCACAGAGCTGATCAGGCCACATAGTGCGAAGTGCAGCTCTGTAAGGATTGGAGATAATTACCCAAACCCTACTGTGCAAACAACCTGGGAAAGATCCTGCACAGCACTGCACTCTAGTCATGCTAATTTGCAGTTCTGAGGACCAAGCTTAAATGTGACAACACAGCCACATGCAACATTAAACTCACAGAGGCTTCTCCCCTGCAAAACACCTTCAGGAAGGGATTTATTTCGATTAGTGTTTACCAGATTTAACACTCTGCCTGGCAGAGTCACTGTATCTTCTGGTTCCTTCTCTCCACAACTGCAGGTGGCAGCTACTCTCACAGAGCAGCAGCCTTTGCTTCATAAGGTCTGCTTCCTCCCATCTTGCTTGACCTAGGAGTCAAGCTCCTGAAGTAGGCCCTTGGCTTCAAAGCCCTCCTTCTCTGAGGAGAAGGGAGAAACATTTGAGAATAACCCGAATCTTTGAAGGAGGAACATGGTGTTGGCTATACAATCCAAAGCTCAACCCTGCCCAGGTACAGATGGGAGAGGAGCAAAGCAGAAAAAGGGGCTTGTGGGTAGTGGATGAGGAGGCAGAACCGGAAAATGGGTGGGGACTCTCTCTCCATTCTGCTGCTGGGTGTGTGGCAGGGAGGAGGAGGCTAATATTAATGGTTCCATCTACCAGACCAAGAGGGAGAAGTAAAACCTTCCTCCTCTAAAGGAGAAGGGTGGGCTGTTGTGCAAGATTCTTTTCCTGTCATCCAGTTGTTTGCAGCTCCCCTCATCAGTTTCCAGAACTTTTCTCATCTTAGAAACACTGGCTTAGAACTCTGCAGGGCACTTGGTAGGGAAGAAAGTATGAGGGGTAAATGAATTGGGTGGGAAAGGGTTAAGCATCATCTGCTGCGCCACTTCTGATGCAAATCTCACCCTTGCAAGGCCACTTTACAAGAATGGGGGAGGGGGCACAACTGTCAGATTTAAATACAGCAGCATTGCATTATTTCTACTTTAAAGCATAGCTTTGATCAAGGATGAAAGGAATGAAACTACTCTCCAGGTTATTCTTGTTGAAGCATGGCAATCACCCATAATTCCCTGGGCCCAAAGCTGGCCTGCAGTGGCAAAAAAAGCCTCCGTTTTACAAAGAGACTTTTTGAGAAGATTCCTTTTCATCCATTCTCCTTTTGGGCGTTTCATACCAGTCTGACTGCAAGCTGCAAGGCTGCTTTCTCCGTCATCTTGTTTGCACAGTCATCCAGGATGGACTGAAGGGAGCGGCCCAGATAAGAGAAGACCATGAACCTGCCAGTCAAAAGAGATAACACCGCAGCATGTGAACCGTGCTATTTGTTTGAGGTTTGCATCCACTATTGTGGATCTGTAATCAGGATCTGTAATGGGAGGAATTCAATTTCTTTCAGCTCACCTTACTGCAGCACTATGGCCACGACCACACTCCCTAAGCTAGCATATTCAAAATGCAATACTACCAGAAATCTTAAGTAGAAGAATTCAAAGCAGGAGGTAGACTGACAAAGAAAGTCAAAAGCACAAAAAAGAGGCTCCGGAGCAACGGTTAAAATAATAAAATCAATGTCTAATTTGCTCTTCTGGGAAAATAGAATAGCAATTGAATAAAGAAAATGGGTTCAGCAACAGTACAAAAGAGAGCCAAAGGGATTGTGAGAAAACAGCAACATTGATGGTGAAAGTACGATGAGATAGCATAGCGCAGACGAAGGATTTGGGCAGTAGGGGGAAGGATGGCTCACAGGAGTTCCCATGGCAAAGCTTCCTAACCTGTAGTTACTATTGTGGAGGCCAAATCCAACGCAATTAGGGATCCCCAGCAATGGTACTGAATGCTGTTTCTTCCACTTCTCCACTACAAAGAGAGACAGAGAGAACATTGGTCTTACTTCTGTTAAGTGATTTCCTTGTCCATGTTGCCTCCTTCCATTCACTCCAGAGGTCAGGACTATGTTAATCAGGATTGTGTTATGCACAGTGTGGGGGAGAGTGCCCTTCCCCATCTCAAGACACAGCTAGTTCCAGTGCTATTTTTCTAGAAAAAGAGGCAGAACTCACCACGAACACCTCCCTTGTTCTCTCATAATGGCAATAGCCCTCCCCTGAGAGGTGCAGGAACTGAGTTTCAGAAAATTCAGGCTGAAAAAAAGCCCTGACTAGTTTCTAGAATCAGCCTACTAAGCCTTAATAATAGCAGAGGGAGAACAAGAGAGAAAGACAGTAACAAGAAGATTAGGGAATTTTTGTAATAAAACATCACGTCTTTTTTTTGGGAGGGGGTTCATCTCCATCCCTCAGGACCACCACTCCTAATACTAGGGCTGACTACAAGCTGACTCCTAATACTAGGGCTGACCACCACCTCTTCATCTAGCCAGAGCTCCATGGGTCCTCCTCAAATGCCTTGGGAAAAGGCATCACTTCTTCACAAGGCTTACATAAAGGCAAAACAGAGACATAGTCAAATTTGACTGGACTTAACCATCCAGGGGTCCTTTACCTTTACTTTTTATAAAAACAACAACAGACAGACCCCAAGAACTCACTGATGAACGCTGTGTCCCTCTCCTGAGACACAGTCTCCATCTGCACTATAAGTTTAAAGTAATACCAGTGTCATGCCACTTTAAACTGTCATGGCTTCCACCAAAGTTTGTTAAGGGTGTTGAGAACTGTTATGAGGCCCCTTTTCCTCTTAGAGAGCTGCAATTCCCAGCTCCCTGGGGAGAAGGACTGGCTGTAAAACCACTCTGGGAATTGTAGCTTTGTGAGGGGAATAGGGGTCTCCTAATAACTTTCAGCAACCTTAAAAAAAAACTACAGTTCCCCAGACTCTTTGTGGAAAGCCATGACTACTTAAAGTGGTACTATACTGCTTTAAACATATAGTCACTTTAATGACTCATCAATTCCTACCTGTGGCCTTCTTAGCAGCTCGCTGCATAAAGTTCTGTTCATTGAAGAGCCGTCCATCTTTGCAATCCTGAGAAGGGAGAGAAACTGGCACAGATATTCTTTTTATTGCCTCACTGCACCTCCCCACCCTGCGCTTTAATTATCATGTTAAAGCAATTCTCTTTACATAGCTTCTCTAACTCTCAATAGACTTCACAAAGGCAAGTAAAGAATTCCACTTCCACTTTACAAATGAGAGAAATCAGAGAGGAGCAGATGTAGTAAGTTAGACCAGAATACCACCAGGAATGTCATCCCAATGAACCACAGCCAATGACCAGTGCAGTTAGAATAATACAACCCACATGTGACAAGCATTAGGAATAGAATTTGTGTTGTATTCAATGCTAGTCCTACTGAGAGTAGACACACTGAAATCTATAGACATAGCCCATCAATTTCATTGATCCAGTCAGAGGAGAACTTGGATACAACCATGTGTGTTTTTCTTTTGTGTATGAGTGGTGATTTATTTATTTTTAAAAGAAAGTTGTCAATCCTTATAGATAGGAAAATACAAAAATGTTAAGGCTCTGGTGGGTATTTTGAAATCACAGAGGGCCATGGGGAGACACCCTTGATGGTCACAGAATGAAGCTACTATGCCTTACACACAGCTCCTACCAGTTCAACCATCGGGAGATAGCCAATGTTAGCAAAACTCAGAGAAGACACATTGAAACCAATCTACTCATTAATTTCAATGGCTCTAGTTTGAGCATGACCAATGTTGGGCATCACCTAGCACCCAGTATCCTACTTCTATTGCCATTCTAGGCTTAGCAGCCTCTCTCTGTACCTTGCCTTTTATTAGTCCTGTTCTTGAGAAAAGCCTGTGAACTCTTCTTGTAAAGCACAAGAGAGTCTGGGTGCTCTGACCTGCTTCCTCTATGTGTGATTTCATACTTCAAGTCCTTCTTTGTGTCACTGATTATTGGAACTATTTGGAAGAGACAAGCTCCAAGTCCTCCTGCTGTGTTTGCCTTGTTGTACCTTTGACCTACATCTTGCCAAGCTCAGATCCCAGTTCCAGCACATAGAACGATCTAGGATACACCTAACACAGAGAGATGAACTCACAAGTTTGAGGGAGTATTTCCGCTGGGAACGGCAAGCTTCGGATGCACACACTGCTGTGAAAGGATGGAATAAATTAAGGTTAATAGGTAACCCAGGAGATCTGCACCTACTATATGAAGTAGGTTAACTTTATTTCACTCTTGTTATATTGATACAGTACCACCTCGGAAACAATAGGTATCAGAGTACTTAAATACGCTGAGCAAGGAGCAGATCTGGACAACAAAGCCAACACTGCAACCTTCGGACACAACCTTTGTATGTCCACTGCAATCACAGCAAAGGATTCTAGGAAATGGTTAGCATAGATCAGAGATAGCAGTGTCAGCAGCTCAGCTTTTAGTCAGTGTTTTATTTTTGCTGTTTTTTCTGCCACTCATTTTTTTTTTTTTGTTCTTGCTGCCTGTTGATTTGATTTGATATATCTATAGGAGCAGATATAGCCCTTTTAAAAAACACCTTAAGGGCAGATTTTCCTTAATAAAGTGGGACACAGAAAAGGTGGTTGCATTCTCTCCAGAATGTAATACCATGCAAGCACATCTTGTACCTTCATACATCAGTCCATAGTCACCCTCGCTCAGAAGTTTCCCAAGCTTCCATTGCTTGTTGTTCAGGTCTGTTAGGATCTCACCCTCTGGGAGAGGTCTCACAGTGGCACTCCTGCCCTTCCTGGGAGATCGGTAGCTGGGCTTTGCTTTACAAGAGAGACACAAGTAATTCTTACTTAGATTTGTCACCCACTGTGCTAGGAATTCAGAGTGGGGACTCACTCTGCCCCCAATATTGCTCCCCTTGCCCTCAGTATTGGGATGTGTAAACGAGGAAAACTAGTTTTGGGGGCAAATTTCATGAAAATGGTTAGCACTGCGATAGCAATGGGTTTTAAACAAGAAAATACAGAAAGAGAAACACAACAGGAGTTTGTGCAAAAATTCAAAGCCAGCCAGCCAGACAGCCAACCACCCACCCGCCTGGAATCATCACCAAATACAACCATATGCAGAGCTAAAATCCTCACCTTTTGCCTTTGGTGATTTAGTAGGTGATACAGAAGGTGACCAGCTCCATTTAACTGCAGAAGCAGCGTTTCCTTTGTCTGGCAATATTTCTGCCTTTTTCTTTGCAGGAGACCTCGGCAGCTGATCTTGGTCTTCTTGGTTTAGCCCTGATAAAAGGTAGCACTGTCAGAACAACAAAGGTGTTTACAGGCAGGCCAACTGCCTCTACTCATAGATCTGCACTGGTTGCTTATTTGTTACCAGGCCAAATTCAAGGTGTTCCTATTCCTTGCTTCAATCTGCAGAACTGGTACTGTCTGGTTCAATGTTTTTATATTGCTGTAAACAGATGTGATATATTTTTATGATACAGTGGTATATAAATAAAAAAATTCCTTCCAGTAGCACCTTAGAGACCAACTAAGTTAGTTATTGGTATGAGCTTTCATGTGCATGCACTCTTCTTCAGATACAAAAGCTCATACCAATAACTATCTTTTTTATTTTTTTATTTTTTATATTTTTTACATACCAATAACTATCTTAGTTGGTCTCTAAGGAATTTTTGTTGTTGTTTTGTTTTGACTACGGCAGACCAACATGGCTACCTACCTGTAACTGGTATATAAATATTTTTTATAAATAGATTTCATAAATACTGTTACAGGTACCACATAATACACGTTCCACACTTGTATGAAATAGATCTTTTAGTATGACACCTTCTCTGTTTTGGAACTCCCTGCCTATTGACATCAGACAGGCACCCACTCTAGGGATGCCATATTTTGAAGAGCAAATTAGAGGTCACATCTGCCCGACGGGAGCCTCCCAGGCTGACCCCCCCCCCCGGTGAGTGGTATTCGCACCCCCCAGCAGGTGGAGTTTCGTGATTGGCGCAATCATTGTTGTGAAAATCCACCTGCTGATCACGCAAATCCACCCAGCCATCAGGTGGATTTGCATGATCGGCGGCTGGATTTGTGTGATCGGCGGACGGCGATCAGTCGGCTGATTTTCATGACGACGATTGCGTCAATCACGAAAATCCACCCACCAGGGGTACGCCACACCAATCTGCATGGGGCGGATTTTGTTACCCCCCCCCCCAGGCATGACACCCGGGATGCACCAAACCCCCTGCACCCCCCTTGTGATGTCCCTGGACTCTCATTGTACATTCCCATGAAAAAGAGGATGTGTCCTGGGAAAAGAGGACATATAGCAACCCTACAAGTTTGTACTCTCTTTGGCACCTGCTTAAAACATTTTTGTTTAGGCATCCCTATCAAGACATGTAAAAGGTGGCATGTGTTTTAATCACATTTTAGCTTACCACTGATTTTAATAACTTTTGGAATGCTTTTAAATACAGTTTTTAACTTTATATTAAGAACTTCAATTTTTAAAAAATCTTTATAAACCACTAAGTGGTCTTTTTTTCTTTTTTTACAATTAAGGGGTATAGAAATTTGGCTAAATGTCTTTTTACAATATTTGGGCAGTATGGCATACCCAGGAATATACTGCCTCACTGCTGCTATAGTAAGCCAGCTGGTCTCCTGTCACCCCATGGAGGCAGCCTGTGGGAACTGTGGGATGGCTTGGCAGCAGCAACAACCAAATCTTTAGGTCACAAACCCACACTCGCTGACCCCATCATCTTAGTTACACTGCCTCCACTTCTGATGTGTGTATATTATGAACGCAAGTTCAAGCACACAGATTGGAGCTCCCCCTGGCATTGTTGCTGAGCTACCACACAGGAGACAAACTACCTGCTTGAGAAAGGGGCATGGGTGGCAGGGCAGGGAAGGCAGCCTGGCAGTGGTACTGAGCAAAGATCTGCTTAGCGCCGCCATCACTGGCCCAGCTGCCCTTAAATAAGCAAAATCTGAAAGGTGAGGGAAGGCTCCAAAAGCTGGTGCTGGGCCCTGTTTACCATTCCTGTCTACAATCCCTGAATGGTTCTGGCTCTTAACCTTCATCTCTCCAAAGCAAACAAGGACCCATGTTCATTACTGGGTGACAAAATGTCATCCTTATAACTAACTTCCCTGCAACTATTTCCACTTGACAGCTGTTGGGTGAGGGGGTGGATTGGCAGGCAGTGAATTCCTAACAAAATCAGGCATAATATGGAGATCAGTATCTTAGATTTAAACATCACTCACTATGGTTTTACATCTCCTTTTTGTGCCATCCATTCTCCCTTGCTAATAAATGTGCTTCATGTTAAATAGGAAAAATAAGTCAGGTTTAGCCTCAAAGGACTTTCAGCTGGGTCATCAGATAGGTAATGTTTGTCAGCTGCCACATTTGACTAAACATTCCTACCTTTCACTGAAGAAGTTGGAGTGATCTGCATGGCTTCTTCTTCTGCAGGAAGTCTGGCACCGCAGGAGGCACAAAAGTTAAAGGATGCCTCACCCCTCTGTCCACACTGCGGGCAAAAATTGACCATTCTACAAAAACAGTGGGAGAGAGAAGAGGGGAGTGGGTGAACATAAATAGCTGCAAGCCTCAAAATTGGAAAGTAATATTCATAATTTGGATTTGGTTGTTGCATCAGTGAATATTTTCATAGGGCTCAATTTACCTACTATCTAAAACTCCAAAGGCAATTTATAAGAGCAAGTGATTAATCTTCATGTGGTAAAAAGGAGTGGGGAAAGCAGCAGCTAACAAAATAGGGGGGGTGCTTTGGGCTTTTGTGTGTGTGTGTGTGTGTGTGTGTGTGTGTGAGAGAGAGAGAGAGAGAGAGAGACCAGGTAGAAACACATGCATACCTTAAGTACCTTAGGGTAAAAATGGGAAAGACGTGCAATTAATAAAATAACCCAAAGCCCCTAAAACTTATTTAATATTCCATCTTAGTTCACATAGTTCACCTACTCCTCATTTAATCCCTGCAACAATCCTGTAAGGCAGGTTAGGTTGAGCGAGCGCCCCAAGATCACCCAGGGAGCTTTATGGCTGAGAGGGGATTTGACCCATGCCCTAGTCTTGACACTCTAACCTTTACACCACACTTGCTCACACTTTTAAAGCTGCAGTGGCAACTAAGGGGGTGGGGAAGCACCAAGACAGACAGTGCATGTTTTTGGAAGCTGTTTTTAATACATTCTCTCTCTCTCTCTCTCTCTCTCTCTCTCTCTCTCTCTCTCTATACACAGTATAGAGTATACTGTATATATAGTGAGCCATTTTATTTTATTTTAATTGCGGGGCAGGGTAAAGGCAGTACTGTGCGCCCAAACACATTTCACTAAGGTTCCAGTTTTGGTTTCAAAACACAGGACGTGTGCTTTTTTTAAAAAAGAAAAGAAACAAGAGTAACCTGGCTTACCTTCTTTTTTTAAAGAAACACAGCATATAAATCTTACACGTTAAGAAACGTTATGAGGTGGCCACCCTCGCCTTCGGATCCAAGTGACCCTTTTTCCTGAAGTCGCTTCCCCTCCCTTGTCAGGAAGGCGGCCCTGTTTAGGGAAGTTTTTAATTCGGTTGGAAGCCGCCCAGAGTGGCTGGGGAAACCCAGCCAGATGGGCGGGGTATAAATAATAATTATTATAACTCACAATCCACCACGAATTCTGCGAGAGAGAGAGCTCCTCTTTTCATTTTTATTTGTTTCAAATAAAAACAGATCGAAAATCCCGGGGACAGCCCCCTGCAGATCCACACCACACACGATCTAAGGCACATCCCATCGGACATCTAAAGCTCGTGCCTCCCTGCCCACCCCCAAACGTCGCTTGGTGTAAGCGTGCTGGGAACTGTAACTGTTGGGTTGAGTGAAACTACAACTCCCAGGATTCTTTGTGGAAGCAATCTATGACATATGGATGTTATACAAAACATCGCTGTCTTTTTCTGGAAGGTCGTTGCTACTACCGGGCTTTTCCGGCTGCAAGAAACTAACGCGGCGCCTCTCCCGCCGCATAAACAGCTTCACGCAGCGGCGGCGGCGGCGGCCATGCTGGGCCACACGGAGCTTCTTCGGCTCACCGAGACTGCTCGCCTTCGTACCCACCCAGCGCCGGCCTTCGCCCGCTTGTAGGCTGCAGCAACAGCGGCAAAGGAGGCGTCTCCCTCTTCGGCCTCCGGCCTCTTGCGTCCTTTGCCAAACCTGTTCATGTCGCTTCCAGTGGGGCTCCGGTCTGCCTGCGACGAAGGAAGCCCGTTACCTCGTCCTGCCCGGCCCGCCGACCTCACGGAAGCGCCCCCCGCGAGTCTTTCTCCTGACAGGCCGCCTCCAGCGACGCCCTCCGGCGGCTCAGCTCCCCAGCCCACAGGGACCGCTTTCAGAACCTGCCCGGCCGGTTCATACCTGTGGCGCTTAATCCCCCTTTGTTCATATTCATCAAGCGCCACCAATCTTTCACGCGTGTTTTACTCAGTGGGGGCACCAGGAAAATAAAATCTGGGGCTTCCTGTATTTCTAGGTAGGCAAGAAACATGCTAAGATATCCGAAAGAAAAAGTGCATGTTGATAACGACTCCAGCAAAAGGTGTGCGGGGCGGGGGGAGACTTGCTTCCCGCTCTGGCACAACACCCATAGTTTTACCCCATTTTTTCTTTTAAATGGGGGGTCTTACTCCAAGGTATGCACATATGGGATTGCAGCCGTCATCCCTTTAAAACTAGCCGGAGGATTGTACGCAGAGGAATCCCAATTTGGAGATGTTTTGCACAGAAGACCCTGTTAGGGATATTGTTTGAAGCGGCAGGGTTTTATCCTCTTGAAGAGAAAAACTTTAAGATTGTTAGTTGGCATCCATCCATCTCAGGAGACGATGGAAGTCAAGCCGCTGGAGAGTTAAAGCGCCTGCTGTGGCTGTAGGCATATTTTACTGCAGATGATGGCATCCAGTTTGCTGCTACAGGTGCGCCATGGCATTTCTTCCCTCTGTGCTCCTCAGTGGTCATTCCTCTGGTCACTGCTGTGGATACACATCAATAACTACCAGCACAAGTTTACTAGGAGGGAATGAAGTATCCTCCTCAAGGGTAGACAAGGATTCTTCAACAAAATGGCAATTCTTTATACAGACACTGCCCACAACTGTAGCACCACACAACATTCTGGAGGCATAACAACAGCTGCTTGGCATTGCTGGAATACTTTTTTTAAAAAGTACAGTAGCTTTTCCTGTAGTTGCTGGGACCTGCAAAAATGACTGAGAAAGGATGCCGCCAGCAGGCGTCCATTTTTTTAAAGAGCTGTCCGTCATGAGGTCTTATCTGCATCTCTCCAGCCCCCACTGTTTTGCAAGTTGGTCTTCCCAATACGGTACTTATGTTATACACAAATGCTTACTAAATAAATCCCAGACCAGAATGGTCTGGTTACTAAACCTAAAATACTTCCTTTCCTAAAAAAATCAAAATGGATTCCAAGGGGTTTTTTTTTAAGCTAATAAAAACAATGTACAACTGAAATACATGAGCAGGAAGATTTTTGGCTGCTATCCCAGAGTAACATTGGTACCAGTTGCCTCAAAAAGGGGTTGCACAGCTGAAAAAGCTAGAAACATGAAGCTGCCTTATAGTCAGACCATTTCTCCAACTTGCTCAGTATGGTATTGTCTATACTTGCTGGCAGCAGCTTCAAGAGTTTTAAATCCAAGTCATACCTGGATATGCCAGGAAATGAAACTGGGACCTTTTTTCTGCATGCAAAATAAGGTCTACCACTTAGGCTATAACTCTTTCCATCAAAGCTATAGTCCATACCTGTTAATATAATTCCTCCAAAATATTTTCCAGTTTTTGGCTATGCAGAAAAGTCAATTAATCTTTGTGTAAGATACCTGTCGCTTTCCCATCAAATACCAAGAGCAAGTCTGCTGAAGTATTGAAAAGTGATTGTTTGGTAATAATTCTTCCCTGAAAATAGCCACCCACGTAACCTACAACCCACATGTGAAAATAGATACCCCCACCACTGGGGACAAATATGTTCTAATATTTTACTTTAAAAGTGGGAAGACAGGTACCACCTTAAGAGAATTCTGTAATGTGAGCCTTCACTCTCACCAAAACCACAGCCTAAGTCAAGTGGGCAGATCTGGAGTCGTACATCTCTGGGAGATTTGCTGGTGGATCAGCATAATACCCCATATTTTGATGGCAGTTTAGCAACAAAATCCCCCCCCCCAAAATCAGGTTGCTGAAATAACAAAGCTTAGGGCAACCAGGAATGGATTTAGGTATAGAAGGACTTTGAACAAAGATCACTTCTGGTACTCAAAACATACCTTGTGCTAAGCAGCTTCTGTGCAGGTAATTTCTTCCAGCTTTTAAACTGATTTTATCTGATGCAGCATACCTTAAGATACTGAATTCTGATGGGCAGCTAACAAACCTTACTGAGTAAATAAATGTGTCCTGTGTCTCCTTGCTATCCACCTGCTATGTTTCCAAGACGTGCGGATCAATAAGCAAATTTATCATATACAGTAGCTTCTCCTTTGCCAGTGATAAGACAGTCTCATCTATGGAGATCCTCTTGTAGTTTTTACTAAACACCTCAGAGAACTCTCTGTCCACTGAATAAAGTCAGGAGTCTGTTATATTTTTTAAAAATTGTTTTTTATAAAAAAACATCACTAGCCAACATGAACTGTCATTGACATTACCTTCTGAAGAAAGAAAAAAAGAAAGAAAGAAAGAAATCATTTAAGCCTGTCCAGTGTTTTTCAGATTCATGTAGTTAATTCCAAACACACAAGTTTTGTACCTGGGTATACATTCTAAGGAGGCATAATTGAAAGAAGGAAACCAAACCTTATTTTGCGTCTCTGTTCAAAATCCTTAATACCAGTACAATTGTCGCAGAGGGTTGCAGGCACCATTTCAAAGTTTTGCACATGGAGGTGGTTCAGTCTAATGGAAGAACATTCAAGTCCACATGTCCAAGCTATTGGCTTCAGACTTTTAGTGTGATCAGCTTTCAATCCATAGATCCCATGAAACAAATGAGCTTTTACGGACAATGGGACAACTGAAGTGGTAACAGTTAATTCAAGTAAAATTAATTTCCATCATCAAAATTCTGTGTCGCAATAATTTTTCAAGCACCACTGCAATTATAGCAGAGGTAGAACCTTAACAATTTAGTAATCAAAGGGGCCTAGTATAAAGGAGCAGATAACAACAGAAAAAAGGGAAAGGAGAAAGAATATTGAGAGGAAAATAAAGAGAAAAATAAAAAATATAGGACACTTAACCAAATTATTAGAACATATTACATCTCCCACAGGTAGCTGTTTGCCGCTAGCTCACAAAAGCCACTATATTGCTTAATATGCACAGAAGGGCAAAAATAGCCCCCAGCCTTAAAACAATTCATTGGTAAACAGGATCACTTTGCTTCTTAGTAAACTACAGTAGATGCAGCTGCTTTGAAGTAGCAGAAGCAATGAAGAGGCAGTGCAGATCTCAACTGTCAGACCAAATACTTCACAGGCAACAAAGGCCTCAGATGGGCCAAGCTCAACACCACTAACAGGGAAGTATCCACCTCTTGGGATACGGAAGAAAGGCATTAGGGCAGAGCCAAGAATGACACTGAACCTTAGTAAAGAATGCTTGATCATGTCATGGGCAGACATAGTTTACATGGAACAGAAGGGAAGAGGGGAAAGGAAGACTTTTTGCGGGCCATATTCTGCAGGGGAAATACCACAATTATGCCTGCTAGTGCCTGAATCTTGTTTTGGCCACAGGATAATATGTGGGGAAGACAACAGCAACAAGTCTTGGGGGAAATTCTTTAGGTAAACATTCAGCGAAACCAAGGCAATGCACCTCATGAGCCACCATGTACAGTGCAGCCTTCAACCATGTTTGCACCTGTTTGTTGTTAAAGTAAACAGCACCAGGACATCAGAGGCTTAAGAAGCCCAAGTTCATCTTTTCTTCTTCATTGTACTCAGCCACATTTTTCCGTTTTGCTTGCCTTCTGCTGGAGTGTAAACATAATTTTGAGTCATGAGGAGATCCGCCTTTGTTCTTGGCAGGGCCCAGAGGCTGCCCTGAGGTAGCTTTTGGAGATGCTCCAAAGTTGCAATCTATAGTGGAAGTAGGGCTGGTACTGTTGACAGAAGAATAGCCAGAGCTGGCTTCAATGGTGCCCTTTGGTTGGCTGTGGTGCATTAGCCATCCCTTCCCAGCACCTGGTGGGTCATAATTATTTAGGTCAAATGTAGATCCCTCTTTGGCAATGCTCTCTTCATCACTGGAGTCTTCACAACAGCCATAGCAGTGTTCTTCGGGGCCCGTACAGACCACAGTTACATCCAGAACTCCGCTTGGAGCTGTAACTATACAGAAAAGTTGGTTAAATAAACCCTACTGAAAAAAAATCAAGACTAATCTTTGTAGTGCACTTTAAGTGCCCACTTTTTTTGTTTTAATTCTGTCAAAGTTTACCCTCTTGCAGTAAAATGCTAATGTTTAGCTTTGATAAAACTAAACAGTACCCTATTCTACCTATCTTTGATCAATTGATAAAATCAAAATAATTGGGTGTCAATTCTACCACCATCCTCTGTACCAATGCTGGTAAAGGTTGCATATCCAACTGTTCCCCTCAAACACCCCCCCCAAAAAAAAAATTCTTCTCACACATGAAATTAGCTTAGCAGGGCTAAATGCTTTTCAACCAATATGCCAGTTTTCTATGTCGAGCAAGGTTTTATTTCTGAAGCAAAGCATTCAAACATTGTCTCAAGTATTACTATTCCACTACTTGATTGTGTGCCTAAATTCAACCCCCACCCACCCCAAATGTCAGATGGTAATACCCCCAAATGACATACCACCTTCCAAAATAACCTTACCATCTCCCTCCTTCTCTCCTTCACTTTCTTGATCTCCTTCATAGCCAGAGCAGGAATCCAAGCTCCAGTCCAGGAAGTTGTCTAGAAGGCTCTCCTCCTGGTTGGACAGTTCAGCTGTTGGTGTCGTTACAAAGCTTCCCCTGTCTTCCTGGATGCTGTCTTCTCTTCTCCTGTGGAAAGAGTATCTATGACCATTAATAAAATACTCTTAAAAGGGGGAGAGAAAATGGGGCCTTGGATCAGCTTTTCCACAGTCAGTGCTCAAAGTTGAGTGTTATGCTACCCTACTTCTTTTCAAGCAATCATAAAACCATTCCAGTCCTTTCCATTAAGCACAACCAAGCCTAGTCTAATAGTAAACAAAACCACCACCACCCATTTTGAGCACTATCTATAGCCAGCTAGTTATTTGACACATGGAACCTTTTCTTGGCTGGACCTGGAAAGCTAGGAAGATGCATTTTCAGCTGTTTGCTGAGCTGCCCAGCACTGATGGCTTGCAAGAGGGCAGTACAGTTAACACAGTGGTAGACCACATGGCTTTGGATGGCAACTCTAGGAAGGGTTAAAAAAGCTCCTTGGCTGTAACTCCCAGAGGAGCTTCTGCCAGTCAGTGTAGACATATTGAGTTAGGTAGAGGTGGAGTCCAGCAACATCTGGAGGGCCGTACGCTCTCCACCCAATAGATGAGCAAGGCAGAGTAGCAGCTGAGATCCATGCTAAGGGTGGTAGAAGCCAATACTCCAGTTTGTACAAGGTTACAAATGCCAGAGGACTTGTCTAGTAGTCAGTGAATACCCCATCCCATCCAGGTAAAACAGAGGGACCAGACTTGCCTTTTAGTTCTCTTTCCTGATGGAGAAGTGAGAAATGTTTCCACTGTGTTCATGTACAAGGAGTCGGGCTCTGGATCTTCATGTTTCACTCCTAGCAGCGAGCAGAGCTGGCTGTAATTCATCACCTAAGACAAGTGAGCTCAGTGAGACAGCATAGCTACAGTCACACATGCTCTTAAAACTCATCCACTGATGCCATAGTAGTTTTCTGGATTTTGCCCCAGTCACCCTCCCCAACAAAAAAAAAAAAAAAAAAAGCAAAGAAACCCCATACCACTCTTCTCTAAAGTACTACTTACAAGTGCACTCTTGCACATCTTTACTTGAAAGTAAATCCATTGAGCTCAACTGCACTTAGTTCCACACAAATATGGATACGAATGAGGCTTTAATAAGTTCAACAAGAGGTTTTGTGGATGGAAATTTTAAGTTTTAAGCAGCGAGTCTGCAAGTTAAGGGCAGGTTTCCAATGAACCTACTTTGGATCAGGTCTGTAAAAGGAAAATATTAAAAAATGGCATTGCTTTTTATTGGTGAATGGTAGTTTTTATTAAGTTCTTAAATATTAGATGGCTTACTGAAGGAAATGTAAAGTTATTTATCATTATGTGGACATCACGTTTTTCCTCCTAGGAAAAGATATACAGTTCTCTTCCCATTTTATTCCTCACAACAATCCTGTGGTGTAGGTTAGTCTGCCAGTCACTGACTGGCCTACAGTCACCCAGTGAGTTTCATGGCTTGAATGGCGATCAGGACACTCGTAATCTAACACTTTATCTACACTAATATAGAGGTTCTAGAAACTTGCAGATTAACTATATTTTTAAATAGTTATGAACTCAATAATCAGCCACCAATAAGAACACACCATTATAATTCTCCACAGTGTCTCCAGGGCCCCAGCACAGCATCACTCCAAGGACCCCAGAGGCATTGTGGGAGTATTAAAACAGCGGCTGTCAGCAAAAGTGCTTTGCTTGCTGCATATAATGGCTGCCAACCAGAGAAGGGTTTTTTCCTAGTTCCCTGTCCAGCAAGAAGCAACTTCTCCATTTCTGTTTTGGTAATGGGAAGTGATGGGAAGAATATTTTCCAGTGATTTTTCCATGGGGGGAAAAATCCATTTTATAAGTTTATTAGTAAAAGGTAAAGGTACCCCTGCCCGTATGGGCCAGTCTTGCCAGACTCTAGGGTTGTGCGCTCATCTCACTCTATAGGCCGGGAGCCAGCGCTGTCCGCAGACACTTCCGGGTCACATGGCCAGCGTGACAAGCTGCATCTGGTGAGCCAGCGCAGCACACGGAACGCCGTTTACCTTCCCGCTGGTAAGCGGTCCCTATTTATCTACTTGCACCCGAGGGTGCTTTCGAACTGCTAGGTTGGTAGGCGCTGGGACCGAACGACGGGAGCGCACCCCGCCGCGGGGATTCGAACCACCGACCATGCGATCGGCAAGTCCTAGGCGCTGAGGTTTTACCCACAGCGCCACCCGCGTCCCTTACAAGTTTATTAGTAACAATGAATAAATGGATGCTAACTACAAACACAGTATTAGGGAAAGTTTGCCAGCTTAATCGTTTTTAACTTTGCCTGCTAAATGCTAGTAAAATAAGCATGCTGAACTAGATCACTTGCTAGCACATCAGAAAGTTTTCCAATGCAGACTGAAAAATTTTCAACACAAATTTGCATAGAACATTTCCCCAGAAGATCATCTTTGTCACCAAGGGGTTCCACTCCAGAAGGTGGGCAGCCTATGACTCCACCAGACTTGGTGCTACCCATCTAACACATTTTACTGTGCTCCATTTCCTTATAGATTTACAGTACAATCCTATAAAATGCAGTCCTGGAGAGTTCAGATACACTGGGACTCTCCCTTTCTCTTTCCCCTCAAAAGTGACTCTACCTCTTCTTTGCCAATTTCTTCATAGCGCTCATCTTCAAATCGTTGTTTCACAGCAGTAAGGGACACCTGCCTATAATCTTTTGGGACATCCTCATGGAAACTGGAAGAGGAAGAGATGGTAAGTACACCCCTTGTTTAGAGTCACTGGATAAATTTAACAGAACCACCAAGCATTACAACAGAACCAATGGCTGCTGAAGTTTCCCTTTAGGTTTCCAAACCTGGCTTCAGACTCCAATTGTACTACTGACAGCCTTGCTCCCAGATCACCATTTTATATTTTATTCTGTGGGCACTGAAAATAGGAAGTGTCAGCAACCCAACTTGTCTTCTGGGAGAGCTTTCCAGCACTCACATTGGCAGCAAAAAGGCTTAAGCAGAGCCTACGGAGGGTAATTAGAAGAAATATCTATGGGTTTCCTTAGACAGAAAGCATTGGTTTCAGCCTGATTAGCTTTGGAATCACATCCCTGGTCTTTGATCCCCAACAGAAGTTTTCAGGACTCACCACCCTATTCCTGTCACTGTAATTTCTTTTAACTGTATTTAGAATTATTTCCAGTTTTTGCAACCCACCCTGGGAGCTGCTGGTAAATTGTGGGTAATAAACTGAAAGATGCAAATACAGTGGTGCCTCGCAAGACGAAAAGAATCCGTTCCGCGAGTCTCTTCGTCTTGCGGGTTTTTTCGTCTTGTGAAGCAAGCCCATTAGCGGTTTAGCGGATTAGTGCTACAGTATTAGCGGCTTAGCGGATCAGCTGATAAGCGGCTTAACGATAAGCTGATAAGCGGCTTAACGATCAGCTGATAAGCGGCTTAACGATCAGCTGTTAAGCGGCTTAGCCATCAGCTGATAAGCGGTTTAGCGGCTTGGGAAAAAGGGGGGGGAAAGCAAAAAAACCCCGCAGGAACTCGCAAGACATTTTCGTCTTGCGAAGCAAGCACATAGGAAATTCGTTTTGCGAAGCACCTCCAAAACGGAAAACCCTTTCGTCTAGCGGGTTTTCCGTCTTGCGAGGCATTCATCTTGCGGGGCACCACTGTAATTATGATAGCAATGCTATCATTATGGGTCTGTCTGCGTGCAACATTTTCAGTCCTCTAAACCCCGGTTTTGAGCCTTGTGCTTGCTTAAGCAATTAGCTACTCCCCCTTTCCTGCAAACCAGCCTGTTTTTACACCTGAGCCCTCCATCTGCAGCTTGCACTTGCCCTCCACTTCAGGAATACAGACCAGCTTCAGGTACTTCTAATCAGAGAAGCCAAAGAGGAAATCTGGACACGGTTCTGCATGCAAAAACATGTACCTTAACCTCTGGGCTCCAGTCCCTCCCTCCTAAGTGGAAGACTAAAATGTATGTTGTTGACACAGCTGAGGATGTGATGAGAAAGGAGGCATCAGCTGGTGCAGGAGGAAACAGAGGGGAATGAGGAGTTAACCCTTTACTATCTGCTTCATTCCCTTAACGAAGAACTGTACAAGCCTGCAGTAAGGAGAGTCGTTCATATCCTATGCAAATCTAGGAGAGCAGAAGATGCTTTTGTGGCCCGGGTGGGCCAGGCTGAGGATAAAACTTTCTAAGCCCCCCACCCCAGCTGTGAACACTACACACACTTTTTAAGTGCCCCAAGGAAAGCACACTCTTGAGCTGGCAATCAGACCAACTCATTACTTCAGATGCTGTCTGTAGGAAGTTCAAATATTATTGAAGCTGCATGTTCCAAGCGTGCCAAGGAGTATTTTGCAACAGCTAGGAAGACTAAGCTATTATGACTAAGCTATTATGACCCACGGTATATACCATTTTTTGTGGATATTCAGTGCACAGGGTATCAGTTCTTCAAGGGAAAACCCTGTGGCTTCACATAACTGGCTTGTCCAAGGATGAGCTGGAGAGAGAGAGAAAAGACATGAACAAAATAACCAGTATTGCTCACTGGTCTCTAACACAGTGTGTTATTTAACCAAATTCTCAAATGAAAGCATTCAACATAGTGACAACCAGTTATGCTCCCAAGTACTCCAATGACCACTGCCTGAGCTCTTTGACTGAAAACTGTTTGCCCAGATCCTAATAAGCCACTTCCATCTCTCCAAACTGAAGCTCTCCCTGTCTTCCTTGCAATCAGTTCAACAACTACAGCAGGAGAACCAGACAAGAGCTAAAATGGGACTATTTCACTGGATATTGTTCCCCAAAAGGTGCCTGAATTAATTCAGCAGGATTGTTACCTTGCTTGTGCAATACTTTGGCCAGCAGCAAGGCCGCTGCAGACAAACGGGCAGGAGAGTATATGCAAAGGCCTGTGTTTAAGAGTGAAAGTTCACAAATGAAGCTGTAGAGATGCACAGTTCTTCTTTCCAATGGGATTATGTTCAGCAGCACTTCCTTGTAGTCCAGAATAGTGGGTATCTTTTAAAAAGTGGCAGAATAGAAGAGGTTACTTAAGGCAGACATACACAGGAACTATGCAACACGGTGTACTGTTCCAGGAACACCCTCTTTGCTAAAGGTTGGCTATTCAATGCAAACAAACAAACTTCTTATTAAAGTCACATGCCTTTTATTATTTACATTTCTATCCCATTTTTGAGGTGAGGGTTACTGGGTTTTTGTCACCAGAGTTTTGGGTACCAGAGTCTGTTAGTGAATATTAGAAACTAATAAATGGTAGTATTTAGATAATATTTAGGATACAATGGGAAAATACAAGCTGCAGAACTGTGCCAGACAAAGAATTCATGGTTAGCTTATACAGTGGTGCCTCGCAAGACGAAATTAATCCGTTCCGCGAGTCTCTTCGTCTTGCGGTTTTTTCGTCTTGCGAAGCACGGCTATTAGCGGCTTAGCGGCTATTAACGGCTTAGCGGCTATTAACGGCTTAGCAACTTAGCGGCTTTAAGAAAAAGGAAACAAACTCGCAAGACGTTTCGTCTTGCAAAGCAAGCCCATAGGGAAATTCGTCTTGCGGAACGACTCAAAAAACACAAAACCCTTTCGTCTAGCGAGTTTTTCGTCTTGCGAGGCATTCGTCTTGCGGGGCACCACTGTACAAACCAGCATGGCTCGGCTAGCTAAGTACCTAGCCATTAAGGGACATTGGCAATGCAAAAGAACTGTTCTCCCCAGAGAGTGGATAGAGACGGAACTGGCAGGTTGGCAAGGCGTTGAAGGGTGCATGATGTCACAGAAAAATGTGTCCTTTTTGAAATCTAAAGGTGTACTGGGAACAAGAAGGAGGAAGTAGGCAGAATTCCATGCAGTGCTAGCTGGATGAGGCTGCACTGGTAGCCATGACTGACTGCTACTTTCAACCAAGGTTGCTGAAGCTAGCAGAGGGGCAATGAGAGACTCTTGGGAGATAATGTTCTACACCTTCCATTGAAGACTCAGGTATACATATGTGTACAATAAACCATCAATCAACTCACTGCCATATCTTTATACATTCCCATATGTACATCAAGAGTTGAAAGTCAGCTGGAAGACAATCAGCCACCCCAACTCAAGCCTCTTGATCCAGCACCATTTTATGCTAAGGGATCATTATGAACACTAACTATTCCCAAAATGTATGCCAGAGCACATTGGTATGGGTGCAGGTACCAAAACAGATAGAAGCAAGGGAAGAATGGAAAAATAGCCAACTATTAATTATGAACTCTTAGTTCAGGAGGCCAAAGGCCTATGTAAGCAAAGCTTTCACCAGCCAGGAGAAGGCCACCAGGAAGGGGACTAAGCAGGTCTCCCTCAGAAGAGTGTTCAGGACATGGGCACAACCACTGAGAATGCTCCATCCAAGCAGAGGAAGTTCTCTCCAAAACTTGGGAGGCAATATTTCAGTCCACAAGAGAACTAGTGAGCAGACCTCAGACTTGTTCAGTCCCTCCCCTCAAATTACAGGGCAGTATGAGTGAGCTGAATGAGTGGTCTCTCAACCCTGCAAGATAATCTGCTTTCCAAAAGTACAGATAATCTAACTATTCATCTTCATCACCATCAGGAATATATCAGGTAAGAGGAAGCCAGGAGCAATACAGAATTACAAGAGGAATATCCCCTAATTTGCAAGGTAGTTCACGGAAAAGGCAAGGTAAAAAGCAGACCAGCATTTATTTAGTCAGCACTGCATTAACGGCAGCTAGATTATAAAGGTTCTCACCATGTCTACAAGCTTACCTTTATCTTTCCTTCCAGGGCAGAAATGATCTCCCCCATCATCCTGACAAGATCTTCATATTTGTATGTGTTGTCTGTTAACCAAACAGCTTCCCGTATTGTCAGAATCTCTTTGCTGATAAAACTGTAACAAAAGATGGATTATCACCAAGGCCCAAACACATAGTGGATCTGTTTACTCATCCAACGCCAGATAGAATGGACAAGTCTCTTTCTCTGTGTGTACACACATTATTTAAAGCAGTTAAACCGGTAGAAGCTGATCTGCTGGTCTGATTTGTAAGGTTACACTGGAGAGCATCTGGGAAACGTGAAGAAATACTTTTAATCTCAAAGCAGGAATGCAAAATACCAGCAGTGGGCATCAGCTCTGTGTGGTCTCCAAATTATAAGGCAAATCAGGGTAGTTTTTCAGGTTTCTGAGTCAGATCACACTGTTGACAAGGCATGTCAAGGTGGATCAAGGATTTCCTAAGCTTCTGAGGGGCAAAGTAGCCTTGGCTGCCCTAAACAATACACAGTAATTGTTTTCCCCACACTGAGAAATTAAACCAAGCAGAGTAAGGAAACAATCATAGCTCAATAAGGGAGGACAGTTCTAACTTTTAATCACAGTTCATTATTTTTCCAGGGCACTCCAATCAGTTAATTTGAGATCTCCACTGTATCTCCCAAAATCAGTTAGGGACAGCACCTCACCTATGACCCTTGGGGCAACAGGTGCTTGCTGGGGGTGTGACATTTTCCACACCCCAGTCTTTCCGGAGGACCCATGCTGCCCCACCTTATGGTTCCATTGTACCCATCCCCAGTGTGGTCTGCCCTGTAGGAGAACAACAGCAGCTGTCATTGTGAAATTGAGCAGGTTCCATATATTCAGAAGGAGTGACATGCCTGCAAATCGCATACAGCTCTGGTAGAAGATGAAGTCACTTTTCCTTTGTTATTAAAAAAATAACATTTTAAAAGTGCCCTGTAGCTAGCAGGGTGGATAAAAATCAATGATTTAAAAAATAATAATAATGGATTTTTTTGTTTGTTTTAAATTGGATTTTTTAAATAAAATACTTTTGGAGGAAAAATCTTTCTAAATATAGTTTTCTATTTAAGTTACATTATAGCCCAAAGGCTATTTATCAGGAAATAAGACTTTGTTTTAAGTATTTCATATCTGCTAAAACTCAGTCTAAGTTTTTTTAAAAAAATGTTTAACCACATCAGTTAACAAACATGGATACATATGCTATGTTATTACTTTAGTTAAATAAAATGTTATTAAGGAAATGATTTTTTTCTCCTTCCAATAAAGTACAGCAGAAAATTGTCCAAATACGAACAGTTAGCTTATTAAACCTCACAATATTTCCATAATTATCTGTCTATGTATTTCTAATAGTATAACCAAATCAGTAATTTGATATAACTGTAAAAACTACTCTGAAATTTTATTCCAAAAGGGAAACCTTCATCTGGTTGCAAATATTAAGATTATACCAGCAAGAATGAGTCTTTCTGTAAAAAAAAAAATGATTTAAATCAAATCTTACTGACTTGTGATTTAAATAGTGATTTAAATTGATTTGATTTAAATCAAATCCACCATGTTAGCTATACTGCTACAACTTTCAGAAAAACTTTGCAGACCATAATTTTGTCCTGTAAGTACAATCCTCATTAAGAAGAGCCAAGCCATCACTACTGCCAATAGTCAAGTTACTCACCGTGTACAAATAACCATGCAAGCAATCCCCAAAAGCTGAAGACAAGCCCGGGATACAGGTCTTATTTTCAAGTACCGGTCCACACACCCTACTGTCATATGGAGACAGAGGCTTGAGAAATCCTTCATGGTGGCCACTTCTACCAGCCAGTCAATCAGAATGTATCTAAACAACAGGAGCAGCCATTTAAAAGCAAGCAGACTATAGCTGAGCTATCAACTTCATTCAACTACAACTACAAATGTCACTTGCTGTTGCTCCAAAAGGAGCTGGGAGCAACATACGACAGAAGAGAAAACAAGACACGGGATGAATAAAACACATGCAAATAACTAGGATATAACACAATGTTCTTTCATTACAAATAATTATAACTAAAAATTGAACATGCTGGGATCCTCGATTGAAGCCACATTTTAATGCAATACTAACAAGAGAATGAAGCACATCCATATTTAGGCTTGGAGGAGTTTTTTACAGGCCAGTAAGTTTTCAATCAAATCTATGAGTGCTTTTTGCCATTTAGAGTGTTGTTGTGGGATGGGGGGGGGGGCAAGCAAAACAATGCCAGATTGGCATGGTCCAAACCACCACTAACTGGAGAGCTTAAATGCTATATCGTAAGTAATTCTCTTTTAAAAGCAGATGACTGTAGCTCAGGGGTGGGGAACCACTGGCACCCTAGATGTTGCTCAACTACAACTCCAGCAAGCATGGCTAATGGTGAGGGATGTTGGGAGTTGTTGTTCAGCAATATCTGGAGGGCCAGAGGTTCCCCACACCCACTCTAGCTAATAGTTGATGTAAGCGCATTAAAGTAGTGGGCAGAAACAATGGGAGGGGGAGATAGATTACGGCTTTCCTTCCACCGAGTATAACACATAGTTGAACCAGACAGAAGTAAACTCAGCTCTTTAGCAGTTTAAAATATCTTTCAATATCTACTAGTTTTTTTTAAAGTTATATATTTGTTCACATGTGTGTCTTTTCCTGTAGGTGGCAGTGCTTCGCCCCCAAAAAAGAGCAATTAAATTCCCAAAAAGAAAACCCACCCTGTAGCAACCTAGCATTCTGCACAGCATGCTATGGAGAACTATAATACAAGCATCTGGCAAAAACAACTTAGCAAGCAGCCTTTTCTGCTTCAGCAAACAATTCCCTCAGCCTGTCCTATGACTCTACCTCATTGTCTCGTTCATTCCCTTCTGAACAGTGAAGATGCTCTGCTTGCTGAGAGGGAGGGAGGCCTGGAAGAGCTGAGACACCATCTCATTGGAGGCTTTTGTTTCCAGCCCTAGTTGGTTTCCATTCCCACAAGCTTTGGCTAGAGCAATCTGTGTAACAGAGAGAAAAAGAACACAAATCAAGAGGGAAAATAACTCATCTCCAGAAAGAGCTAGTTCTGCTTTTTCTGAGACACCAATAATTCAAGTAATAGTTGATGCACTTGGCTTATTTTAATGACACCATCTTCAATATTTCGGGGAAAGCAGGGCTGGGGACAATAACTTGTCCTAAGGGGACCCGCAATAACTAATAATGCCTGCTTTGGTTCTTCCATTCATTCTGCCATCTGCAGGCACCATTTAAAAAACCACCAAAGTACACAATAGAGCATCACTACAAGCACCGTGGGAAATTAAAATAGCAGAAAACTTCTCCCACCCAGTCAATGGTGCCAGGTAAGCTCATTGGCTCAGGATCCCACTGAGCAGCACCATGCTACAGGCACAATCACATCTCGAATCCGCCCTGAGGGGGAAAGAGTTTTAAGTGTGGCCGCATTAGAATCAGCATTAACTGTTCATAATGAAAATAAATTATGGGACCACCTGAACCTCAACTGCTGCCTGAACCCTTATATCCCAGCTGGATCACAGAGGTCATCTGCAGGAGTGTTATTCCCCAAGTTGGCGAGACTCGTGCGACAGCAAATAAGAAACAGAGCATTTAGTATTATTGACCCAATATTGTGGGATACTCTGCCAAGAGGGATTCAGCAGGTACCTTCTGCTTCAACATTGAAAGCAGTTGGACAAAGTGGGGAAAAACAAAGATTCAGGAGTGACAGTCTTACCTGGGCTTCCCAAGAGCCCTTGGCTGCATAATCCCTGAGTTTCCTGAGGCTTTGAAGGTATCTACCAGGGTCTGACATCTACAAGGAGGAATGGAAGCAAAGTAAGATACTGCATATTTAGTGTTATTAACAAACTACCTTCCCTTTCGTACTTCCTATACAGTGGTACCTCGGTTTTCGAACGTCTCCGTTGATGAACATTTCGGTTTTTGAACACTGTAAACCTGGAAGTAAATGCTTCGGTTTTCAAACACACCTCAGAAGTCGAACATGCCACGTGAATTCCGTATTGAGTTTTCGGTTTTCAAACGTTTCGGAACTCGAACGGTCTTCTGGAATGGATTAGGTTCGAAAACCGAGGTACTTGCAAATTTGAGGACGGCTGTTCAGAATTAAACTGGGACTCCCAAAGACACACACCACTTTCTCAGCACTGATACTGTATTTACTTGGGAGATAGACCATGATTATGCACTTTTATTCTATCAAGGTTGTCATCACGCTCAGCCACCCACAAATGTACACATCGGCTCTCAAAGGGAGAGTTCTTCCAAGCACCCAACAACATCCAAATCCAAGCCATGCTACTCCCTTCATTCCATTCTTCTCAACATCAGCTGTCTGAGTAGAGTTTTTTGTCTCCTACCAGCAGCTATAAGACAACCATCTTTTGCCTGGCTCTTCAAGCCTTGTTTACCTGCCAGTATGATATTAGTGTCATATATACTCACAGAAGCTTTTCTGTTATTTTCCCAGAGGAGGTAGGCGCTGTGCAAGCATCCCTGCTTCGATGAGTTCTCAAACATTTCTAGAGCTTCTTTTCTTTTCTCTTCATCCTGTGAATAAGGGTGACATTTATTTATCCCCAACTATTCAGTTACGCCCGCAGACAAAGCCACTGAGATCCAGTGTTCTCTATAATGGTCTCAGCTGCAAGCCCCTCCAAGGTTTAATGATTCCAATAACTGAGAAGCCTACAGTTTGGGGGAAACTGCAGCCTAAATAAGTTGGTGAGCAGCATGCAAGGAAATGCAAGAAGCCCCTGCTTCCTGCCTTCCAAACCATTGTGCAAGCTTTAACTCAATAGCGTGATCCTATACGTGCCTGCTTAGAAGTCTCATTGAGTCCCAGGCAAGTGGGTTTAAGATTGTAGCCTCAGAAGCATAAAAGAAGAGAAAAAAGTACATTTATGTTTAGAGACTGTGCAAGATTGTCTCTCTTTATTATCTGTGCAAGTGTTTCCTATCTGTAGAAAAGATATCTAAAAAACCCCAGTCTGGAACAAGACAAAATTGGTTGTTCTAATCTTTCATATTTGATCTTACTAAGCGTAAACATTACATGGTTTATATCATGATCCAACACTTTCATTTCCGGCTGCATAGTCCATTTATATCCCACCACCACCACCACACCCACTGTCCGCCTAAAATGACAAAAACAAATATCAGTTTACCAAGAAAACAAACTTAACCAGTCAAAACCATTTAAGAATAAGATACAGATTCAACTGGCTACAGCAATCAACAGACACTCTGTTAACATGGCTTGAGTAGTTGCAAATACAAAGTCCCACAATAGATTTGGTAAATTTGGCATGGTAGGACAGTCACAATGGGGGTGGGGAACTTACCTCAAAGAGATTTAGGACTTTAGCTAGGCAATACAGAATTGATCCTCTCTGAGCCTAAAAGAAATGGAGAAGGGTATATTTGTTATAAAGAGAAGCCAAGTAGCAAGCATCTTCAAAGTTGCCCTACATAAGTTTTCCTTCAAACTTCCAAAGTCTGGTGGATCCCTGAACTCATCACTTTTGTAACATAACATGAGATCAGTTTGCCTACCAGATCCCCTTACCCCAACATGTGCCCAGTCAACCATTTGATCGGTGGAACTGGCGCCACTACACATCATACCCATCCCATATTTGTAATAAATATATCATTAAGGGTGGCAGCACTTGCACTTGGGAACACTCTGCCTATTGAAATCAAGGAGGCGCCTTCAATGTACAGTGGTACCTCGGGTTAAGTGCCGTATTTTTTGCACCATAACACTCACTTTTTTCCTCCTAGAAAGTAAGGGGAAATGTCTGTGCATGTTATGGAGGAAATGCCTACAGGTGGCATGCCTACGGATTTTCCTCCTCTAAAACTACGTGCGTGTTATGGTCGGGTGCGTGTTATAGAGCGAAAAATACGGTACTTAATTCGTTCCAGAGGTCCGTACTTAACCTGAAACTGTTCTTAACCTGAAGCACCACTTTAGCTAATGGGGCTTCCTGCTGCTGCCGCGCTGCCAGAGCCCGATTTCTGTTCTCATCCTGAAGCAAAGTTCTTAACCTGAAGCACTATTTCTGGGTTAGCGGAGTCTGTAACCTGAAGCGTATGTAACCCGAGGTACCACTGTACTCTTTTCAGTGCCTGCTAAAAACATTCTTTTTTACACAAGCCTACCCAAATGCTTAGAAAGTTAAGGTAATTTTGATTTGTTTAAGCATTTTAACTTTCGTATGTTTTTAAGTATGGTTGCAATTTTTTTATCTTTTTGCAAACCGCTTGGAGGCTGTTTTTATTTTTTTATTTTTACAAACAAATGGCATATAAATTTCATGGAATAAATAAATAATCCAGAAATACACTTAAGTCAAGGAGCTATTTTGCGGAATCAAGCAACAATGTTTGCAGTAAGTTACCTGAACTAGCGGGGGACAGCAAAAAGAAAGCAGGTTTTTCTCTTACTAATTCCTACTCTTTTAGTAACCACTTGTTGGTGAAGCAGATCACTTCCTTTCAGGTTTTACTCCCTTCTTCCTCCTCCAGTTCACTCAATGTGAGCTACCATGTGGTAGTGTTACCTTCTTGGCTCCATATCAGCTACAAGCAAAACGTATACTTAGAATGGCTTTGTTTGCCATGACTAATAAACCTTGAGTTTTATTTATCCTTTCAACCAGCAGTCTTACCAGACTATTTCTGAACACCGCTGCAATATGTTCACCAAACTCCCAACACTGATGAAGGGGAACAGCATGCCTGCTCAGGGAGCACGTAGGATCAGTTCTTAAGAAGTTCTAATGCAGAGTCTGAGCAACTCAAAGAAAATTGGAAGGAGCGGGTGAGGCCCCTCATGGCATCAGTGGGGTGCCTAGACTTCATTAAGAGGAAACTATTAACTGGCTCAGGAAAGAAAGAGGAACTGCAGGACCTGGGGGGATTTGGAGAAGCAGCAACTGGGGCATGTTCACGGTTCATGGGCAGGAAGAGCTAGTGTTTAAGGATGCAATCATATACACACTTATCTGGGAGTTAGCCCCACTGAAATCCATGTGTCTTATTTCTCCAAGTAGATGTACCATATTTTTCGCTCTATAGGACGCACTTTTCCCCCTCCAAAAATAAAGGGGAAATGTGTGTGCGTCCTATGGAGCGAATGCAGGCTCCTTGGCTTCAGTGATAGCAACGCGAAGCCTCTGAAGCGCAGAGTGAGCGCTCCCTCCGCGCTCCGGAGGCTTTGCATTGCTTTCGCTGAAGCCTGGAGACCAAGAGGGGTTGGTCCATGAAGCCTTTGGGGCGCAGTGCGAGTTTCCGCATAAATCCTTTCGCATAAATCCTTTCGCTGAAGCCAGGGGAGCAAGACTCTCCTGGCTTCAGCAGAGAGGGAGAGCTGCGCAGCGCCCCTTCAGTGAAGCGGGAGGAGAAATGGAAGGGGCTCCGTTTCTCCTGCCGCTTCGCTGAAGGGGCACTGAGCAGAGAGGGGGATAATTTTTTTCCCTTGTTCTCCCCCTCTAAAACAAGGTGCGTCCTATAGAGCGAAAAATACGATATACAGGATTGCACTGCAAGTTAGTTTGCTTTTTTCCTGCTACCAATGGAAAGTGGGGACCAACGATGTATATCTTCCTGATATTTGAACTGAGCCCTGTCTAGGCTTTACAGATTTTCACAGGCCATTTTCATAGTGGCTAGAAACATGACTTTAAAAAAAAAAAAGGAAATAATATTCTCAGGATGCTCTGTTGTATGGCTTGCAAACTCCACCCCCTACCCTCAGAAAGTAAGCACTCAGGAAAATTAAGATGCTGTGTCTTTGGCTAGAATGATTAATCTTTGCCTCTGCAACAGAAGCTTAAGTCTAAGGTAAGTCTTAGGTGAAAGAGAGATCTAAGTCTGAAAGCTACAAAATAAGCCAGTTTACTTTTTGCTGCTGACACTCTGCTTTGAGGCTCTCGTAGACCACAGCTTTACAGCAGCTTCCACTCAGAGACCAAGGTGGGCGAATGAAAAGCCAGACAAAGGGGGCTGCGAAGGTGTTCAGACGTTCTGCCAGGCTGAAGAAGCGAGATGCTTTTAACCCATTCACTTCTGCACGACCCTCATCAGAGACTGATACTGAAGGAGTAGAAAGGGAAAGTTTTCTTGAAACATGAATTGTAGCAAAGCTTGGTTCTCTATACTACTACTCCTGTCTCTATGCAAGCTGAAAATCTGGCGGTAAATGTCAGAAGACCTACTATCCTTGCAACCCTTTTTCTACCTGGCCTGGGAGAGCAGGATCTGACTGACTCCAGGTACAAAAGCTGAGACTGCTAAACAGGCTCTTGGGCTGGGTGTTTTGTTGTGGTGGGGCTGTTTATTTTAGATCTTGTTGGGATTTATGTGGAAATTACTAAGTTTGGATGTGTATTTTTTAATGTTGTGTTTATTCCAACACTGGTTCCGGCCTGGTGGAATGCTCTGTCTCTTGAGACCAGGGCCCTGCGGGATCTGATCTCTTTCCGCAGGGCCTGTAAGACAGAGTTGTTCCACCTGGCCTTTGGCTCAGAATCAGTTTGATTCCCTCCCCCTTTTTCTTTTTCCTTTCTCCTCCTATGATGAGATTGTTCCCTAATTGTTTTAATGTTGTATCTTAATCTTTTAAATTGTATTTTAATCAACTTGTTTTTATTATTGGTTGTTAGCCGCCCTGAGCCCGGTCTTGGCTGGGGAGGGCAGGGTATAAATAAAAATTTATTATTATTATGATTGTGTATGACTGCTTTTGTTATGCTGTGGTTATGTGCTTTTTCCATGTTGTAAGCCGCCTTGAGCATGGTTTGAACTGTGGAAAGGTGGCATACAAATTAAATCATGTACGTATGTACGAAATTACCGTACATAAAACAGTGCACGTAAAGGACCAACACACCATGCAAATAGGCAACGTCAAAATGGAAAGAGAGGCACCTATTCAAGTGTTGCTGCCATTCAGAACATAAGAAGAGCCCTGCTGGATCAGGTCAATGGCCCATCAAGGCCAGAAGCCTCTTCACACTACAGCAAACCGGATGCCTATAGAAAGCCCAAAAGCAGGAGCTGAGTGGAACAGCACTACTCTGCCCACCTGGTTCCCAGCAACTGGTATTCAGAGACACAATGCCTCCAACAGTGGAGGGAGAACATAGCCGTTGGGGCTAGTAGCCTTCAATAGCCTTGGCCTCCATGAATTTCTCTCTCCACTTTTAAACCATCCAAGCTGGTGGCCATAAATTCAACCATCCAAGCTGGTGGCCAAACAACTCTTAGCAAACACAGTACAGAAAGGGAAAGTTCCCTTGATATGAAAATTGCAAGACCAGCTTTTAGGACTATATATAGCCAAGTCTACAGAACCCTACTGCCAACTTCTTACCCTCTAGCTTATTGCTGGGGAACCTGTGGTCCTCCAGAGGCTGGATTCCAACTCCCATCATTAGCAACAACGGGCGGGGGGGGGGGGCAGGGGCGTAGGCTTCCCCCTCCTGCGGCAGTTATACCATACTCCCAAATATTTTCCATGCATGCATTTCCACGTATACCCATGACTTACAGCCTTCATTGTAGAGGTAGGCAATGCCCAGCTTCACAGCAGATTCAAAGTTACCCTTTTCTGCAGCCCTGCACAAATATAGAGAATTTTATTGGGGGGGGGGGAATACAGGTTTCTGAAAATTCAGGATTTTACCAAACACAGCTTAGATTCAATTCAGAAATTGGTGATACAATTGTCACTTATTCCACTGCTTGCTAAATAACCTTCCTGAGAATGCATTTTATGTGCCAGCTTCTGTTCTCTGCCTAACAAAGACAGTGAGTTTCAGTAAAACCTGGTGAGAGATCTGAGTAACTGTTGGATTTGTGTTTTGAAAGACAGGGATTGCCCATTGCTTCTTTGACCCAGAATCGTATGTGTCCATCTGAGACCAGTAGCACCTGACAGAGACCAGTCAAGTCTGCCACCTTTATTTTGATACACACCTTCTCTCTACAACATCCAGCTAAGTATCTGTTCTCAGTCTTCCCCTCCTTTGTGTTAACATCAAGGCTGATCACTATTTTATGACATTTTGGTTGGTCCTAATAAAGGTACTATCCAACTGAGGTCTTGGATTTTTCCTCCATGTGGCCCAACACAGCTTCCTTTGATTTGTATGTGTGTGAACTGACATCCAACCTGCAACACATCACCACTGCCCATAAGACAAAGCAGGGGCAGATTTTAGTATGGCTGCACTCTCCATGTTTCCTCACTGTAAACTCAAAATACAGGTAGAAAGATTAGACCTTCTGCAGTAAGAGGATGATACCCCCAGCCTCCAATTAAACAACATGAAAGCACTAGATATTTACTGTATTTATACTGCAAAGAGATGGATGCAGTGTATTTTGTCTTAGACGCTCAAAGAACAAATGGATTCTACCCATTGTAGGGGGCGGGGAGAAATCCCTCTATCTCCGAAGACAATAGTACATATTTTACCAGAGTATCCTAGAGAATGGATTGATTCATTTTTGTATTATGGATGAATGCCAATACGCTGTTTGCAGTGAAATACAAAGCGGTATTTGTCCATCAAAACATAATAGCCTCCAAAATATAGGTAGGCAAGAAGTTCCACACAGAGGGTGCCACTCCTCAGGTCCTTTTCTTGCATTACTCCAGCAGTTTGCAAAAAAGATTAGCTGAAATATCTGCTTTTTCCAGAGAAAGAGATCTCAATTTAAGGCTCTGATTTAAAGGGCAGACAAGCACACAGAGCTCTCGAATAGCGCAGTTCATGGCTGAATAGTTGACCACCACCCCCTGAAAATAATAAGTGTCTGATCTTTGAACATCTAATTCTCCTTAATCTTGAGGTTTCTAAAATTGGTAGGAGTTACCTTTCAAACATTTTCAAGTTGCTGGGAGAAGGCCACACATCTTGAAAACTTGCACAGGCCCAAACACTAGCATGATTATCTACAAGGTACTTAAGATGAGAGTGAACCTAGAAGAGAGACAAGCAGGTAATTACAACAAAAGGGCTTCAAAATGGCCCTGCTCACGGTCAATTAACCCAAAGACGGTGGCACAGCATTACACTTTCCTTTTTCAAGCAATGAGGTCCAAGCTAGATATTATATATCAGGCGCTGTCAGCATGGTGCCCGTGAGCACAGTGGTGCCCTTGAAGTCTTTCCCTGGCACCCCTCCCACCCACTGCCCCCTAACTCGTTAGGTGGTGACGACTGTTACCTTTTTTCTTCCTTGAAAGGTTCATAAAACTAAAAAAGGAAGTTGGAAGAATGACACTCTTTCCCACTTTCTCTCCCAGCTCTATGTGCTTTTCAAAGCTCAGATTAATTCTACTGGATTTCCTGGAAACTGCATGTGCAAATACTCAGAAATCCAAATATGCCTGTGGGTCTAAAAGGGCTGGCGACCCCTGTGTGAAATGCATGCATTAAAATGTGCTTGTCTTTTCTGTAAAGGAGAAGGCAGACAATCAGGACTGTGGCATGTAGGGAGGGGGAATCAAACCTCCTCTATGCAATGCTGTGGGCAAACATTGCTCCCTCACTCCAACTCTGTTACTTCCTGTGAAGGGTGAGCTGTTAACCATATTCCCATAGGACCCTCGCCACCATATAAACGAAGCATTAACACTTAATTTACAGTATGAACTGATCTAGCCCTGAAAGCTGAAGACGTTCCAGCTTCCAAAAAACTATTACATAACTCCAGAGCCCCAACAGATGTTAAAATCCTAATATGAGGACTCAACTTTGCTGTGACTCCAAAAGACAGAGCAATCCACAACAGACTTTACTTGGGGAACATGCAGATACCCAAGTGTCAGTAATAACAGGTGGCCAGAGCATATAACATTGATAGTGTACCATCTGCACTGGCTGTCAGTGGGTTTCTTAAACCAACTTAAAGGGCTCGTTTTAATGGTTAAAAGCCCCAAACGGCTTGGGTCCAAGTTATCTGGAGAACAACCTCCACCCATACTAGTCTGGTTGTAGAAAGAGAAGAAGGAGGAAAAGCTTTACTCCAACTCCCATCAGCTTCAGCCAGCATGGTCAATGGTCTGGACTGATCAGAGCTGTAGTCCAACAATATCTGGAGATCCTCAGGCTTCCCCAGCTCCAGGCTGACCATTTAGGATTCATTTTTCCTGTCTTTTAATGATTTTATTGTTAGACAGCATTATATTTTAATCACATGCTGCCTTGGGAGGATTCTGTAAAGCTATGCTAAATAAATTACGGTATTTTTCCATATATTGGACGAGGTTTTTTTGACACAAAAATCATGTCAAAAAACTGGGGTCATCCAATACACGGATAGTGGCACGGGAGGGAGATGCCGCTGCGAGCGGGAGCGATGGCTGGCGGCGCACAGCTCCCCCCATGCTGCTGCGCATGGGAAGCTTTCCCTGGATCGTTTCCTGTGTGCAGCGGCATGGGGAAGGTGCCCTCTGGCCAACTGGCTGGAGCGCAACTTCCCTCGAGGGAAAGACTCTCTACCTGCATGCAGGAAATGATCTTGGGAGTGTTTCCTGCCCACAGCTGTGGGGGGGGGGAGAGGCTCAACAACTTTGGGCCATCTCCCCTCATTTTCTTAAAACTGAGTCCCCCAAAATGGGGGGTGGGGTGTCTTATACATGGGGGCATCTAATAGATGGAAAAGTACGGTAGTATTCCTGCAGGGGTTAAACTTACAGCTCGGAGGGAAAGGATGTCTTCAGCAGGCAGCCCCTTAAGAACATGAAACAGAACATCTTCCGGGAGGCACAACAGCGTCAGGACTCTGGGTCTCTTCCTCATTCTTCGCTTCGAAGGGACAGAGAAGCACCTGGAGCACCTGCAGTGGGTCACTAAAGCAAGCACAAGGTATTTCATCAGACAAGAGGTGCAAACATAGAGGCATGCATCAGAATAAAAATCAGCACGTCTGTGGCTGGCAGTACATTTTGTGCTCTCCTGCAAAGAGGGAGGACAGAAAAGACCACATCACAGCTTGTTCCAGCTGGACTCTATGCACACAAGTTCATTTATGATAAACCACCCTGTGGGAAGGGTGCTAAATGGCTCTTTATATACCAGTATTGTTTGTTGCTTGTTTTAATAATGTAGCTTAATGTTTGGCAAAACGTTTGGGAGGATTTGTATGCGAAAACGTTTTGATTTTTGTTTAATGACTTAATATTTGTTTTCAGCTTTTCCAACAACAGTGCTGAGCCCAAAGCTCAAAACAGCAACATCAGTATTAAAAATTACAAACACTGCAATCCTATTAAAAAACATATAAATAATGCAAAAACCAAAAGAATTATGTGGCAAACGATACAGCCAAGTACAAACTGATAGTGATTCAAAATATCATAAATAGCTACTGAGCACCAGCTCTGTGCCAGTTGATAAAAGCAGTAAATAAAGGTGGGATATAAATACTACTACTAATAATGCAACATATTTCATCGACTCAGCTGGCTGTAGAAATGTTTAGGGTGAGATATTAGGACAAATAAGGATCAGTATTCTTAGCCTGGGATATCAGTAACGTGTAATCCCCAAAACTGTTTGGCTGGTGATTTGTAGAGTAGATCACTCCATTCACACATGCTTAAGAATGTGCTGCACATTTAAAGGATATCAACTCAAGAGAATTACAGTGCAGTCTTATATAGGTTCACTCAGAAGTTAAGCCACATTGAGTTCAAGGGAAGTTACTCCCAGGTTTAAGAGATAGTGTGGTGTAGTGGTTAGAGTGTTGGACTAATATCTGGGGGTCAAGGGTTCCTAGTACCCACTCAGCCATGAAGCACATTGGGTGACTTTTCTTAGCCTAACAGACCTCACAGAATTGCTATGTGGATAAAATGGAGGGAGGGAGAACCAGGCATGCCAGCTTGATCTCGCTGGAGCAGAGGTGCACAACCTGCAGCCCTCCAGATGTCACTGGACTACACCTCCCATCACCCCTGATCACTGGCTATGCTGGCTGGGGCTGGTGGGAGTTGTAGTCCAGAAACATCTGGAGGGCTGCAGGTTGCGCACTTTCTTTGGAGAAAAGGTGGGATATAAATGTAATAAATACGTGCATACAGGATTGCAACTTCAAGCATCTCTTGCACCATCCCATTTAAATCAATGGGATCTGAAACATGGAATGGCACTGTAATGCCATTTCTTACTTTCGTAAATAACCATAGACAAGCAAATCAAAATGTTGCAGAATGTATGAATGGCACAAAGAAAAATTGCATAATTATACCATTGGGAGTCAAAATGTAGCACCCACCTGTAGAAGCAGAAGTGGTTACTTTGCCTGCCAAACTATCCTAATTCTGTATGAAGTTAATAGATATATGCTTTTATACAAAAAGCAAAATATTGATTTAAAAAACTAATCCACTTTAAGAGAAGCTGTTGATAGAAGTTTCCTCTTCTTTTTGATAACAATTTTAAGTTATTCATGTAACCTGCATAAATATCAGTACAAAAATTGATCTGTTGTTTTTTGTCTATGAAGTGTAAAAACTGTTGCCCAATTAAAATAGAATGTTGTACTTCTGACCCACAAAACACAAGAGAATTAGAACAATTCTCTTTAAAATTGCTTTAAAGAACCCAGGCATTTTTCGATTACCATTTTTCAGACAGAATATCCTACCCCAACACTTTTGCCTCCTAATAATAATCCTGGCTTTTAAAACTACCCATTGCTTTTGGGTCCGATGCGGGGGATCCAAGGGACCGCAACAAGCACGAAGTATTCTGCAATTGTGTTTCATTCACATGAAAAAGCCTCAAGCCAATCCCCAGCCTCTGCATTCAACTCCTGCCCCACTATAGGCTCCGCTTCCTTTTTAAATCCACCCGCCCAAATTACCGAGGCGCCCTCTCCTTGAGATTTACATTTTTTTAAAAAAAATAAACCCCGGTTTCGTTTTGTTTTCGGCAAAAACAGGAGAGAAAGGTCGGGAAAGAAACCTGAACGTGTGAAGCAGGTCCCACTTAGACTGCCTAAAAACAAATTGCTTTGCAACGCACAGCCTGCGCGAACTGTTGAAGCAGTTTGAAGTTTTTACTAGCTGAGCTAGCAAAACAGAAGCCATTTGGGGACAATTCTTTCACACATGGAAGGCGAGGTTAAAATAAACAGTTAACTAGCAGTCCCCACTTTCTATTAGCCTAGATACCTTTCCACCCCATTCATATTTTATCCATCATTCCAAAATTTATGTGCCTAGGACTTCCGGTGTCTCAATAGAAAGTATGTACAATATAAATGAAGCCAATTCAGATTCATGAAGTGTTATCCTAAATTGGCAGACATATATAATATGCATATATATGGGACAGGGGGCGAGCTGGCTAGAACCCGGAATGAGAATTACTTGGAACTAAGCCTCACTTCCATTCTGAAGGAAATCAGCCCTGAGTGCTCACTGGAAGGACAGATTCTGAAGGTGAGGCTCCAATACTTTGGCCACCCCATGAGAAGAGAAGACTCCCTGGAAAAGACCCTGATGTTGGGAAAGATGGAGGGCACAAGGAGAAGGGGACGACAGAGGACGAGATGGTTGGATAGTGTTTTCGAAGCTAGGAACATGAGTTTGACCAAGCTGCGGGAGGCAGTGGAAGACAGGAGTGCCTGGCGTGCTCTGGTCCAGGGGGTCACGAAGAGTCGGACACGACTAAACGACTAAACAACAGCAAGCCTCACTTATTTTCTTCTAAATAAGGGCTGGCTCCCTTATGCAACAGGATTTCTGAGTAAGGACTGAACTGCTAATCAAGCTCTAAAACTAATAGGACTTAATTAGGCCCGGAACTAGTATCCTGTCATATATATCAGTGGGTCCATTTTAAGCATAGCTGTCTTGATCCAATCCTGCGTTAGTATAGAACTGAAGCCTTTAACCATACGATCATATGTTAAACCTGCTAAGAAGTACGGACCACTAGAGTAAAAGGGATTTACTTCTCTAGTAGTAGTATTTTGGGCTGCACCTCTTTCAACGCTTACATAGGAGAAATCCCCCTTCAGCAGAGAGGGGGCATTATTTTCCTGGCACTACTAACCAGGATTTTGGCTCAGTAGCTCACAGGTAATCGCTATGGATAAATCCCAGAGATTGTGACCAACTCCTCATTCATTATTAGTTACTAATTGGACCCCCAAACCCCAATTTACACTGGAGCAAAATGGAGGGAACATACAGGTTTGCTCAGCCAGATCTACGGAGCAGCCCCGTTTAAAGACACCCACCCACCCGCAAAGGCTACCCAGGCCTGGCGCCCCGGGGATGGGCACTCACCACCCGCTTTCATCCCGCTGGTACGCCTGTATCTTCGGGGAGCGCAGAGTAGCGCGGATCTACCGCCAAGTAGCTAATTCGTAGTAAGCGCCAATACGGCGAGTGGGAGGAGTCCCAATTAATCCCGCCCCTTCCCACTCAAACTCTAATTCAGCAAAAAGAAAGCGCCTTCCTTTCAAGCCTAAGCCCCGCCCCGCCTGCGAACGGACTAACCAATCGGCTGCGAAAGCGCAAAACCTGAGTCCGAACCCCGCCTTTTCCTTCCTTTCTTTTAAATCCCCCGCTCCCCGTGCATCACGCCTAGCAACCGCGCGCCCACTTTTTCAAACCCATCCGGGCTTGTGATTGGATAGTGGGCGGAGCAAAGAACATGGTTGGGCAGGGACCGGGAAGCCGGCGTTTGCAGAGGCCGCGGGATGGTCATTGGACCAGCCGCGATGCAGATTCGAATTGGGGGGCGGTTGACGGTTCGAAGGCCTCGCCGTGAATTGCGTTGGGGCGCAGGCGCAAATAGAGGGAGCGCCGCTTCGAAATGCCGCATCGGCCGCGGGCGCTACGTAAGCAGTCCTACGCCATCGTCGCAGACTCGAATAAATGCGTTGTAGCCTAGGTCGGTTATACACATTGAAATCAGTGGACCTGAGTAAGACATGTCCACTAATTTTAATGGATCTAACCTTGGATATAATCCATAGTTTTTGCCGCCTCACGTGATATTTAGTAAGTTCTATATATATTTAGTGCGTTCTATATACACGTAGATAAAAACAACAACCTACTGATATATAAGTATGTAAAGCCCTTAACAGCCTGGGATCAGTTCACTTGTGAGATTGCTTTACCTCAGATGTGTCCACTTGATTTCTTCAAGCTGCAGAATTGGCAGAGGTGTCAAGTGATATACTTTGGAACTGGCTGCATCTTGACATCAAGGAGCCTTCGCTTTTCTCTCTCTCTCTCTCTCTCTCTCTCTTTGAAGCCTAATAAAAACATATTTCTTTAAGCAAGCCTATCCAGGCACATAGAATGTTGACACAGGTTTTAATGCATTGTTTACGTTGATTTTAATTATCTGAATGCTTTAAATAGTTTATAACTTTTTTACTGATGATTTTGTTGTTTCATCCTTTTTTGTAAGTCAAGCAATATATACACCTTCCGAAATAAATATGTAATAATGATAGTAATAAGTGAAGCTTCTGAGTAGGACTGCACAACACTGTACATCTGGAGTAATAAACCTCCGCCCTAGCTTGCTACTGACAAATTAATGACAGCAAACGTTGCAGCCTTTTAATCTCTCGTTGAGAAGGATAGTGTGACTGAAGGATGTTAGTTGAATAATAGGTGTGTAAAAACAAGGAGTCCTGCAGGAAAGGTGAACAAATTACGGCACAGCCTCAGAGATCTGAGTGTGGGCTGGGTTCTTTTGTGTGTGTTTTTTTTGCTACAGTAGACTAGCACGGTGAAATATACTCAGAGTCGCAAAGTGATTTCATGCTCTTTATTCAGCTCATAGTGGTGAGGAGGAATGAATGAATGTCCCCTCAAAGTATCTGCTTTATATACATTATTTACACAATGGGCTGCACATGATTGGCTAATTCCGTAATTCTACTGTAAGCCAATCAGGTTGTGGATTCACTTCTATCTGGAGCATGATTGGGTGGTTCCTGCCAACCAATCATACTGCTGCATTGATCTAGGACCAATCAGACTGCTGCATTTTGGATCCTATTGTTCTAGGACCAATCAGACTGCTGCATTTTGGATCCTATTCAACTCAGTACATAACACATGGCTACCACTATGGAAAGTAAAATGGGGTGGTACAAATCAGACTTTGGCCACATTCACACCATACACTTAAGGCACCCCAGTACCTCCTCCCAGGGAATTCTGGGAATGGTAGCTCTGATAGGGGAATAGGAGTCTCCTAACAAAGCTCTGCACCCTTAGCAAACTACAGCTCCCAGGATTCTTTGGGGGAAGCCATTATGGTTTAAAGCTCTTTAGATGTATGGTGTAAATGAGGACTCTGTGTGAGTGTTTATGTGGGTCACATTTCTGAATGGTTTCTGGTTGTTTATAATATTTATATCTTCAGCAAAATAAAAAATAAAAATAAGTCTCCAAACAGTTTACACAGTGAAACTTGGCAACAATTAAAATAGCATTAACATCCCTTTACTGTAAATTTTCTGCTACAGTTTATGTTCCGCTCACTTCCTTGAACAGAATGTTCCTCATGTCATGTAGGCCACACTAGACAGATGATATCAGCAGCAAATCCCAACTCTCTCGCCTGTCCTTAAAAGGAGGCTGTTGCGGGGAGCGATTTAATGATCAATCCCTCTCCCCAGGGAACACTGAAAATTGTAGCTTTTGGATCTCCTAACAATTCTCAGCATCCTTTACAAACTACAGCTCCCAGGAGTCTTTGGGGGAAGTCATGACTTTAAAGTGGTATCATAGTGCTTTAAATGTATGGTGTAACTATGGCCTAAGTTTGTGGGGGGGGGTCCCCCTGCCCTCCAGAACATAGGAAATTGTCTTATACTGAGGCAGACAGCACACCATCCAAAATTTCTGCAATGAAAATAGGGATGTCCCATTCCATAATGATAATTTTACTATTTATATTTGACACATCTTACTGGGTTGCCCTAGCCGCTCTGGGCAGCTTCAAACATAATAAAAATTACCATATTTTTTGCTCTTTAAGACTCACTTTTTCCCTCCTAAAAAGTAAGGGGAAATGTGTGTGCGTCTTATGGAGCAAATGCAGGCTGCGCAACTATCCCAGAAGCCAGAACAGCAAGAGGGATTGCTGCTTTCACTGCGCAGCGATCCCTCTTGCTGTTCTGGCTTCTGAGATTCAGAATATTTTTTTTCTTGTTTTCCTCCTCCAAAAACTAGGTGCGTCTTGTGGTCTGGTGCATCTTATAGAATGAAAAATACGGTAATCATTGAAAAAACTTTCCTATACAGAGCTGCCTTCAGATGGCTCGGGGGTGGAATAACACCATACCCTGCAACATTTCTCCAATGAAAATAGGGACAACCTAAGGAAAAAGGGTACATTCTGAGATCAAATCAGAAACCAGGACTGCTTCCCTAAATCAGGGACATCCCTGGAAAATAGGGACACTTGGAGGGTCTGAGATGGTCTGCAGACCCTTGGTTCATCTAGCTCAGTAATGTCTACACTGTCTGGCAGCAACTCTCCAGGTTTCAGACAGGGTTCTCTCCAGTGCTTTTTTCCTCACCATGAAATTGTTACACGAAATGCCACACTTTTTAACAACAACAACAAAAGGTGCCAATACTGTGTACCCTTGAGTACCCTCTGAAAAAAACCCACTGGTTCTCTCCCAGCCCTACCAGAAGATGCCAAGGATTGAACCTGAAACCTTCTGCATACAAAGCAGATGTACTGTCACTGCACTATAGTCCTACCCCAAAGAGTGAATGTTCAATCCTGCGAGCTGTCTGCATCAGGTGGTACAATACTGACACAGGTTTGCCACCTCACAGAAAACTAGGTTTATGTTAGCGCACACATTCATCTGTGAGTCACCAAGTGCTGAGTAACCAAGTGACATTTTATATATATATATATATATATATATATATATATATATATATGGTGAAATTATTCCTAAGTGTCAATCTTGGCTCTTCCCTGTCCCTATGGCCTGTGCTGTGAAAGAGAGAGAAGCTCTCCAGTCAGTCTCCAAATTACAGGCTCTCATTTCCAATAAGACCCTTCATTTTAGAGAATGCCAAGGTCCTGTTATCTGCCACTATTGCACTACCGTGATTCAGTGGTCTGACAGTACAAAAGCTATGGCCCGATGTGGGGGTGGACAGTTTAACTTTGACAGGAATACAACCTCCTTCACATGGCCTAGATGGAAATTGTATTTACAGAGTATGAGCGATGTTCTAGTGCCTCACAGATAACAGGGCCTAAATCTTTCGTAACAATTCAGTTCAAGGCAAAAAGAGATATGATGAAGGAAATCAGTGTTTTAACTCTTTCCCTGGTTAAAATTGTCCCCTCTCCCTATATGAAGCTGCTACTAGTCCTACAGGGGCAATTCAGGAACCTGCATTTTAATACAATTTTTTTTTAAGTGCAAAGATCCAGTCATGGATGCCATATTTGTTTTGGCCATTTAGATATTCTTTCAAATGCATTCAACTAGGTTTTACTCAGAGTAAATCAATAGACCCAACTTAGCTATGTTCATTAGTCTGGTCACCTAAACACATACACACACCCCTCCCTCACCAATGCCTCTTATAAAATATTCCAACCATTTGGTTTTGGTTTAGCTGATAATTGAGGAGACGTAGTTTCCTCAGTAAGAAGGCTGCTGTGATGATAAAATTTAGAGGACTTCAACTGGTGAGAAGACTGTGGGACTTGTTGGCAATTTTGGTTCAAATATCCACTCAACCACTAGGTGTTCTTCTCATGTGAAATAGCCACACAGGGTTTACCGTGTGTGAAAATAACACAATGTAGGGGAATCACGCCACTTCTTAATCTTTGGGAGATGGGTAGGATAAAAATATATTAACTACAAGTAATTTGAATGAATATGTTATGAATCAAAATGATTCCCAATTTACTTAGGCCCAATTTTTACTATATAGCTAAAGCAGTAATGATGGCTTCCCTCAAAGAATCCTGGGAACTGTAGTTTGTTGAGAGTGCTAAGAGTTGCTAGGAGACTCCTATTCCCTTCCCAGAGCTAATTTCCAGAGTAGTTTAACAACCAATCCCTATTTCCAGGGAGTTCTTGCCCAAATAAATTGCCTTAAGGGATCCTCTAGAATTGTGTTTTTCCCGGATATATTCTGCAACATGTTCTTGACACATGAATAGTTCATTACAGGGGATGTATTGTGCTTTATTAGTTATCTTGTGGTGCCTCCCAAGGCTGTCCGGAGGGCCACGAAAGTGGGACCAAAAACAACCCAGAAGATTTGTGATATGAAAAGTGACAAGATTTCAGCCTGATTGGAAATGAAGCAGCATGTCCACCTTTAAAATTTGACAGGCACAAATAGTATTGAAAATGGGGTTAAATATGGCTACCCCAACAGCATTGCAAAGATAAAGCATCATGAATTTAAGAAAAGCCCTTATATAACCAGAAAAACAGGACAACAAAGCCACCAATCAAACTGCCACCAGGTGGCATCAGATTCATATTCTATTGCATAACTCTCCTCCTGCTCCACAGTCTGGTGGGGGGAAAAACAATGCAAAATGACTATAAAGGTGCTGTCATTTTTTAAGGGGGTGGGGGTGGGGAGTTCTCATTGCGCAAATCTTTGCTCATCCTGATGATACTAAAAAAAGGGTAACTTTTGCTTTTAGCAGAACTTAAAGTGCATCTGTTAGTCAGTATGAGTAACAATGTGAGGGAAAGACTCAAGTTATGAAAGAGGGAACTTTTGTTGGTGTTGCTCCAACATGTTGATCAAGCACTCTGAAGCAGGTAGGGATCTGGGACTGTAGAATGACAAGTGGGGGGGGGGAGTCCTAAAAGTAGAGTGAAAATGTCAGGGAATAAACAAACCCTGTGCTTGCACATTCTCCACTGCACACGCCCCATTTCCTTTCCAAATCTCCCTACACTTATGCTTCCTCAGACTTTATAAAGCCCTCCCCAGACCCCTCTCTATAGCCCTCATAACTCTCCCTAGGCCACACCCTCCCTCCAGACAACACCCCCTCAAGAGCCTCCCTACTTCATATCCTTGAGTGTTTTTGCCTGGCTCATACATGCCCTTCAACTCTGATCCTGCTTCTTTTTTGCCTGAGCAGATGAGAGCACAAGGGTGTGCAGAAAGCAGCCTATTGTACAAAGGTCAATTTTACATTAGTTCCTCAACGACACTTTTGCCTCAAGCCCTGCCCACCACTGGCAGATGCCCCCTGTAAGGTTGCCCAGAAGGGAATACAGTGACTAAACAGCCTGAAACAAACCAGGATGCTAACTCCGCTCTACGGCAGGAAGGTTATTTGCACTTTTAAAGAGACATGCACACTCCCCAATTCAGGTGAGGCACAGACACTACTAGGCCACCAGTTCTACCAACTCCATGGCAGGGTACATTACTCAGCTTCCCTTGAGTAAAAGCACCACCCAAACACACCATCAACTCTGGTCACTCTCAGCAAGGGACTGGGGAGAACTTTGGTTCAGTTTTCATTTAAAGGCAAACTTACTAAATTTGCATTTTATGAAGCAATATCTGAACCAAAACACAGCCATCTTTCAAAAGTCACACTTCTCCTAATTTTGCAATGCAGTTCTCCAGCCAAGTAGTGGATACACAAATCAACATACAAAGGGAAAGTGTGCGTCTGAATGCATATGTTAGTGAAATAACAAACAAACAAAAATTATATTATGGGGAATTGTTTTGCAAAAATGTGTATGTTAGGGAAATTGCATGTAAAATGTGTACAGTAGAAGAAATTCACACAAAAATGCCAATAAATGTTCACAAGGAAAATAAAAAACGAAACAAAATGCAAACTGATATAGAAATGTGGAAAACTGAACTTAAGATTGGAAAAATGAGAAACCAAAATGGCCACATTCGCCCATCTCTACCTAGCTGCTCTGGCTTTTTACTGGTTTGCTCCAAAGCCCCCTCATTTATGGGCAGATCTTAGCCTGAAATTTGGTATTTATAATGAATGATTTTAGAGTGTTGTTTGTGCTGTACTCTTGTACTGTTTTATTGTTGTTAGCTGCCCTGAGCCCGGCTTCGGCTGGGGAGGGCGGGATATAAATAAAATTTATTATTATTATTATTATTATTATTATTATTATTATTATTATCATTATTGTGTCCCGGGATGTTGGAGGGTATAAGGATGCAGCCAAATTTCTTTTTGCATGACCCACATTCTCCATTTTTTTAAAGGTGGAGGGATCATGCATTCGGGTGTCAACATAGCCTTATTTATTCGGAGGATCGGTGATGATAGCATACAACGAAGAAAGCAGGAAACAGTAAATCTCACCCAGATATAGTCCAATTCCCTTGAAACTCCAGCTATATTAAATACTTTCTAGTAAGTAATTAATCAACATATGTTAGAGTTGGGGGAAAGGACATTTATGTGAACAGGAAATGCTTGGAATGGAACCAGCCAACCAACCAGTTTCTCTAATTAGGAGAAATAATTACACAATATGGGCAGACAGCAGTCCTTTATCGGGCAGACAAGCGTCATGTGTTACTGTAAAGAGCCAAAGGGTTCTCTGCCCAGCCTGATATTTTTATCCAAGGTAGAAACTCCCTCAAGCACTTTTGATAATTCAAAATCTCAACACACACCAAAATTAAAAACAAAAACATCACACCAGAACCCAACAAATTTATGAATAACGTAAACAAGTTTCTTTTCACAATCAAAAGGGAAGTGCGTGGCAGTTTGGGTTTTGCCACTAAGAAATGACACATGGAACAAAAAAGGCTCTGAGCCAAATGTGATGATCTATTTATTTATTTGGAAAAAACAATAATACATAATAATAGTAACAGTAACAGTTAACTCATTCTGCAAGTGCCTATCTTATGTTGCCAAAAGGGCAACCCCAGTAACTGTGGGAATAGGCAGTGCGGAAGAGAAAACCAAGTGGTGGGAAGGAATAGCATGAAGAACCCTGGAAGGAGGCATGCCTGGCAGGAACCCTGAATAGGATTATTCAGCACTGCTGTCATGTCCCCTCTGAATCCAGCAGCAATCCAGGTACGGTGTTAGAGGCAGCAATGGCACCAGCTAAGGAGTGGGGCTAAATTTGGGGCTCTAAACCAACTGCTAGAAAGCAGGAGACCACTGCAGCCAAGCCTGATGGACAGGAAGCTCCCAGAAGAACCTGCTGTGCCATCAGGGCATGTAGAGCACCATCCATTGAGGAGCCCAGTGCCTCCCACACTACCTCACCAACCCCGCACTGCAAGGCACACACCAGGTTGGAAGCTATGAAACAGGTGAGAAGTGCCCATCTTCAGGCCAGGGGATTGGTCCTTTAAGAACCTGAAGTTCTCCACAAGGGGGTGGATCCCGGAAGAAGTAGTCCAGAGGCAGGGGCTTCAAAGTTCTGTTCAACTTCTGTTGGAGCAAGTTGGTCACTCGGAGCTGTCTGTGGTCCTACAACTCCTGACCCACATCACCATGGCCCTATTCTGAGCAATCCGGCTTCAGGCTAGGACATGACAACTACAACACTTAGTTGCTGGTCCCACTTCCAGCAACTATTTGTGCCCATGGCAGCTTTCCACCAGGGCAAATAGAAGCAATTTTGGTCTAGAAAATGAATGGGGGGGGGGAGAGAAGGATTGCACTCCCTCCCCCCCCCCATTGTAGCCCCAAACCGAATCACTGGTTCTCATGTGAGTGGATGAGGGTATGGGTGTGTATGAAAAGACAACCACACGTTTGCCTATCTAGTGTAGCCCTCCAAATGTTAGCTGAAGCAGACCATAGGTTTATAGGAAGCTGCTAGATTCCCCGGCCACTGGCACATTTATTGTGCTCCTCCATTCTGGCTCAAAATGGCTAGGAGCCCACCTGTGCACCTGCATGCTTCTTGTGCTCTTTGCTGGTCTGTGGGGCCAGGTGAGGTCCACAGGCTCCTCTGGCAAGGGCGCCAAGGACGGGGTGGGGTGGGGGTGGCAATACAGCTCCTTGCCAAGGACACAAGGGAGCCTAGGAACCTTAGACATGAAAAGCAAATGCTCTACTACTGAGCTACGGCCTGTCCCTAATTGCTAAGTATAGTCCCCCCCCCCCCCGTTCTTTATGTATGGCAAAAACTGGCTTCCAGGAGCTCAAAGCTCAGTTATGAACTGAACAATAATTTCAGATGATTAATAATCCATTGATTAAAAAAATACCTGGTAATTGAACACAGTGTGTAGGTTTGTTTGCCTTTCAGGGTAATTGAGGAATATAATGTTTCAGGTGGAAGTGGAATTAGAATGACAACTGTGTGTGTAAACAATTCAAAACCTTCCGCATATTCTTACAGTTGTTATTTCCTCCTGCGTATAAGATTTGAAAGTCTTTTATTAATGAGCACCATGGCAATATTTGGAATGCCTGTTTTCATATGAAGGGGCTGCGGGATTAAGAACTGCAAGCCTGTAAGTCAATGGATGTAACACGACATGAAGTGGTTATCACAGTGTTTGAGGCTCCCCAAATCAGGGTTAAACTAGGCAGATCTGTTCCCATGTCATCACATTTAATACAGCCCTCAAAGCATTAAGAGAGAGGTGAGTAACTGGATCAAACCAGTGGGCCAAATCCTGACCTTCCCCACCCCCAATTAATCAGTCACTAGATGCCGTAATGAGGTCAGGAGACAACTTCAGAGGGTCTCGCAATTTGCACTGATCACAACAATGAAGCTTTAGCACTGTGCTGCCCCTTCAGGTCACTGCTGCCAGCTTTGCAAATAAGATGGACTGTGTGTACTGTTTATTTCAGTTGTTCTGTGAATAGTTGGGTCAATCATCCACAAAAGGTGACCCCTCCACCCATAGTCCAGTTCAAATCTGACAGCCCAATCCATCACTTGGTTGCCTTCCACTAAATCCAGCCTTGAGCTTACGCCAACCTACTACAGTCAACAAAACATAGCTAGGATCTTCCCAGCAGAAGAGATGAGTGGGAAGTGAGAGCACAGCAAACAACACAGAACGGAGGAATTCTGACAGCTGCTTCACCACTGTATAGGAAAACATGGCCAACTCCAGCTAATCATTCAGCAGCCAGGCATGGAGGAAGTAAAACACATGTGGTGAGAGAGATGCCTCCATGACATCACTCCCCAAGATCATCCATACCACACTGTCCTATCCCACCACCTCACTGGAGAACCAGTCCAGATCTGGATGAGATTTCAGAGGAAAAGGAGGACACTGTTGCTGGCCCCAGTACTGAAGGGGTTCCAGGGGAGTTCATGGAAACCTGTCACACAATGGTAAGGCATCTGCTTTGTATGCAGAAGGTCCCAGATTCAATCCTCAACATCTCCAGGAAATGGAGCTTTGCATGTTCCTACATGCCTAGCATCTTTCTCTTGGGTTATCATTATTAGAGGCACTGCACCTCTGAATGCCACTTGCTGGGAATCAAAATAGGAAAAATCCCGTTGTGCTCAAGCCCTTCTTGTGGGCTTCCCAAGAGACATCTGGTTGGCCACTGTGAGAACAGGATGGTGGACTTGACAGGGTGATTCAGCAGGCTATTCTTCCAAAACCATAATCTGGTTATTCTGCTCAAAGGAGCCATAGGTTTGAGAGAACTATTACACCCTGACTGGTTCTGATACCAGGCTTGAATGCAATCCTTTTGTAAGCTGCTTGGAGCTGTAATGTGGGCTGTAAGTATATTCTTATGTGGGGGACTCCTGGCAGAAATGAGATCTGTACCCAGGACTTTCCTATTCATATCTCTAACTCTTAGCCACACAAAACCTCCGTAACCACAAGTTAGGACCCTGATCTAAATAAATAAGTGTCCTGCTGACTGGATTGAAAGGGTTTCTGGGCTTTATTGGAACATCTCTAAATGCCTATTTCTCTTGCGCTCCATGCTGCTGGCGTGCTGTTTGTAATTGCCACCATCAATTCTCCTCTGTGAGTCATAACAGATGGCAGCATAACAAACCAGGAGGGAATCTTCCCCTTCTTTTCGCAAGGGCACTTTATACAGGGATAGATTTCAACATTCAGTGCCCACACCCCCAAGTCATTCATACTATTGTCACAAAATAAAGCAAGGAACACAGCGTGTTCTGTTAAAGCCTGTATTAAATGTATCTCAAGTTGAACAAAGTGTAAGGAGTTAAAATGGCCCATGTTTGTGATCAGGCTGTAAGCTGACAGCGTGGAATGTCTCACCTGCAGTGATCCAGCCCAGTAGTGATTCACCTTTTGCCTGCAAGGCTGCTTTCCACAAGTTACCTGCCCTACATCTCACGTCTGCTACTGGACCAGGTTCTTGCACAAGCATACAAAGCCCTGAATAACTTGGGCCCAGGATACCTTAAGGAATACCTTACACTGTACACTCCAAGTTGATCCCTGAGATCATCAGGGCAAAGAGGGAGGCGCAGTATTAGTAGTTCACTATGGGCCAGAAGCATGTCTCGATGTCAATGAGGAGTCGTGTCTTCATCTTCTAGGCCCAACTCTGTGGAACTCCCTCCCACAAGAAGTTAAGGCAGGCAACATCCCTACTTGCAAGGCCCTGTTCCTTTGCACATATGGTTTGATTTCAAACCACACAGGCAAAGGAAACCACTCTGTCATGCTCACATCATGGTGACATCTGGCGATAAATAGGCAGGGGTGGATCTGTCCATTTTGGTTCCCTCCACTTGGTTTCTCCCCCCACCCCATCTTTAATTCAGTTCTCCAAACTTTTGCAGCAATTTGCAATGTCTTTTCTTTTTTACAGATCCTCACAGAAATCAGTTTTCTGTTTGCACTTTCGCCTGATATACCTATTTTTGCAATGCAATTTTCCCTAATATAATGCTTTTTTTGAATGTTATTTTCACGGTTATACGCTTTTTTATGCACACTTTACTCTAGCATATGCACTTTTGGTACAGATTACCCCTACCACCATTACTAATAACAGGTGAGTGACCCTGCCCAGCTGTCAAAGTGGCCTGCAGAGGCTAGTGGATGTCAGGATCTTGCCTGCCAGTCAGATCCAGTTTCTCAACCCTGCCATAAGCAATCCAGAAAGTAGAGACAAATAAGTTTGGTAACAGCATGAATAAATGATGTTTTCATTCTACAAGCTAAGATGCACTTCCCTGGCTACTATTGGCCTCTGGGGAAAACATGCTGTTATTGATATAAAAAGTAAACCCTCACCTGCTTTAGAGGTGAACAGGCAAGCACATGTCTGTAATAAGCACAGACACATGTCTGGTCTGGTCCTCAGTACCTACTGTCGAGTAAACTTACCTAGGATCTAGCTGTTAAAGTACAGGAGCATCTTGAG